ACTAAGACATGTCACAAGAAAACAGTTTCAAAACCTTTTTTACAGGGTAATGCACAAATATGAAACATGGGTGTTTATTCATATATAAAAGAAACTGCATAATAGATACCTGGATACAAACCAAATGATGTCCAGACAAGATTAAAGTGTATATTTATTAATGATTTGGTAGATGTTGGAACAGGTAGGTTCTCTAACACTGTTAAAGTATAGCTGAATAAATATTCTTTCAGCTGGGTACAAGTAATTAGGTATGAATTACTTCAGATTATTCCTTTGACTTGTGGTATATCATCACCAAGCGGTAGTTCTTTTTTTATTTCATGGATTTAAAATATGTTGCTCTTACTCAGTAGAAATGAATTACGTCAAATTATAATCAGTATATTTTTAAGTAGTTCGTTAGATAGTTGATACAGTTGCCATTTATTTGCTCTGTGCTTTGGTATAAAAAATATTATTACTTACAGTGATACATGACGAGATCGTTCCACAGAGTGGTTGCTTTCTTATGCAGTTAAAATGTAAGAGGATGAAAGTTCATCGTGCAATCCTATGCAAAATCAAAGTTTAGACAATGTGGTGTTGCAGCGAGGAGAAAGAAGTAGGAGCGTTGTTGCCAAAGTTGGATTATTTCTGAACAGATGTTTTATTGATAACTATTCTTAACTATTTTTTTATCCATTTTTGTTCCATTAGCCAACAAAATTTATCAGGTTAAGTAAAATTTGTGAATATTATTTAAAAATTAACAGGTTTGTAGTTGACCTTTTGAAGCACAATTATTTTGAACTGCTGGTTTACATTTTTTATTATTAAATATGGAAAATTGTGGTAAATGTAAAAAACGACAGCTCTAGTTTATTACTGTGGACTGAATGTGGTAAGCTAGTCACATTAGAAGTTAAATGTTTACAGTTAAAAAACAAACATATATTAAAATTCTTTTGTGAAAACTGTGAAATTGGTCTAAGATGGTTCAAGAAATAATTGCTGAGGATGCAAAATTGAAGAAAAAAAATGTTGATATTTTGGTTGATAGAGTGGTGCCCAATTAACTCATCATCATCTTTGGCTCTACAACCCTGGGTGGGTCTTGACCTGTTGTCTTTGGGGGTCTCCAGCGTCCATTCTTTCAAGGTGTCCTAGCCACCTTAGTTTATTAATTTTAATAGACTGGACGATGTTGCATTTTTCATAAAATTGATACAACTCAAAATTGTAGCGCCTATGCCATATCCTGCTTTCTTGTACTCCTCCGTATATGTGTCTAAGTATTCTTCTTTCAAAGCAGTCTAACAGTTCTTTGTCACTTTTTACCATAGTCCATGTCTCTGATGCGTATGTCAAGACAGGTTTAATAAGAGTTTCATATATTAGTATCTTGGTTTTTCTGCTAATTTCTGCATTATGTGTGATGTTAAGAACTGCTTTAGTCCAAAGTAAGCTCTGTTCGCCAGGTATATTCTTCTCTTAATTTCTACACTTACTAGGTTGCTGTTATTTAGTTGTGTTCCAAGATATATAAATTCCAAGACCCCTTCAAATGTGTGTGCTCCTGTCACCAGATCTTGTGGTGCCGCTATTTGTGTGCTGTTCATGATCTTCATGTATTTTGTTTTGGATATGTTGACCTGCAGTCTCATTGTCTTCGAGGCTTTTTCTAATGTTTCAAAAGCCTGTATCAGGTCTTTTTTGTCTGTGTTACTATGTCAATGTCATCTGCGTAGGCCAATATCTGTACATTTCTATTGATGATCACACCTCTGGTTGTTATGCCCGATTTCCCTACAGCTCTTTCTAGCATGATGTTAAACAATAGGCTCGATAGACTGTCTCCCTGGTGTAATCCAGTACATGTTTGAAAATACCTTGACACTCTATTTTGTACCTTGACTTTGCACTCAACTTTTGAAAGAGTTGCCTTTACCAATGATATTAGATGCAGCAGAATATCTAGTTTTGCCATGGCATTATGAAGTGCACTTCTGTCTATACTGTTATAACGGGTTTTAAAATCTATGAAGAGGTGGTGGGTATCAATTCAATATTCATATGTCTTTTCTAAGGTTTGTCTGAGAAGGAAAATCTCATCAATTGTTGACCTTTCTTTTCGGAATCCACATTGGTATTTGCCTATTTTTTTCTCAATATATACCAGTAAATGATCATAAAGTATATAAGCCAGTAGTTTTTAAGATGTATTTAGGAGGGTAATGCCTCGATAGTTGTCACATATTAGTGGATCCCCTTTCTTGTGAATAGGCATTATAATACCTACATTCCAACTGTCTGGGAGTTTTCCTTCTCTCCAAATAGATGCAACAAGTTTTATAATCTATTTTTTAGGGTGTTTGCTCCATACTTGAACAGCTCAGGGGATATACCATCCTCTCCAGGGGATTTGTTCTTTTTAACCTTTTTATTGGCTTGGCAACTTCTTCTTCTTCTGATGGTACATTATTTTTCTCCCTCTCATCATCTATGTCTTCACTGTGGTTATTTATGTCAGTCACTTCTTGGTTGCCTATACTTAATTTCTCAGCAAAATGCTCTGCCCATCTCGCCATTATTTGATCCGGCTCATTGATAGTTTCGGCTTCTTTACTTTTTATTATGGTTATTCTAGGTTTAAATTCTTTTCTGTTGTGGTTTACATTTTTATAAAAATTTTGCACTTCGGTTTGTGAATAGTTCCTGTAGCTGGATTTCAAAATGTCGTTTTTTCCTTTGGTTTTAGTATCTTTTACTCTGCTTGTCTCATCTGTTTGTTCTCCTCTTGATTTTGTCTTGTCCTTCTGTTTTGGAGTTTCCCATATGCCTGATTCTTTTTTTTTTAGTTGCATTCTGCATCATACCATTCTGTCCCCTTCCTTTCTTGTTTCTTCTTTCCTACAACTGTTGTTGCTACTTCTTTCAGGATATTTTTGCATTCATTCCAGTAATTATCTATGTCAAACCCAATTAACTATGTCAATAATAATTTGTATTCAGTTGAAATTAATTTTACTTAAAACGAGATTTATACTAAATGTCAAAACATAATTTCTCCATTTGTCTATATGTGTTCAAATTCTAATATGCTGCTCACCAATAAATTATAAGTTTAAAGTATATCAAGCATATATACAATTTAAATATCAAATTTTTAAAAGTTAATAAAATAAAAATATAAAGCTCATCCCACCTTTTAAAATTAGATCAGAAGGGGAAAATGTGAAAGCCTTCTGCCCCTTCTTTAACTCCTGTTGTTCTGCTCGAATCCTAAAACGTTAAAAAATCACCAGTAACAATTCAACAAAAAAGTTTGAGTGTAAGGAAAGAGCTATCACATATTGTTATAATAAATAGTCCATATACAGATCAGTTCAGCCATTTTTTTTTATATATTAATTGAATATTATAGTTTAAATGATGTCATGACTATTTATAGTATACAACTATATTTCTATGAAAACGTAATTATGTTAATATTCTCTAATAATCTAAACTTTTAGTATATAAATAAAAAAAATACTAATAAAAAAATAGTGATGAATATGGTGAAATCAATATAGATAACTTGAAATTAATTATTTATGAGAAACTTAACAGAATAACTCTACCTTCCCTTTTATATTTTAGTTTCTGGCAAACTGATCATGTATATAAGAAAACCTAAAGCTAATATTTACATAGTAAATAATAAAATACAGACATTTTTAAAGTTCTTTAAAGCTGACTCCAAGATTTTCCAGCTGTCTCACTACATTTTGAACAAAATTCCAAGGAAACTCTATGTTTTGAAACATGTAAACATACTCCTGCATCATCATTTTCATGGACATCTTGTGCAGTATAGGTATGATCTTCAAGACTTGATGTTGGTGAATTAATATGAAACAAATCATCTGGAAAATGTAATGGACGTTGGGTAACATCACCATAAATATCCATATTTAAATTTGGGTCACTTAACAAACAGTCAAAACTGGGAAAATCTTCAATACTATCTGTGCTCTCTGTAGGCTTTGGAACATAAACATTGTTCAGTGATAAATTTTTATCCAATGAGGATGATACAGACATACCTGTGCTTGTGTGAATATTCCTGATTAAATTTTTAATATCACTACTATTGGCTATGACACTATTTAGATATTTCTTTTCTTGCTTTAAGTCTTTTATAATCAAAGATTGATTTTTAACTATAGAATTTAACTTTTTGTTGTCATTTCTTAGTGACAATACCTCTCTTTCCAATTTGTTAAGATACAATTTTTTTCTCAAACGATTTTCTCGTGCCATTTGCGCGTTTTTAGATAAACATCTGGGCTTTCTTCTACTAATTGCATCAGTCTCACGGCATACAATGTTCTGAAAATTAGAATCAAGATAAGATAAATTTCTGACACCAGCCTTCTTAGATCTTACTTCGTTTTGATAATCTAATTCTTCTGAAGATTCTTCATCCGAAGAACTCATTTTATTTGAAACGTATGGCAAACGTTTTCCAGTGGACACCATTTTGAAAATCAAAAGCTGTAAAAGGGTGTTATAAACCTGTAGGTTTTCCAAGATAGAACACCTTATGTTGTTTATAATAGATTTAAGCTGATTCTATCACTGAAACCGTTGAAAATATCAAAAACTGTAATTTTACAATAATATAAAAACCTTAACCGATAACAGTTAACAAACCTCGAACCACGAACAGTTACAAAAGAAAATGGCCGTTTTTATGACATGACATTATGACAAGCTGCCAATGCCAAGCTTGTCACTAAAAGACAAGGCGCCATGTCAGTGGCGTCACGCGTAAGCACAATGCTAAATAGTTTAAAATTAAAAAAATGAAATCATTTCATGAAACACAAATAATACAAACTGATTTATTTATATTCTCATTGTTTTTAGTCGACTTGAATTGTTACATAATATATATCTTCAAATAGAAATTCATACATAACCAAAGCCATTGAATCGCACCCTCAGGAAACCGACCTTTATCCTCAAACGTCACTTGTCAAAAGTCAAATTGTCAAAACCCAAAAATTTCTTTTTAGCGGCAGCATGGACGCAAGTTAACAAGTCGAATGCCCGCCGGTTTGTAGATAATTAATTGCATTTTACGAGTTTAGTTAAGGTTACAAACAATAAAATACAATGGGTTCTTACTTGTCAGAGCCAGTAACTAATAAAGTATCTACAGATGAAAGTAATGATAAATTAAGTTGTGGATCTAGTTCTATGCAAGGCTGGCGTATAACCCAAGAGGTAAGAATGCATTTCGAATTGTATAATGTATAATGCTTATATTTTATCTGACCGTTACAACTGAATTTAGATACATAACTTTGCCAATTTATGTTAGTTGTAAGTTTACATCTAGGGTTACACCGACAACAAATAACAATTACAGAGGCACATTTTATCTAAATTAATCATTTTTGTATGTTCGATCAGAACTAACAACTTAAATTGTTACCTACATGCATTGTTATCGAACATAGCAACCTATGTTTATTGAATTTAAAATCATTTAAAAACGTTCAGAATAATGTGGGTATGGTAACCTCTATTTTCTAATGTATAAATGTCAATAAAAAATATAGAGGAGGATAATACTTTATCAAAATCACATTATGATAAATTTAGATTTTATTGCATTAATAATCCTTTGTAGCTTCAATTTTCAATGAACTTATTAATGATGCACTTACATCAGAAATGTGAGCATAGTAACATTAAAAAAGCATATGTAAGCAATAATCATTAACTTCCATACTAAAACTTAAAATATTTTAAGAGGTTTCTGCCAAGAGAATCCTAGAATGTCTGTTTATGAGAAAAATATAAATAATGTAGTTTTGTACATTTTCTTTGTTTATTTATGTTTTGTATTTTGAGAATTATTTCAGAAGGGGAAATTAAAACTCAAAATAAACTTTTTTAAAGTAAAAGTTTGGCTTTCTGATAAAAATAGTAAATTGTTCTTTTGTACATACTAATTCTGAAAAAAATTGAATTCCTAAAAGTACACAATTGACTTGTGTTGTAGACTTCACTGATTCCCAGATAGATAGAATTTATTCATAAATTATATAGTTATTTAATAAAATTATAAATGTCTTTTTATACATATATACAGAAAACAATATTGAGAAATAGTTGGAAGGGTTTCACTTCACAGGCAAGTCAGTATAAGTCAGCAAACAATATACTCAGTTTGCTCAGTCCAATTGTCTAGTAAAGTTAGTAATTATTTTTCACTAGTTTGGTTAAATTTTGGTTAGTAGTAATAGTGAATAGAAAAGATTCGCCAATTATTGAAGAAATATAAAACTACCTTAAAATGTTCAAGGAGAAATACTTAGTTAGAGTATGTATAGTAGAACATTGCAAGTTTAAAAGAATTAGAATTATAATTAATTATTAATTAATATATAATTATGGAAAGAAGGATATATAGGAATAAATAGAATGTACTATTAACAAGAAAGTAACCAAAATGTAGCCACAAATGTCAACCATGGAATAAAATATTTCGGTTTGGCAGTCTTGGCACAGAATAATAAACAATCAGAATGCCCACTCTGCTTGAAACAATAAGTATGTGCAGACGGAATCAGCCATGTTAACCTGTTTAATTTATTTACGGCATCTACAGACATAATATGCACTATTTTATTCATACTTTTAGTTGAAGAATAGATTAAATTATTTCAAATGTACTAAATTATTAATCTCTAAAAATTTAAATGACAGTTCTGTTGTAGCTTTTCACAAATTTCTCAGTTTGAGTCTATGTTTCCATCTAAAACATGGCATTCGTGTGCTGACAAACTTCAAAGGCTGCATCAGAGAGCGGGCATTCTGATTGTTATTTATTCTGTGGTCTTAGTATGTTTTTCTAATATGTTGTATGCTTCAAATATATATTTATTTATTTAATTAACTGATATATAGACGTTTTCATCTTTCTTGGTGCGTGCGTGTAAAAACACTTGCAATAAGTTGTTTCATCTGTCTTTCCTTGTATAAGCTCCATTCGTTTACCTCCTCTAGTGGAGGCTATCTGTATTCGTAAAGAGGCCGAACTTATCACTGACACCGTATTGGCCAAACGCATCGGTACACCAATATATCTGCAAATATGTAACAAATGGTTGGCGGTTTTTGACCTTCAAAATCCCATACCCATCATATAACATAGCGAATACAACATTCCAGTGTTATTATATTTGGCTATGCATCTGGAGACAGTCAACAAGTTTAACTCCATCATTGCCAAAGCAATCCATTTGCACAAACATTACTCTACTCAGGAATATAGTTTGGAATTGGTCATTACACTAAGAATGCTCCATCAGCTTTCAATGTAGGAAGCAAGACGAAGCGGTTTCTTATCATCGGGGTATGTGTTTTAGTAATGCTCTATGCTTCTATTTACACAGTCCATCTGATGGGTAACAAATTCTACTTGCAGTTGTTACTGGTGAATTCTCATGGACAGATATCATTTCAATTACTTCAAACTGTAACTGTCCAAGGTGTTTTATTTTTACTTCAATTGAGTGGACTGTATGAAATTGATCACTTTAATGATTATAAAATTACACATTGCATGACAAAATTTAAATTAAAGTACATAAAAATATAAACTGATTGTTTTTTTTTACATTCGCTGTTGTAATTGGAATGACTTCTTATTCCTGTCTTTTTTTTTTGTCGCTTTCCTCATCTGTACGACCTCTAGGAATCTTGTGACATTGACCTTGCTGTACTGCTTTAACTTCTTAAGTTCTTGACATACTCCCCCTCTTTGAACACCATGTTCAAAAAACAGCTAAAAACAATCTTCATCAGGAAGAGGAAGTGCACAAACCTTTGCAATACCACATTTGAATGTCATTTTAATACAAGGAAGTTTATCTTGCTTAATAAGCACTAAACCGTCAATTTTAATTGTAGGCTTGTCTGTTTTCCATTTATTTTCATATTTTTTTGTCATTTCACCGTCATTTTTGTAATTCCATTAAATAACAACAGGACCACCTCTTCTAGAAACTTTGACTAAGTTGTTGCAGTAATTGAAACCTGGACAATCGATTGACCTAAATATTTTTTATATCTGGTGATGAGATGAGTGAAAGTCCTATAAGTGGACTTAAGGGGGTAATTGGGTTAAAATCATTTGGCTCAGAGGACAGATGGCCAAATATTTGCCAATATCCCTACCCAATGATTAAATCTTCCTTAGTTGTTTTTTCCAGGATGAAACTTTGTCATCTGACCTTCCAGTATTATTGTCCCGTGTTCTGATCTTAATATCCTTAACATTAGCAAATGCTGTTGTTGCACAGTAAATCAGCATATGCAAATGTTCCTATGTATGGACTGCTACGTTATAATTGAGGACTTTAGTTTTCAAAATTTGTAACAGAGCACCTAGTTTCTTAAAACAGTTTATTTTTGGTATCAGTGGTCTGCTTTGTGCCTTTGTTCTGTTGAACTCTTGTACGGCGCGTGCCATTTCACTTATCAGGTTATCATGCAACTCATTCTCCCATTCGCAGGGAGCCGCGCCTAATAGAAGAGTCTATAAAACCTCCCACAGGTTATTACTATTATTATTATAATGCCTTGTAAACTAAAGCACATATATAAATTCTTATTATTTTCGACTTTAATAAGTGTTTTATATCTTTTCAGGATGCTCACAATCACATCTTGGACTTTGACACTAACACATCTTTATTTGCGGTATACGATGGACATGGGGGTCACGAGGTGGCCCAATATTGTTCTCAAAAGTTACCTCAATTTATAAAAGATACACAAGCCTATAAAGATGGTGATATCATGCAAGCTTTGATTCAAGGATTTTTGGAGTTTGATGCAACAATTCCTACAAAAGATGTGGTTGCAGTTCTGAAGGAAATAGCCGGTGAAAAGGAGGGTGACGAAGAAAGTGATGAAGAAGAAAATGTAGATCATTTGTATGAAGAGGCCTGCATGCCTATTGAAAAAGTAATGACTCATTTATGTTATAATTGACTGAATGTAATTTTAATTTAGGTTTCATTGAAAATTTGCTAGTAACAAGTGTTTCATACCTTTACATCTCCTTATATTTTCTTTATTCACATTCAGTGACATAAGATGTTGCACTTTAGCAGCATTTTCAGAAAATATCACTAAAAAATTTCTAAAATTTATTTTCTACAAATTAATTTCTGGGTACATGAATATTTGACTACTTTTTTGTCCAATTTCAGTATACAATATATTTTATTCATTTCTGCTCTCATTTTTAAAATATTGAGTAGAAACAGTTCTGGTTTGTTAAGATCCTCTAAAATTGTTTTAAAATGTGGATATTAAATGTTTTTAATGTCAGCGAAGAAAATATTTTTTCCACTATATTTGTATTACTTTTTTATTAAAAAAAAGTGTTCATATATTTTAATTGTTCATAAGACATTTTTTAAATCTTTATGGGTACATTTAAAAGTTTTATTCGATTTTACCTCGTATATCAAAATATACATAGTGTGTAATACAATTTGAAAACCTAATTTTCAACTAAGAACTAGATAAGTCAGAGTTTTGGTATTACTCTAAAAAGTAATTTGAGATGGGAAAAAAATTAGGTATAGTTGAATCCATGGTTCTTTACCCATGTGTCATTAATATCTGCCGAAATAAACTTTTTATCTAGCATCATTGTTTTCCACGCATGAAACGAAAGACAACTTTTTAGACTCAGTAAATTAAAAAGGGGTAGGTAGGTACCTACCTAAACAATTTTCTAACCTAATAGAAAGCCCTACATTATTCTCTTCTGGCATTTAATTTTTTTTTATGAATTATATGATTGCCAATGAGCCACATTTACAAACTTGAAAATGTTTGATTGACTTTTTTACTCCTACAAATTATGTTTAATTTATTATATACTTTATTACTAACATATTTTGAAAAAACTTCCAATGGAGGTTGGAGGTTGAAACAAATAAAAATGTACTCGTCTAATGATTTACTAATGAGCTTTAATTCTAAAAGGTTATAGAAAAATACACAAACCTAGTAAATCCAGCTCTGAAAAATCTTAAAAAAGATGGCGATAAATATCCAAAATCTCCTAACTTAAAGAGCAAACAAGAAGATGTGGGAGTTCATCTGGGTCCTCAGCAATTTCAAATAAAGCATCTAAGGATGATTCTGGAAACTCTGAGGATGCCGCTGGGTCCAGCATTGAGGCGAAATCTACCAAAGGTTTGTCTTAATTACGAAGTTTATTTATCTTTCAATTTTAAAATAACTAAACCTTAGTTGACCATAATTATTGAATAACGTTTGAATGATAATAATAAATGTATTTGAATATCATAAATAGAAGCAATATAAAATTAAAAACAATTTACGGCCTGATTGGGTGAAATAATATATTCTGTATTGAAATTAAATCTTACCTGTCTTTTATATGAAATATAAGTTGTTATGGACACATCGTTCTAGACACACAACCCCATATGGGTCACAGCATCCTTAAAAAATTTTCTCCAGTCTTCCCATATATTCTACGATGTTATCAATTAATCATTTTCTTGGTCTTCCTCTTCTCTCTGGTCCTCTGCTACAGAGTCTGCATCTTCAGCCTCCATGAACCTTCCTCATGGATTCCTTGACAGGTGCGTGTTCAGTAAGAAATCCTGTTATAATTCTGAGCTGATTCCTGCTTGGTGTTCGCAGTATTTCAGCTCTATTAGCACATGTATGTCCAATATACATTTTTCTGGTACAGTGCACTGGGCTAGAGAGGTATATTCTTCTAGTGGAATAGAAATGTTTACTAAATATTCCTGCACCCGACCTTTCTGCAATCATAGACCTGTCTGTGTATCAGGTATAACCCTGCAGTCTGGGTCAAGTTATTCCTCTGAACCATCCCTCTCGTGGATAAATGTTCACTTGGAAAGGTACTTTAGGCCTGTATCTGGGTACTATATTGTCAGAAATCATCATTCAGTATCCCTGATTTTGTTTATGATGTTATTTTGTTCTGATCTAACCACTATTTTGCTTAGGTAGGTAGGTTTTGCTCAAAGTCTATAATATCCCATTCTCTTTTTATAACGCTGTGCAAAGGATAGAGGTCCAGTAGAGCCTCCATAATTTCTGTTGTTGTGTCCATCAGAGAACTTGTTTATTTCAAGACAAACAAGTTTTTGCACCTTTCTTGATTTAAGGATGGCACCTTTTTGCTGCACATTTGGCCACCATACCACTGATACATATGTAATTGGGTTTACCACCCTGTTATAAATACAATATACAGTGTAGGTAAAATTTTAAGGTCGGTATGGTAAAATTTAACAGGATATCTAACGCAGATATAAAATCATATTTTCAACGAATTAGACAAAGATAACAATCATATTTCCCCTTCGTTTCCCCTCCTAAAATCCTTTTAACACTCATTGGCCATTGCCCATTAGTGAGACGATTAGTTCCGATCAGATATTCTCTGGTTCCGATCCTAATATACCTAAAAAACTAGAGGTGGGTCTTCTCGTTTTTTTAATTTTTATCAGAACCGTTTTTCGTAAACTGTAACTAGTTGATTGTTTACCAGTATTCAAATTAGCGAGTACACAAACATATTAGCTATTATCGTTTATGTGTATACGTATTGAAATAAAAGAACCTAACGAAGAATATATTTATTGTAACTTGAAAAATAAATTAAATAATACAAAATGGTACTTAAATAGTTACATTTACATTACACATTATTTAATCGCGAATCGTCTAAATTGACATTTAAAAACATAAGTTTTTCCACTTTTCTTGTTAATCGCGTTCTTCTTTTATTTAAAATTATACCAGATGTTAAACATGTGTTCACAAGGAAAAGATTTTGTTACAATACTACAACATTTTATGAATATAGTGGTTAAGTTACGATATACATGGCGATGGTTTTTTCACCACGGTAATGGACAGTTCCAATCTCCGTTCGAAATTGTTTGTGGGTAATATATCATCAGACAATTACATGTCGACTTCTTTTATACCTCTCGATACAGGTGTATGTTTAGATGAGTCATGTCCAATTAATTCATCAAAAATACACCATGGACTTAAGTCATCTTTATCAGTTTCTTTTTCTTGGACTGATTGATTTTCAAGATTTACTAAACTTTTCGTTTCATCCGTTTTTCATAGTTAAAGAACCAGCTTTTAAAAAGTTTGCAGGGTGGATTCCTGGATATAAACCGCCAACAAGAAAAACTTTGTCAGGTTAGGTCAATTATTAGATCGCAAGTTGTTAAAGAAGTAGAAAATATCTGTATTGCTACTGACCTCTGGACATCTGGAGTAACTGAGAGTTACTTCGCATTAACAGGACAATATTTAACCGAAAATTTAGTATTTAAAACTTTTTTTATTAGGCTGCTGCCATTTTTCTGGAAACCATAATCCAGAAAACAGCGATTACTGAAATTATTAATCAGTCGGGTCTTAAACGAAAAGTAAATTTTGCAGTAACTGATAATTCCTAAAATATAGTCAAAGCTATTAAATATGTTTTGTTTTATGATGATTGTGATTTATGATGATGATTAAATTTATTGGTGGGGGACGCACTTAAATGCTGTCGTGTACAAATAGATAAAATAAAAAGTCCTTTTTTCGACAATTCTGCAAAAAAACACATTTCAAAAAAGTACCTTATCTTCAGAAAGGCTTTTAAAGTATTAATTACAACAGAACACAGTTCCCAAACGGCCAATCCAAGACGTGGAAACTAGGAAGAACTTCACCTATTACATGTTAAAAAGAATGACCGAGTTAGAAGAGGCAACCCGTTCCACATTGGTATTAAATAATACAGACTTAGACTTAAACCTAATCTAAATAAAGAACACTGGATTATTTGTTCTCAACTTTCCCAAATTTTACGGCCGTTTAAAGAAATAACAAGTACAATGAGTGACCAAAAATACTTGAATGCTAGTTCAGTGATTGTTATGCTACGCTGCCTGCAAGAATCTTGCAATAAAATTTTACCAAACGGCATACTTACATCCATAGTATATGACATAGTACAATTACTAATATCGAGTTTAGCAAAAAGATTTAGAGGGATAGAACAGAGTGGCACATTGTCATTATGTACATTTATGGATTCACGATTTAAAGTGCAGAACAAAACAAAAAGTTAAGAAGCTGGTTACTTCTATAATTAACGAACAAGAAGATTGTACTATTGAAAATCAACCTCAATACTGAATTCATTACTGTGGTCTAATAAAATAAAGATGCATACCAAACTTCGCGTATACAGAGCAATTGTAGAACCAATTACCACATATGGTGCCGAATGTTGGACGATGACAAAGAATGAACGAGATAAAGTAGACGTTGTGGAAATGGATTATCTTAGAAGGTCATGTCGAGTATCGAGAATGGAAAGAATCAGGAATGAGGAAATACGAAACCGTACAGGAATTAGAGATACTCTTTCAGATAGAATACAAGGAAGGCAATTACAATGGTATGGTCACGTGATGAGAATGGAGGAGGAGCGGTGGCCAAAGAAAGCCTTAATGTATGTTCCGCCAGAAAGAAGGAAAAGGGGAAGACCACCAAATTTCTGGAGAAGAGAAATTACAAAAACAATGCAATCTAGAGGCTTAGAAGAGGGAGATTGGGGAGATAGGAAAAGATAGAGGCTGAAATGCGGGAAGCGGCAATCGCCGTAGGACCCCCGTTATACGATGATGATGATTGTTTAGTTTATTTTTCAAGTTATAATAAATATATCATTAGGTAGTTTCTTTCACTTCAAAAGATATACACATAAACGATAATAGCCGTTATGTTTGTTTATGTAGGTACTATCTTACTTGAAACTACTTTTAAAACAATCATAGTTACTTGTTTATGAAAATTAAAATTTTTAAATGCTTTTTAGCATTCAAAAAAATTTAAATTTTTTTGGAATCCTGAGAAAACTAACAAATATTTTTGAAAAATTTAAATGCAGAATGAAAGATTACATTATTACCGAGGGCCGAAGGTCCCTTAGAATAAACAAAAAGTTTTTTTTAATGAGATATTTGAAATTAAAAATCACACTAAATTTTGTTTTTTTTTTTCATCCCTATAACTTATTAAAATAAACATTATAGAAGTTTTCAGGGACTTTCAGCTCTCGGTAATAATGTATTGTTTCATTTTGCGTTTAATTTTTTCAAAAATATTTATTAGTTTTCTCAGGATTCGAAAAAAATGAATGCATTTAATTTTTGGAGCAAAATTTCGGGCCACTTTGGCCCGAAATTTTGCTCCTACGCTCTTAACGATAAACTAGCACGACCCACCTCTACTTCTCGTTACTCGATCTTTTGACCAGACAACTATCTAGACTAGACGTTGCCAAATAAATTAGTGTATGAATATTTTTTAATTTGGCGTTATTGTATGCATGTTTAATTGTTTATTATTTCATATTGGGAAATTATTTTGATGTTTAGATTTTTAGTTCGGAAATCGTACTTAAAATACGAAACATTAATAAATTTTATTTATATAAAACGATTTCCAAAATGGAAATCAAAATGTTATATTACAATTATTGTAAAGAAAACTTGTGGCATATTCCCAATAAAAAAAAACAGTAACCTGCCATTTAAATCAATTTCGCCCAAATTTGATTATCTTGAGCATTTTATCTTCTTGATAGAACATTGTTCAAATGCAAAAAAGACAACAGGTCAAATAAAACCAATAAGTTTGGCAACGTTAAATTTCCCCTTTTTTAATATTTCCATTCGGCGATATAAAGGGCGTACCTAATATACCTCTCTCTTTTTAAACAGCTGTTTCTCACTCCATCTCACGTAAGGTCCATACCGACCATAAAATTTTTCCTACACTGTATAATATTATAGCATGTCTGGTTTTAAAATTCACATTTTCCATGAGTGTGTCTGACTAATATTAACATTCCTCACAAAACTGCTCTCTTGGTTATTAGTTCTATCTGCTGATTCCGAGTAAGCCTCGAGCCTAGTAATACCATGAGATACTTTACTTCACTCACCAGATTTAGTTTTATATCGTTTAGGCTTAGATTATTCAGTCCCTTTAAATCCACCTTCAGGTATACTTCATTGTTACTACAGTTAGTGCTTGGTATATTATATACATGTGGATATTCTCAACCCCGACACAGCTTGTCCCAATGGCTGATAGGTAACATCCTATGTATAAATAAATCTAAGTATAAGTTGTAACCAAATAAACACCCGCGGATCAAATGAGAACATGGCATAGAGGCTGCAGCTATGTCATTACTGTAGATTTGTCAATTGAATATGACACAAGCGCACAAACACACACACACACACCCACACACACTAACATTCACCATGGTCGATAGGTAAATCACAGGCAGCTGCATCACAACTGGCTCATTATACAGTCAGATTTCTTCTGCAACTACTACGCTTCCTAATCGCGAGGTGTAACACTATCGTGCCCAGGGAATGCATGGCACAGGAGAGAAAGTTTTGTCTTAAGCGATGTCCCAGAGAGCTAGCGGGGACATCGCTTAAGACATATAGCTTCTATAAACTTATGAAGTCAACTACTTCATAAGTTTATAGAAGATGTTTCGCTTTATACTTCTAAAGCTTCATCAGTTCTCTAAAATACAAAGATGACATAGAGTTTATAAGAAATACAGATCTAATAATTTATTACTTACAACTCAATATGTAGTATTAAAGATGTTATTGTATATGTACTTAAGTTTACTCATAAATTTTAGAACTAACTTAAAAAAATTTAACAGGAACATGCAAAAAATAGTATTCGCAGATCTTCGTATATATATATATATATATATATATATATATATATATATATATATATATATATATATATATATATATATATATATATATATATGTACAGTCTTTTCTCTCTATAACGATATGCAAGGGACCGGGAATTCTCATCGTTATAAGGAGAGATTGTTATATAGAGAGACACAAAATTCGGTACTGTAATATTAATAATACTGTACTAAATAACTTATTTTAATTTAAAAAATGTATCAAAACGAATATAAATGGATTAACACTGTATTGTACATCACATAGATATATTAAAGAATAGTATAAGCAATACAGCATAAAAGAATGACTGTACAATTAAAATAGGTCTACTATACAATAACAAAATATTATATAGTGTAAAACATATTTAGCCATTACCAAAAAAGTGTGTCACCTTGGTCTGTTTCCTTTTCCCTTGCCACAGAACTGACCTGACCTTGTCCTAAAGATGCGTAGAATCTTTCAGAGCACTCATACCGTCTTCCTGTTGTTTGAAGAAACGATGCAGTACTTTTGCATCATCTAATGCCTGCTGAGGGTTCGGAGCTGTCCGTAGGTGACAGTAAGTTCAAACTGTCTGGCTCAAACATCTAATCTCAGGTCATCTTCATCATCAGTCAATAGTTGATCTTCCAGCCATCCTGTTTGTTTGATTTTTAAACTCTTGATGACACTTTATTCCATGGGCTGAAGGACACGTTGTGTTTGCTAGCAGAAAACAAAGTTTAATGTTTTGAAGATGAGCAGGACAATTGTATACAAGCATAAGAATTTTTTTCCCTTCTAGCTAGATATCCCTTCTAGATATCCCAGTTTCTTATCGCTTCTTCAAAAATTTCCGAAGTCATCCATATACTGTTTTTTGCTTTATAGGTCACCGGTAGATTTTTTATATTTTTAAAGCAAAGTGGGTTTTTCGACTTCCCTATCACTAACAATTTTCGCTTCACCGAACCTGTCATGTTAGCAGCCACTAAAACTGTAATGCGTTCCTTAGAGAGCTTTCCACCAACACAGTTTTCCGATTTAAATTTTGAAGTTTTGTTTTGTGTAATTTTAAAAAACAGTCCAGTTTCATCAGCATTGAAAATGTCGTCTGCATATTGTGCCTTCAGTCCAGACCACACGTTTTCTAGCCAATCGTCCATTACGTTTTTGTTAACATCGCGAGCCTCTTCGCTGATTTGACCGTAGTTGATTTTGTGCCGCAACTTCCACTTGCTCAGCCAATCCTCAGATGCCTTAACATTCTCAATTTCAAGCTCAGTTGAGTAGCCACAGTTGACTGAGACAGCCCCGTACGGCGAACAACATCCGATTTCTTTTCACCTTTCTGTATTGCTTGAGTTATCGATAACTTTTCCTCCAACGAGAGTACTTAACGCTTTTTTGAAAACATGTTAACTGTTGACACACTGAGACACAACTCAAACTGGAAATGAAAAGTCTTCAATAGATGACAACATCTGTGTGATAACAGTTAGACATGTCGCCCGATCAATCAACCGCTGGACAATGACCTTGCCATTCCTGACTTAGATAGTCTGAACTTTAAACACAATAATACATTTGTGATCGACTATTAAACGCTGAAAAGTCATCGCTATAAAGAGAGAACGATATCGGTATAGAGAAAGAATTAATACATTGTCCTTATGATGAACCAACCAAAGTTTACTATTTTCATCGTTATAGAGGAATTATCGTTATATAGGGAATCGTTATAAAGAGAGACTACTGTATATATATACTGTCAAATTTTAGTTTTAGATCATTTTTAAATTTTTACTTACTTATTGCTGACTTGCAAAAGTACATGTTTTTATACTAATAAATACTCTACTCTAATCAACAAATATACAGTACTGACATAACTGTCATATGTCCTCAGTTATTCACAGTTTATTTGGATATACATACTTTATTCACACTTGTCTTATTTATCATAGGACATTCCCGATCAGTCATTGGAACGCTAAATGTCGGGGTTGAAACATCCCAATGTATCTGCACACATGTACATAAATATGCTTATTCATTTATACGCGCATATATATTACCGCAATTTTGAGAATTCGTTGTGTGCTAAGAGAGAAAAAACTGATACATCTATAAACAAACAGAAGCCGTCAGTTTGGCATTAGGTTGAAGAATAATTTAATATAATTAGTGACCTGCTTTCCTAGGAATTTCAACCATTTCAATTACTATTAGAAATGTTCGTCCGTAAGTTCGTTAACTATATCATTCATACTTAGGACATGCAGGATTCGGAACCCGGAAGTAATTACCTATTAAAAAGTTTTCAATAAACCATGAAGTTCATTTGCTGTACGTATTGGAAAGCTATAGAAAAACAGAAAAAATTACAATACAAAAAATACAAAATTAGATTACAGATTAGAATAACCCGTGGCTTATAGCCATTTAATTTAATAAAACATTTACTTTTAATTACACTGATTAGCAGAGTAATTTTATTTTTTAGCACAGTGCAGATTTTATTTTTTACAATTAATTCGTCTTTCTTATATTTAGAATCTTCCTCAAGTCCAGAAAAGAACGGGTCAATTCCAGAGATTAAGATTACTTCGTCAGAAAGTTCAGAATCGAAGGATGTAACTTCGGAATCTCAGGCGACACAGAACGGAGAGGCATCGGAAGATGTTGAGAAAACGAATGTTACCAGTTCAATTCCACAAGAAAATGGGGATGTCAGTAATAAAGGTAAAGGAAAAGCCCCGATACCAAAATCTCCCCAAAAACCTGCTGTGACTAGGCCTAAAAGAAATGCTAAACAGTTATATAAGAAGCTTTTGGACTTCAAACCCGAGGAAGAAAGCGATAGTGAAGATGAAGATGATACCACATTTGAAGGTCCAAATGGTAAGATGATTGGTAACCTCTTTTATGGCGTTTTCGTTGTTGGATTGGCAATCTTCATGACTACCAGTTCTAACAACTATGAACCATATCTCCTGATTATGTTAGGTGGGATTTAATTAAAATATCTAGGATGGTGTAAGAATAAAACACTGAAATTATATGTTAAAACTATAATTTCATCGTGGATGTTTGTCGATCTTCTTCTTCTTGTAGAGCCTATCCGTTTCGGATGTTGGCGACCATCATAGCAATCTGTACTTTGCAAACTGCTGCTCTGGAAAGATTTGTGGTTGTTGTGTTAAGCTACTTACGCAGATTTTTCAGCCAGGAAATCCTTCGCCTCCCTGGTCCTCATTAAACTTTCGCTATCTTTCCTCATTTATCTTTCGATAACCTATATCTTTCGCTGTTCCTCATGATGTAACCAAGGTATTCGATTTTGGCTTTTTCTCTTGTGGTTATTAACTCTTTTCCTTTTTGCATTCTTAATAAAACGTTCTGGTTAGTACGCTTTTTCTCTTGTGGTTATTAACTCTTTTCCTTTTTGCATTCTTAATAAAACGTTCTGGTTAGTAACGTGGTCGATATAGGATATCTTAGGATTCGACGATAAAGCCATATTTGGAAAGCCTCAATTTTCTTGCAAATAGTGTATGTGACAGTCCACGACACAATTCCGTGTAACAGTATAGGAAAGATATAACATCGTAGTAATCCAATTTTTATGGTTAGGTTAGGCAGTTTTTATGGTTAAGCAGATCTAGCTTTCTTTATCCTACAATTTATTTCTAGCGAATTGTCCCAATTTTCATTGACGTTCGTACCAAAGTAGGTGTATGTTTTTACTCTTTTTATTGGTTTACAATTCGCACTGATTCTTTCAATTTGCCGTTCGTTTTTAGAGATCATCATACATTTTGTTTTCTTAATGTTCAGTGAAAGTCCATATCTCTGACTCACTTCTGTGATTCTATTCATTAAATCCTGGAGGGCTTCATAACTGTCAGCGAATACCACCGTGTCATCCGCGTATCTGATGTTATTGTTACATTCTCTGTTAATTCGAATTCCGGCTCAGAAAGATTTCCTCAGAGTATATGTTAAACAGCAAGAGTTATAGTATACATCCCTGTCGGACCCCACGTTTGATTTTGATATCGGATTCTTCTGCCTCTGTACGGATAGACGATTTATGATTCCATTAATGATTGCTAATAATTCTAAGATCACAGGTATTTATTCCAATGTTTGTTAATATCTCCATCAGCTTGTCGTGTTTTACTGTATCAAACGCTTTATGGTAATCAATGAAGCATGCCTAAATATGGCAATTAACATCTCTACATCGTTGCAATAGCCCTTGTATCCTAAAGAGAGATTCTCTCGTACCCACTGCGTTCCGAAATCCAAACTGTGTACGGCTGACTTTTTTCGCATAGTCTATATATCCTTTGATGTATGATTTCTAGAAATAACTTTAAAATGTGGCTCATTAAGCTGATGGTCCGGAAATCATTACAGGATACGGATTTTGTTTTCTTTAGTAGAGCAATAAACATTGACTTCAGCCATGATCTTAGCTTGACTTCAGTCATTGAATATTTTTTTTAGTTGTTGAGTACCGTCGGTGTTAAATAGTTCAGCATATGCACTGTCAGGTCCAGGGGCTTTGCCATCTTTTAGTAGTGATATTGCTTTTTCCACTTCATCTGATGTGATTAGTAAGTGGTCATTACATATGTAGGGTGCAGGTTGTTCGGACCTATTATCATCAAAGAGTTCTTGTATGTATTTGATCCGTATGCATATTACTTCTATTTTTATCTGTGATGATGTTCCTCTGTTGATCTTGCAGTTTGGTAGCTGTGTTGAATTTTTGATTGTCGATCTAATCCTAATATTGGAAAAGAGATTATCAAATAATCTTTGTATTTAATTTTAATTGATATTTTAAGATTTTTTGGCTCATAAATATGAAACCTAATCAAGTGAAATTCAATAAAGTGGTCAGAGTTACATTGAATAGAAAATATGTTTTATATTGATCTGATATAAGATCAAGATGGGTATGTAATGCTGCATGAACAAATTTGAAGGATTTAAATTAGACACATACATTAGTTGCAAAGCAGATATCTTGCTGATTAAGAAGTTACTTAGCAATTTTTTGGCCTATCACGTCCTAACACCCCTCCTTGTTTATCCCAGAATGTATCATATTATTATTAAATGCGCTTTCACTAAGTTTTTTTAGCTAATGAGAATAAATGACAATAAAGATAACGATCGATTATTTAGACGAAAGTTTAGTGTCATCTTAATTCAGCAATTTTTTGTTGAGAATTTTTTACACTTTTCCTACATATTTTTTTTGTTTAATATAGTAAGTAATTATTTTGATTATTGATCTTCATATATTCTCGATATTTTCTCAATGTATCTTAATCGCTATTCTATTCTTATCAATTATCTGAACAATTTTCATATTAATGTGCATCTAATCCTATTATAGAGGATTCGTCAGATGATGAAGCCGACGTTAACGTTGCAATAGAAGCAGAAGGTTCTGAAGAAGAGTGTGAAGAATCAGGCGAAGAGGAAGAAAGTGAGGAAGACGAAGCAGATGACTACGAGAACCCGGAAGTTTCGGAATTCGCAAGAAATATGAAAGACGAGCCAGGATCTGATAGTGGATGTACTGCAGTAGTAGCACTTTTAAAAGGAAATGAATTATATGTTGCTAACGCAGGTGATTCCAGATGTATTGTTTGTAGAGACGGTAAGTAAATTTAATTTTAAAATCTACGAAATATTGAATTATATAATTTTTTAAATGATGTTACGAGCAGTGCCCGTTGAGAACGATTTCCGAAGTGGAAATTGAAAAACCAATAAACGTATTTTAACCTTTAATTGTGGCTTATTCCCAGTTAAATAGTAATTAATTTTAAATGCCGCAAGAAAATAATTAGAACAATATTAAGAAACTGTTCATTAATTACACAACCACTTGCTTTACATGTTCTTTGGCCACCCATATTTATTTAAGTACTGCACAATATTAAACTTTCCTTTACTAAATCATTATGTTCTTAGGTAAGGCGATAGACATGAGCTTCGACCATAAACCTGAAGACGCACCAGAACGTGAACGGATAGTCAAAGCAGGTGGAAATGTTACAGGTGACGGTAGAGTTAATGGTGGTCTGAATCTCTCACGGGCGATAGGAGATCACGCGTATAAACAAAATAAAGATTTATCTGATAAGGAACAGATGATTACAGCATTACCGGATGTCAAAACGTTGACTATTAATCCCGTCGAGGATGAATTTTTAGTTTTGGCTTGCGACGGAATTTGGAATTTCATGTCTAGTCAAGAAGTAGTTGATTTCATTAGGCCGAGAATATTGGAATCGAAATCCAAGCTCTCGACTATATGTGAAGAGGTACGTATGTAGGTTAAAATGCATATTGTGTTACACAACTTTTATAATTTTTAAATTGGATTTTTATTTATTTATTGTATGGCCATTCAAACAAATATCTAGACTCTAAAATTGCGAAAAGGAACTCACTATTCAATAATTTGGTTAATGGCTTGATATATCCACAGTCACATGCTGTGTGAAAAACTTGTGCCGCGTTCGGTTCCATGTGTCGTGCTTGGACGATTAAAACCTGCTATAGATTGTCTCAAAGTGACTAGTCTGTACAGGGTAAATGCACAACATCGATGCCATACTTCTTTGAAAACTTGTATTAAACTAAACCTCACTTCATACTAGTTGCCTAATCCATCTTTTGTGTTGAGGGTAGCTTAAGTACTAATGCCCACTAACGACCCTGTCTGGCTTCCTTCTGTCAGTGGTTCTCAAACAAATAATATTTACTACAACATACTTGAGTTAAATTAAAATAAAATAGAAATTAAGAAATGCCTTTTATTTATGTCACACAAGCAGTTTGTTTTTAATTCTACAGTATGTGCTAGCGATACAAACAATTATAGATTTAAATAAAATCGAATAAAATAAAACTAAAATATAAAGAAACATTTTATTTATGTATTGTTCCGTTCAAAAGGGAGAAGGACTTTTAAAAACCGCACTGTATATTATGTTGGCAGTAACAAAACGTAGAAATATCCGATAATAAAACTAATAAAAAAGTTGAAAATAAAGGAAGTCATTGTATTTAATTTCGTGTGTATGTAATCGTAATTGTACACCATCATATTTAGTTCCTTTTTCTGTCAATCACTGTCACGTTTAGTTTCTGCTTAACTATCATCATAATCATCATTATTATCGTCACTGTCATCACTATCTCCGTTATTTATATTTATAATAATTATTTCGATATCATCCAACAAATTGTCAATTTCCCACATTTTTTTTTTCTGTTGCTATTACGTGGTTTACGTAGTTTTTTCATTTCTCTGGCGTAATGACCTAGTACGCTGCTGTAATTAAATTTCGCATTTCAGCTTCTTTAAAATTCGCGTTGCATCCAGCTATATACCATTTCACTTCACTCCAAACCATTTCAATGTGATTGAGTTCAAAGTGATAGGGTGGGAGCCTCAGAATCTTCACATTGTACTTTTTGGCAATATTTTCTATTATGTACCTGTCATATTTTGCTTTGAAGGCCTTGACTACATCAAGTAACTCGCATTTTAGGTAGTCTTCTTCAAAAAATAGGTGCTTTGACAGAAGCCATTCTCGAATATCTCTTTTTAGTGTTGAACTGTTGGCAATTTGTTCTGACTTTCTGTTGTGCAGGCATTTTCCATTACCACAACAGTTTTTTTCTGGCAAATTTAGCATTAAGATATTTTCCAACCAATTTTCGAAGGTCCATTTCGTCGTGGTAGTCCTGAGTATTTTTCTTTGCCAAAACGTGAGTTCTTCTTTATCAACAAATCCACTGGTAGATCCTGCATGTAATAAAACGAACCGTGCACCACGAGCTGTTGGAACTTTTAATCCTGTTGTAAGACGAAGAACAAAGGCATCGCGATGAGATGTAATTGTTTTATCAACACATTATTTTTTCACACAGTGTCCGATATTTACCCATGATTCATCCATATACACTATGTTGTATCTTTCTTCACGGTGTTTACGAATTGCGCGTAAATAACGATGACGCCACGAGATGATTTCTGGTTTTTCAATCAAAATTGAATTTCTGCCACGTTTTTATAAACACAAAATCCATATCACTCAGCAAGCGATGTAGCGTGGCCGTGAGAAGTTGGGCAAAGTTTCTTCGACATTTACAACAGCTAATATGGTGTTTATTGTTGGTGGTATGTTGTAACGAAAAAATTTATGAACTATTCTACGAATTTGGCCCCTGACACCTTCATCGTACTTGTTGTCACTAGAAATACCAACCTTTCATTTCTTGGGCCTGCTCTTTGGATATTGTAATCCAGCAGGTGATGAATATTCTTGTCGTATGCGAAACCGAGTCTTTTCGCAAACACCACTCATTTCTGACACTTTCCTAATTATACTTGATACGGAATCGTAGTTATCCTGATTATGATAATTAATAATATTCATTAGTATCTGCTTCTCTGAAAGTTTCAAAGCTTTCCCACGTTTCCATTGAACAATTTCCTCCGTTTTGCAGTAAAAATTCGGCGCCAAATATAACAATAACCAACAACAGAAAATAACAATAATTGCCAACAGCAAATCACAACAGACACCAACAAATAATAACAATAACAAAACAGTAACAGTACATCCAAGATGGTACAAATAATCGTAACTTGAATCTGTTTACGCGCTCCGAATAACAAAGACTAATTAGGCCCTGGATGTATCAAGCTTTTAAACATGTTCTGTACAAGAATTACTCTAATTGCTTCTTAATTACTGAATAACTTAGAAGAAGGTAATTAACAAAAATTTGAAACAAATGTTTAATGCACATTTTATTATACTACTGCTACGAATAAAAGATAAAAGTTGATAAGTTACTATTAGAAACAAATAGACTTATTGAGTACTCCTGGTTTATTCCGTTTATTATGAAAGATACACAATAGAGAGATAGACAAAGATATTCAATACATCTTGTAAAATATTGCTTGAGGATTTTGTTGGGGGTTTTATAATGTATTGGTAATATTTGTATCCTCAATATCTTGGCGAGTCAGTTGGTTTCTGTTGTCCATGAACTTTTTGTATTCGCGTGTAAGGGCATTAACTGATCTCAAATCTGGTTGTAGAATATGACGAATACTGGGGAGCGGAGTATACATGTAAGGCAGATCGCACTAGAAAGTGCAGTAAGGCTAACACAGGCACCTGACTCATCATTATGGCCAGCAGATGTGTTATTGTTGAGCTTCAGCATATCGGATAGTTTGATTAATGATATTTCTCCACTGGTCGCTGTCATCTGTTACATGTACTGTTTGCTAGAATATTTTTCATAATAATTGTATATTTAAACCAGTTGCTATCGACAAGTCCTCACAGACACTTCATTTAAGGAGTGGACCTCAACCCCAGTGGAGTCCTACGTTACCATGTGATCAATTTCTTTTATGACATTATCAGCTTTTAAATAGCAAAGATGTAATTATACTAACTACATTTATAGGGTTTTTACCCACATATTTAGTGACTTTAAACATGTAAATCCAGATAGCACTGCTGATAGAATAGTTATTCCGAAAGCATTCTGTGATATAGCTCGGGTTTTATTTATCAATATACCTTTTATAAAGGAAATTTTTAAGACTCTGAGGCCTTCCTTAGATTACCAACCGCTCCATTTTGTGATCACTTCGATGGATATGACCAAAGAGCTTTAAAATTCTATAGTAAATAGTACTAGCGCTAAATATTTTCGAGGTTATCCGTATAATTATGACTGAAGTCAAATAGCCACGTCTAACGTCTAAAGGTGTGAGACTATCGATTGTGGTAATGTAATGTAAATTATAGGTTTCTATCGATTATTTCCCACCTCTACGAGTTTCATCTCTTTTTATTTCACAAGGAAACTGTGTTTTCTATCTCTTACGTTAAAAAGCCGGGTGGTAAGGCACGCATCACTGTATACAATTCAATTTTACCTTGTCCTAAATGTGATCAACATAAATGACAATATCATATATCTAAGCTAATCAGTCACAATTTACACTTTTTAGACCACACTCCATACGACAAAGAGTAACATAGGCTGCCTAATGCATACGTCATTGTCTTAAACATGACCTTTAACTCAATCGGTAATTTTACATCTTTCACATCCAAAATTCAATAATAAAAAACTTTAAATCCCAACACCTGGATTGTTGTTATCATTTTTAACATCACTAAATCGTTTGGCTGCAGTAATATTATGTATAACTAACACTGTTCCATGGTGCATTGACATTTTGTTTTCGACACCGTTCATAGGTATCTTGTCAATCAGTTACCAGCTGAAGTCCGTTTGAAGAGGTCTACCCTCCGGACACTGGTACTCACGTAAGGCATGGGTGTATGTTACCTGAAGTAAAATATAATAAAATATTAAACATACTTAATTTTTAACAACAATATGTACAATCTTTGGTAACTTTATTTACTTTTTTTACCCTAATATTTTGGTGGTTCAGGCATATTAACCTGTAAGTATAATCATTTTGCTTTTTTAACCTTAGTTAACATTTCAATCACGTTTGCTTTAATTAAATGGTTCATACTTATTTTAGGGTTTTAACCTGATGATGGAATTATTATTCCGAAAACGTTTGTTATTTTGATGTAGCCCTTTTAAGGGTTTTTTAAATATACCTACTTACAAAGATTAAACCTCTTTTTGTGATACATGGTATACAGCCAGATGCAGGAATTTATTTTCCTTGTGGATTTTGTTTGAAAAAACGTCTCAATTTATGCATTGCCTCAGCTAACTAAATTGTGGTGACGACTCCGAAGTATACAACTTTTGAGTCAGTAATACCTCGGAATTGTAAAAAGTTCCTTAACCTTTTTTGACTGCCATAAGATGAATCGTGTGAAGTACATGAAAACCGCTTTGCGGTAAATAAAGAATAAATGTCAACGAGGTTGTTGATTCTCATTAAAGAAGAGGCTAATGTGCCTTTCATTTGCCCAGAACTATTTTGTCGTATGCCAAAAAGCCATATAGTGAAAGTTATTCCAGAATAGTAAAAGGAACTTAGTCTAGTGTACTGGGCCGAAGGTAAGCTATAAGTTATTACAAACTTCTGCTCGCTATGCAGTTATTTGTCTGCAACTGCAGAGCAGTTGATTGCATGCGTCATAAGTGCCCAGAATGAGTATTTTTAAAACCTAACTAAACTGATAATATGGTTATAATATAGGTTTTCTTAGAAGCCCTGTATCTGTTGGGCCGTTCATAGATGTAGGGTGTAGACAAAAGATCTACGAGGCCAACAAACCTTTGAAATCTACAATCTCTGTTTTGAAAGCATTTGGTTGTAGTCTTCACTTGCTAAAATATTTCCCCATTTTTCTATGCTTTAGTTATTTCTGATGTTCTACACCTTAATTATCTTAATGCCAGACGTCTGTTTTTTGCGGCATGCAAAAACTCGCCAGTATTATTTATCTCTGTCCAGTTCTTTATATTCCATAGCCACAACATTCGTTTCCGACCTACTCTTCTCTTGTCCTCAATCTTTCCATTTAACAAATGCAGCTGATATTCATCCGCATAACTTCGTTCCGGTAGAAAAAGTTTTTGGGTAATCTGAAATGAAGAAAAGAACATGACTACAGTTTCTAGCTATAATTTATTTAAATAACCATTTAAATTTTGTTTCAGATGTTCGATCATTGTTTGGCACCCCATACTTTAGGAGATGGCACGGGTTGTGACAATATGACAGCGATAATAGTCCAATTTAAAACGAACATTTTAAAAAGATCTGCATCCCCCGTTCCTATCAAAAGTGATATAGTAAAAAAGATAAAGACTGAAGAAACGGTAAAATCTGAATCTGGTGCGACAAAGAACGAAGATGCGAGTAAAACAGAAACCGGCGTGGAAAAGACTGAAGATGATTCGCTAAAAATGGAATCCGGGACGGTCGCGTGAAAAAAAATTTTTATTGTTACTGTAACCATTTAACGAAGATTGTCCCATTGAAAATTTGCTCTGGTTTGATAAACTTGGATCATACTTTTCATCGTATTGTTAATATTGGACATTTTAATACCAATCACAGCTATTTGATATAAGAAACATCTGCTCAAATTATTTTTTCAACTTGGTTGAACAGAGAACTCTTAAATATTCAACAATGAGTCTTTATCATATTAGATTTCTTGAAATGTTTTCTTTATTTAGAAGATTGATATTGTAAAAAAGCTGTTCTCAATTAAATCAACATTATTGTCGTAACGATGGCTAATAATATTGCTTTTATATTTTGTATTCATCTTTTTTTTACAACAATTACAACAATTTTAAGGAACACAGTCGAATATCATTCGTATTGACGTTATATATTACGCATTTTTATAACCAGAACATTAAATTATTGTCAAAGCATTGGTTGATAAAGGTGGTATAATTTCGTTGGTTTTGAAATGATATAATGTTTATTTTTGCAGCAATTTGTTGACAGCTTACAAGCATGTGCGATGTTTCTTATTAAAAAATTGTAATTGCTTTAGAGCAAAGGTACAGTATAATTAAAAATAAATTCAAGTTGTCCATGATAAAACAATGATAATCTGAAATGGAACAATCTGTAAGAATAGGTAACAGTATGTCTATACTTATGTTATTTCCAATTAGTTTTGTAAAAAGATGTTTTTAGTTAAGCATTTTTTCTTGGTAAATTTAATACCATCGGGTACATAGATTGCTTGTTAGTATTTTGAAATTATTGCAGGAAATATAATTTGGTTATGATACTTTGTATTGCCAGAAATTGTCGATATTTCTTTCGTTTCAGTTCATAAAAGAGTTAAAGTGTTATTGTATATAAAAAACATCATTCTTAACTTACATTCCATAGTTTTATAGAAATGTATGAACTTATTAATATGATCCTATTCATTGCCTATTCTCGTTCTTTTATGTTCTTTAAAATCAACGGTAACCCAGTGATTTTAAAACTAAAATTAAACACTAAAAGTCATATTTATTGGGAAGAAAAGGCAAAAATTGATTCATTTTGCTTCCAGGTGTTTTAGTTTTCGTTATATTTTACAGGAATAATACCGCTTAGGACTTTATTATACGAGAACTGAATCTCATCGCCTTAACAGCGCCGCGGTAGCGTCGGCCCAACCGGACAATGACACTACCATGGAGTAAATAATTACACGAACGACATTCGTAGCGCGGACAAAGATATCTCAACATGACGCAACTACAGTCACGTATAACTTGAAAATTATGTGCCCTATCAACGCGACGACATTATCGCTCTTATATATAAGGAACATAAAGACGGAGTAGGTTTCGACTTGCAGGTTGGAAGTTTTTTCAAAAATGCAGTTAATTTGGGATTTATAGGCCATGGTCTGGAATTATTTCTTCCTGTCGTTTCGTTTTCAACTGCGACTGACATTAAGACACAAAGGCGATGCGGCAGTAGACGTAAATATCTAATCATTGATAATCACTCATTAATGATCAGTTGCTGTATCGCACATACGTCGGTTTATGGATTTACCCGGCCAAAATTATTTTGCAGCATATTTCTACTAAGACTCGTGCAAATCAAACGAAAAAAATATTGTTTTTAAAAAATTGTCATCTGTTTTTCATAAAAAAAAAAATCAAACTCTTAAATAAACAAAAAGAATACATGTTTTTATTTATACCTCAGACATTGGTGACTGACATATATGGGACTCAGGATTTGGTTCACCCGGTAATAGCATTTGAATTGTTTCAGGGCAACATGACCCTTTTCTGTAGCCGTTTCTTGCTGTTTAAAATGGTTAATAGTGGGTCAAAAGTTACGGTCGATGTCATGTGGTGCCATCCATATAGATCAATCATATTCACCAAATTTTGGAAGCCTATTTTATAGCCGCTTGAAATTATTCCCAGTATAATCTTTAATCTATATATTAATTCAAAATAAACTTTTGTTATATCGGTAATTAATTGAAGATTTTTAAAGAATCCTCGGCTAGTATTTCCGAAATTTGCTTTTGCCATGTCGGCTAAAAATCCAGTTTCTTTTCTGAATGTGTTTTCTTGTGAGCACGTTTCCTTTTCTTCATAAGTTCTCTTCTTCAACGTAACTGATTTCTTTATTCGTTATATCAGTACTTTCTTTCACAAACCCTAATCATATAGGTCTGCAATTTATAAGCGAGGATGGTATTGGGTTTTGCCTTTTTTACCTTCTGTCCCACATATTATTTTAAAACGAACAAAAGAAGCGCATCGTCAAATTTCTGTACGCATCTGGCTTGTTTAAATCCGTTACTACCCCATTTACAAATGTTTTTTAAAGAATTTCTTTCATTATCATTTAGAGAACAAAGGGTTTCTTCTAACACTACCAATAACCGTTGAACAGTGTTTTCTATTAAGCTTTGTAAACTGAGTTCTGCGCAAGTCGCTTATAATCTTTATGCAATAAATGGGCAGATAGCATTGTTTTTTTCCTTCGACAATAAGTCATAAAATGATTTATTTGTATTTCTAATAATTTCATATTTTCGCTTGGTTAAATCGGCTTTAGGGCTTTAAACGGTGTAAGAGCACTAATGTCCTCTTTATTCATTTTTATGTAGGCGTCTCTGTATTTCCCTGCACAAGTTGGAGGGTTTTGTGATCTCTTTTAGTATTTTTAGAGCCTGTAATGTTGTCTATGCTGCATGAACCATAACTTCACCATCAAGCAAAGAACATATTTATTCCGTTTTTCTTCAATAAGTAATTTTCCAAATCATTCAGTTTGTCATCTAGATTAGTAAATCTTGTTGCTTTATTTGGTCGTAATGTATTTACGGGTTACTATTTTCATGGTAGACGCACTAGATGTGGCCAAAACAACGAAAATCCTAACTTATTATAATTAAAACAATTAAGTACTTTTTTTGTGACTTCATCCAATATAGCAAAATTTACAAAAACCTCTATATTTCATTTACAAACTGGTTGTACAAAATGCAGTACAAAACGGCTTGCTTGGATTTTCTAAAAATAATATAAATTAACACTAAACATTCTTTAAATATTTCAAGAAATATTTATTCTTACCTTACCTGCGCGCGCGTTCGCACGTGCGTGGTGAACAGTTCTGGAGTGGTGATAGTATTTTTTGTTAAAACAAAACATCATTTGTCTCTAGGATGTTTCTTGAATTTTTAACGTCACTTTTGAAATTTGACTTTGATCGGCAAATTATTTAACATCAACGTATGAAGTCAAGAAGAAATAATTCCTGAATATAGCCTATAAACTCCGAGAATATTGTATTATTACAAAGCACCGACTGCGAAAGCCAACACTCCTTGACAGTTTATTTTGTTGGGTGCCTGATTTTTTCTTCGGTTTCTAGCTGCTTCATTTCATCTAGGGGTTTTCCTTTATACTTCTTCTATTGCGTCCAACCACTCCTCTCCGCATTCTCATTCACGCTTTTGTCTAAATCTTCCTATACTCATAAAACATTTTTCTTAATTTAAGTAGTGTGTTACGTCCTTTCTAAACGACTTTCTAAATATTCATTTCATTAATATGAACAAAAAATGCTGAATACAAATTTATTTAATTATTTTACAAGCCAATATGTACTGTTTTTGTGGCTTTTATTTTTAAATGCTGTTAGAACTGTCATTCGTCTTCAATGTTAGCCGTCAGGGGTATCGGCACGTGCCAATTAACGCCAAAAGTTTATAGACTTCGAGACATTTTAGGTGTAAACAGATTTAAAAGTTAAAGCCATAAAAGCATTTTATCTTGACTTGCGCTATAGTAATTTTTCAAGGTGCCTTGGCGAAATCATTATCGTCAATATTCAAAATAAATTTGTCGATAATTTCAACAATAGTAGTAATATTTCATTTATAGTATGATTTTCATATCGACTAGATTAGTATTCTACAAATATATATGACCTTTGCAATAATTTTTCTGTTATTTATTATTAATTTGGTATTATTTCCACACAGATATGCAAATAGATATTACAATGAGTTTTGGTATGGAAAAATAAGAAAAAATGTATTATTTTAATATTTTTAGATGACTGAAATTGCTATTTGAACAATAAATACCCCTCTTTTTCTTTTGTCTTTGTACATGCCATGGTAGAGGTGCCTTCAGTTGAAAATGCCCGTGGCTATTTTCATTTTGTAACATAATTGTATTTTTATGTAGTTTGTATTAAAATTAAAATTTGTGAGTTTTTTATTTAGTTTTTTATTTTCGTTGCCTCATCGCCTTCATTTTTCTTAAGTTTGAAAATAAAAATTGTAGATTTTAAACAAGCTTATGACGCTGTGAACAGGGATACACAGTGAAAGGTAATGGTAGAAATGGGAGTGTCCAGAAAGGCCGTATGTGTGAGCAGAATTCAATATGTGCCTTCATATCAGAATTGACAGCAGTGCATCCAATAAAACGTGCCTAAGAGAAGGCGATCCTCTTTTTCCTGTGTTTATGCAACTTCACTTTAAACACGCAATTAGGAAAGCATAACCAGAATTACCGAATGGCTTCCCTGCCCAGGGACCGAAAGTACTTTTAGCTTTCCACCAAGATTCAGGACTGTTTGGAATTATTGCTACAACGAATATTTTACTGTACAAGTAGAAGTATGAAAGTAAATTGGTCTAATTATTATTCCATAAAAAAGGATCTTCTGTCACTATGACATATAAACTAAAATTATTTCAGTTGGTAGATGTTCAGATAGACGCAAAATTTATTGTGAAAATTAATCCGAAAATAACAAAAAAATTTACGTAAACGCTCCTACAAATAAATACAATGACCTCTATGAAGTTAAAATGTGTTCATCAGCCATTTGGGTTGGATTTCGGTGAAATGTAAACACCAAAGAGGCGCGCCGGGTATCTTTATTACTTTATTAGTTACTACAACGGTAATAAAAAGAAATATATTATTTTTAATATAAATAAAAAGAAATTGGCAGAACGGTGGTTCAGAAACCAGAAAAAGAATCTGGTATTCCACTTTGTTAGTTTGTTGTTTGCTTTGAGTGGATATACTCTTAAAAGTTCCGAAAGTAACGAGTATAACATGGCGGCTATTGGTAGTTAAAGTACCGAGTCATTACAGATATTAAAAAGTAACGAAAATTTACAGTTTCATAAATCACCGATTGATTTTAGTTTTAAAAACCGTCCGTATAGAGGTGTCCGGTGAAGAGACGTGTCCGTTAAGAGAGAGTTTAGTGTAGTGTATTTGTTTGTAATGGTGATAGGAGAATAAGAGTACGTTTTTTTGTTTTTTAATACTTATTGAATATTCGACTAAATAAATTAAACTATTTAATCACTTAAGTATTGTTACACTTCGTTTAAATCACTTAATTCAAAAACCAACTTGTTTACAATACTAAAGTCAATGAGAGTAATTATACGAGTATACTTCAAAATCTGAATTACAACTATTCTATAAACTATCAATTCTATATTTAGATTATAACTTCATATTTAAATCTAAGGTGTATATCTGTCATAACAGTATTTTAAAAATGGGGAGAATTTACCATTGTACAATTCAGCACATTGGACCATTTAAGTCGACACCTTAAAGCGAATTTAAAACAGTCGTATATTCGTGGAATGGAGTATACATGGTAGTTACCAGAAATCTATGACTAAGAATTAGACAAAACATTTCGATAAATAAATACAATTTCGAAGTTGTCAAAGAATTTCAAATACTTGGGAGCAGTAGTAACATCCGAATATAGTTATGAAAAAGATGTAACAACTAGAAGCATGGCATTGAATAGAACGTATTATTCCCTAGCGAAGCTACTTAACACTCCGATCGACGACTGGAGGGGAGTGCAACTGCACCCCGCTGCCGGTGCCAATTTGCAGATGGTATATAATTAGCCAAGAATTTTGTTTTCCTCCTGTGCCTCCTTGTACCATTTCTTGCAAAATTAGTTTGGGAATGTAGTACGTATTTGCTTTCCCTAAGGATATTCATTATGCAGTATCTCATTATTGGTTTGATGACTGTTTTCTAAATTTTGCCTTTTATTTCTTTCCCGATATTTTTATTACCCCATGTTGTTTCATTCACGAATCCTGCGTCTTTGTTTGCTCTATTTACTTAATCTTATGTTTCTAGCTTTCGGTAGCGAAATAGTGATGCCTAGATATTTAAATTCCTCCATCACTCGTTGTATTATTTGATTCTCCAATCCTAATTTACATCTAAGTAAATTTGCTGTTATAAGCATGCATTTTGTCTTTTTTGTAAAAATTATTGTTAAATTGTCTGGCAGATATGTTAATTTGGTACAGCATACGCTGTAAACCATCTTCACTCGGAGGGATTAGTAATGCGTCGTCTACATAGCAGATTATTTTAAGTTGTTTTTCTCGAATTTGGTATCGTTTTTTCGTACTTACTTTTTTTATTATCCATTTCATCCATGATAATGGATGAAATGGATCAATAGTTTGACCTTCTTAAATGCTCCCTTAAGGTCCACGAAAAATAAACATAAGGACCTTAGTTTTCTTCTGCTAGCGTTATAATTTCATTGAGTTTATTTGTTGTCACGTTGATTGTTAATTTTAGTCTTGTGTTTAATAAGTTAATTCCTCTGTAGTTCTCCAGGTCAGATTTGTATCCCTTTTTGAAGAGAGGATTCTTGACCTCCATTATTGTGGTATTCTGTTTTGTTCTAATATTTTTAATAGTTATATGGTCAGATTTGGTCCTCCGTACTTTAGGAGTTCGTTCGGTATTCTGCCCTCTGCTGGTGAGTTTCTATTAGTTAATTTCCTTAATGCTTCCTTTACCTCTTTCTCGTCAATGTTTATTTCTTCGTTTGTTGTCACTTTTACTGTTGGTCTCAACAAAAGTAGTTTGCTGATAATTTCTTCTGAATGTTTTTTTGTTAGTCCGTTCATTTTTTTTCTTTGTCCTCTGATCATTCTCCATATTTTTTTGTGTTCCGTAAAAGCCGTGTTCTATTTGAGAAATATCTAAACCAAATTTAACTTAAAGATGCAGTAAACAAACTAAGACACATTATCAACATTATGAATATTACGAGGAGCAATCCCAAATCATACAATGTATAAACGTACATAATATCCACCTCATAAACTATATAAATAGACATCGTATACGAAACTCAAGTATTAACAGCATACCATATCATTTAGTAGTCCTTGTACGCGGAAGAATTGCTATAACTTAGTTGGACCACTGTTGTTCTAGTGATAATATTTTAGCCAGGGCGTGCGCCGGGGAATTATAGTGCTTGAATTTATTCATTTATAGTTATAATAAATGTTATCATTTATATTTTATGATCAGAAGAATAACAAAGATAAAATCAAATTAATAAATGTTACAATGAGGTTTTCCAACAACATAATAATGTGAATTCGTTATTGTAATGCATTGAATTAATAAAATTAAATTAAATATGTAAAAATTGTTTTAAAATTAAATGTAATATCTAATGGCGGTTTCCCACCAAACGGACAAAATAAAAACAAAACACAAACTCGTGTCCAATAAAACAAAATAGCAACTTTTCACAAACTTTTTAAAGACTGGCGTGTTTTGAAACAGTTCGTTTCGTTTTTCGAGTCACGAGTTTTTGAAACTCGAGTCTGTTTAGTGGAAACGGTCAGTTGTGTATTAATGGACTACCTCACCTCTGAAGTCACAATGGGCGGGCTTCGAAAACCTTTTTAAACATTTCTACACTAAATACAAGATAGAGCTGCAGTAAGTATAAATAAACCGTCAACAGTATGAATGTTACGAGGGGCACTCTCAAATCATGATTTTAACGATGTATAAACCTATATTTTTCTGTATTATGAAATACATATGAAAATATGAAGTAGACATCGTAGCATAAGTTGCGGCCGACCGTATGATTTATAGTCATTATATTTATAGTGATTATTGACTCAAGCAAGGCCTCTGGTTGAGTTCAAAATAAACAACTGATTGAATCCTAACATGCAACATAGAAAATGAAAGGAGAGGGGATAACGATTATATTAAGATAGACAAAACAAACAAGATGACTACCAAAACGGCACTACACGGCATCTTCGTTATTAATGGACGTATAGTTACATACGAGATATCATAGGACGCTATGGATGAAAATAGATTTACTATAAGACAAATTTTCATTTATTGACTTCAAGAAGGCCTCTGGTTGACTAAAAAATAAACAACTGATCGAATCCTAACATGCGACATAGCAAATGAAAAGGGACGATATAACGAATCTATTAAGATATGTAATTGATTTTCTATCTTAATATATTCGTTATATCCTTCCCTTTCATTTACTATGTCGCATGTGAGGATTCGATCAGTTGTTTATCTTGTACTCAGTCAGACGCTTGTTCATCCATAGTGCACTATGATATCTCGTATGAAAGTATACATCCATTAATAACGAAGATGCTTCGTAGTGCCCTTTTGGGTCGCCCTGTTTGTTTTTTCTTTCCTTAAGTAATCGTTATAGCTCCCCTTTCATTTTCTATATCGCGTGATAGGATTTGATCAGTTGATTATTTTGTACTCAGCCAGAAGCCTTCTTTGTCAATCAATCAAAATTTGGTATACGGTTTTGCTTTCGTATTAAATTATTAAAACAATATGTACAATTACACGTGAATTTTATTGTTTTTCAAATAAAAACTGAAAACATAATAATATGTTACTACTTTTGATTCGAACTAACACACAATTTACTTTAAAAAATAAGTGTATTTGATGTTTCGATTTCGATCAATTAAGTGTCAAAACAACGTTGCAATTACTGCTTTATTATTTTTGTCAAACCATAAGTTTCTTTTTATTTTACAGTAGGGACGTTTATTTTGAATTTCCTTGAAAATAATACTAACATTGTATATTTTATCTTCTTTGTTCATAGTAAACAAATCTTTAATTGTACATACTGTTTTATTAATTTGATAGGAAATAGGAAATATAAAAGCAAAACCGCACGCCTATGGAGTCTTACGTAGCATAGCCTGGTTTTGTTTACTTTTACTACACGTCGAATTTGAATCAACTGTAGATGTTTTCGCTAGCAACAGGTATCGAACCCAGAACACTATCCACTAGTAAAAAATAATAAGAATAAAAATGCCAAGTGAAAAATGATCTTTTTCTGGTGTATCAAAGACTATACTTAAATGTACAGCATATTATAACTTGAAAGAGTTTTAAATTAAACCAGCGTTAGAAAAGTATATGGTACAAGGAAGTATATAAGTTCCAAAAAATAACAAAGTACACCAAGAATGATATAAATTTGTATATACTTTGATTACAAATATGGCGAACATTAAATATAATTAAGTAATGTTCAAAAAATTTTAAGTTTTTCCAGTTCTTTGATCCTTTGATTCACTGATTTTTTTCTCTCTTCCAAGTCGTCACAAATAGGTCTGGCAACTTTGGAAACAATGTGAACTAGAGCTAATGTTTTAAATGCATCATTGTGTAGACTACTTAATTCATCTTGAGTGTCATTGTCTTGAATGTCATGGCAATCAACTTCTTCTTGAACCAAGATTTTTGGAAGATTTGCTATACCTAAAAATTCAAATATTTTATTACTATTGAAAGGTCTAATCTGTTTTACATATACCGATCACGACATTGTTTTATTGGCCATACAACACAAGGAGTCATTCGATACGCGAAGTAATTGATTTATTTATTGTTACCTTCAAAAATTAACCCCACCAAGTGTTACAACAGTTAAAAACACCATTAAACATTTTCAAACTTCGGAATGTGTAAACAGTTGTTAAAAGTGTCATGAAGGTAATGAACCACGTGTCCGACCTGTCGATGAGAAGCGTCAAAACAAGGATATTGATATGTGTGCTTTTGTGGAATTTAGTGAACCCTGCAATAGCGTACAAATTGCTAGGCAAGTTAACATGAATGCTCGAACTGTCCAGCGAGTTCTCAAAAGGAATGGGCATCACTGTATTAAGATACAAACAACACAAGAATTGTATCCGGAAGATAACTTTAGGCGGATGGAGTTTTGTGAATTTATGTTAGATAAATAGAATAAAAATGTACACTTTTTAAAAAATATTTTATTTTCTGACGAATCTTCGTTTTCATTACATAAAAACACAATCCATCCGTTGCAAGGTATTATTCTCGGAAAAATAAGCACCTCAGTGTTGCAGTGCGAACGCAGCATCCGCAAAAATTAAATGTTTGGGCTGAGATGTTAGGCGACCATATTGTCGGTCCATTTTTTATCGATGGAAACCTAAACGGACCCAAATATTTATAACTTTTACAGAATGAGATCATTCCGGCAGTTTGACGCCTTCCCGTTAATTTTCAGGTTTATTTCCAACAGGATGGGTGTTCGGCTCAAAACTCTAGAGCAACTATTGATTTTCTCAAGCAAACGTTTCCTGATCGACTGATAAGTACACGTGGTACAATTAAATGGCCCGCTAGATCCTGTGACTTAGCCCCTAACGATGTCTTTTTTGGGGTTTTCTCAAAGAAAACATTTATAGGCATCAGTTTGAAAGGGACACAAACCTAGTCGAATTGAGGGCAAAAATACTTCATTTCTCTGCAAGGATTACACCAGCCCTACTCCATAATATAAGGAGAAATCTGTATGACAGATTTGGTTACCCTTAATTCAGATCTTAATTATTAATCTGCTTTCCTAATTTTTATTTTTTGTTAGGTACATTTTACGAAGTTTGTAGGTTCTTAATTAAGTAGTATTTTTTATGTTTAAGTTTGGAAGAATTTTATTGTTTTTTTTTTATTTAAAAGTACAAACGATTCTTATTCTGATTTTTTCTTCTTCCTTGTCCTATTGTTATAAGCTTTGTCCATAAAATTTGTTCAATTTTCAGTGACAACAAAGCATATTACTTATTTACTTACTTATTTATTTGCATCTATTAAGGCTAAAAAATAACCAAAAAATTAGTTTTAAAACATTATAATAAATCTACAGATGGGATTGCAATAAATCTTAATTCCTATGGTCAACAAAACAATGTCGTTATCTGTACATGCGTCATGTACACTTTGTGTTAACTAGGTAAGGAGTTTATATAGGAGCGTGCGTTTGTTTTGGGTGCGACAGTGCGTTTGTTTTGGATTAGATATTACACATTACATACAGGGCTAAAATGGGCAACATTGCCTCTCCGATCCCTTCCGACACCAAGACATAAAACGAGAAAACGAAAACAATTTAGTAACACATAACAATACATGTAAAACAGTTAAAGTAAATCAGTTAAAGTACTTGACACACTTTCGAACGAGTTTCATCCAGAACGGGGTGTCAGACAAGGATGTATACTATCTCCACAATTATTCAACATATATGGGGAGTATATTATGCGAAGAGCACTTAAGGATGGGAAAAGGGCATCTCAATAAATGGTCATAAACTAAACAACCTACGTTTCGCAGATGACACAGCCCTTCATGCAAATAGTCAAGCAGAGCTGATAGAACTTATACGACTGATCGAAAACGAAAGTCAAATATTTGGTCTGCAATTAAACATATCAAAGACAAAGATCATGATAGTGGATAGACTACACAACAATCATCCACACAACCACAATTGACCGGTTCGAGGTTGTGAGCTCATACTTATATCTGGGATCATTAATCACAAACACAGGATCATTACAAGAAGAGATTAAACGTAGATGTAATCTAGCAAAAGTTACCACAGCAAAAATGACCAAAATATGGAAGGACTGTCAAATTTCAAGAGCGATAAAGATGAGGTTGATCAACTGTTTAATATTTCCAATACTGACCTACGGATGTGAATCTTGGACTCTGAGACAATCAGAGAGAAAAAAGATAGACGCCACTGAAATGTTCTGTTGGAGACGAATGTTACGAATTCCTTGGACCGACCGTAGAACAAATAATTCAATTTTAAGAGAGCTAAAAGTTAGCCAACGACTCTCTAGTAAAGTCCATCTCCAACAATTAAAATATTTTGGGCATGTTATGAGAGCAAACACAGAAAACATGGAAAGACTCATAATACAAGGAAAGGTAGAAGGCCGAAGATCACGAGGAAGATCCCCAACAAGATGGATAGATCAAATTACAGGAACATGCCAAAGACCTATGCATGAAAAGTTTTCTGTTCTTTAAGGTGTTAATAATTTCTTTGTCTTTTCTTAGGCCCTGGAGAATTGTTATTTTTAGTTGTGTATATTTGATACCCTTAAAATACTTCGGTAATATCAGATTTCAAATGCCACTAACCATTTTATAGCATCTTCTATAAGACTACAGATTTCTATTCTGTAGAGGAGGACACTAAAGACAGCAACATTTAAGAAATCTTATGCCTATAGATTTAAAGATAAGTTGCAGAGAAACTTTCTAAGGCCGTTAAAAGACGTTCTGCCTTTTTCAATACGAGTTTTTATTCGCAGCTATGATCCCAAGTATCCTTAATATTGCAGCCCAGATGGCATGTTTTTTCCACTTCTCTTTCTAACGTTGCATCGTTTATTGTAATTTGTGCCTTTATGTTGATGTCTTTACTATTATGTATAATCATTATATTTTTGTCTTCTTACAATTTAGGTTTAGGCCTCACTATTTGCCAGTAATAAGGTATCGTCCGCACATCAAATATTATTTATAAGTTGGTCATTTACTGCAATATCATCTTCTGATTCGTCAAAGGCTTCTCTAAAGATGTTTTCAGAATATGAACTTAACAATCCACAAAAATTTAAAGAAATTATCAAACTAAGGACCTAAAAGTTTCCATACTTTTATTTATTTATTTTTTGTATGTTTTAAGTTGGTTGACTGTAATTTCTTGTCTATTGTGTATTGTAAATTCATTGTTTTTTTTTTTCGAGAGAGAGAGAACCTTTTATAAAAGATTACTTCCAGCAATTCCGTTATTTTCATGCCTATGACCAACATTCTGATGGATGTCTTATTAAGTAATGAAATTTTGCTGTACTTGCTTTGTCTTTTGGTTGCTGCGTTCCAACAAGTAGTTGTTCTTATCTATTCATTAAAACTTTGCTTATCACTTCTATATTCTATAAAAAATAAACAAAAACCTACCTTCTAAATTGTAATTTTCAAACGGTGAGGGTTTTATCACTAACTCAACTTCTCTCCTTTCAAGTTCAGATGTACTATTGTGGGCCTGGAAGCAAGTTACTTGTATCTGATTCCTACGAGATCTAGTATCATTTTGGAAAACAGAGAAAATTAATCCCACAAATAATGGATCCATTGTTTGATATGTAGCCTGAGTTCTTATATCTGAAACGCATATAAAAGTATGTTTAATAAATATTAAGGGGGGTTCAGATAATTAAGAGGCTAAATCAGGGAGATACGCTGGTTCCTACTCTGTTTATCTATAGAATATGTTATAAGAAAATGTCTGTAAACCCAAAAAACATATTGTTTAATAAGTCTATATAAACAGATTATGATGTACGCAGATGATATAAACTTGATGGGCCGAACCGTAAGAGACATCACAGAACTTTATGTGGAGCTTGAAGAAAATGTAAAAGAAATAGAGCTAGCCGTCAATGTAGATAAAACCAAAGCCCTAATACAACCAAGGAAACAACGACACATATTAAATTTGGCAATAGACGGCGCAAATGTTGAAGTTGTAAAACAGCTCACATACCTGGGCGTACAGATAACTGAGGACGGCAGCGAGGAGAAAATACGGAAAAGGATAGTGCTTGCTAACAAAGCATACTTCTCTCTGTCGCAGGTATTTGAATCAAAACACATCCATAGGGTTGTAAGACACTATAAAGTTCAAAATATATAAAAGCACTGTACCACCAATGGCAACATATAGCGGAGAAGCAATAAACCTTATTAATATTTTTGAAAGAAAAATATTGAGAAGAATATTGGGACCCATCTGTCACAAGGGTATGTGGAGAATAAGATTCGACCACGAGTTATACCAATCTGACAAAGAACCCTATACAGCAGATTGTGCAAAAATATAAAAACTGCGCTGAACTGGTCACCTTATAAGAATGGATAATAACAGAACACCTAATAGAACCGTTAGTACAACTATGTTGGGACGTCGGCCAGCAGGAAAACCAAGGAAGAGATGGATAGAGATGAAATGAGAACCGATGCCAGAGATATTGAGGGTAGATAACTGGTGGAAAGCAACCAAGGAAAGGGATGTTTAGGAAGACTAAGGCTCGACTTTGGCTGTAGCGCCATTGAAGAGAGAGATTATAATAAATATTGTCCGGTAGGACAAAGCTCCTGGGACAGATGGCATTCCTTCAGGACTTTTAAAGCATGGCAAAAAAACCCTGAAATACTGTATATGCAGACTGGTAGAACTGATCTAGAAGCAAATAAAGTTGCTATAAAACTGGAATGTAGGTATAATTGTACCTATTCACAAGAAAGGAGATCAAACAATATGTGACAACTACAGAGGAATAACCCTCCTAAACGTAACATACAAAATATTGCCATATATTCTTTACGACCGACTATCGGGATTTTGTGAAGACATCATAGGTAAATATCAGTGTGGGTTTAGTAAAGAACCATATTTTATCAACGACCGATCAAATATTCCTTCTAAGGCAAACTGTGGAAAAAACATGAGTATGGCATTGATACTTATCACCTATTTGTTGATTTTAGATGTGCATATGATAGTGTTGAAAGAAACGCACTGTACAAGGCCATGATAGAATTCAGCATAGGAGTCCACTAAACAATCCATGAAGAAAATCTCTAATGAATTCCATATTAGCACTTTTTATGTGTGGAAGAGAAAGTTAAAGTACTAGTTTATCAAGATGTATTGCAAGATGTTTGAGACAACCTTAGATAATATTTTAGAGTTATGGAGAAACCTAAGAAAAATCATTAATATACATTAATTATTTTTTATTTGTTATTAAATTTTTCTTTACATAACTTAATTTATTACTGCCACCTCAAATTGTATAATCAAAAGAGATATTAAAACATTAGTGTGATTTCTTTGACAATTAATTAAATATTGGTGTGTTCCGAAATAAATTTTACATTTATCTTACAGATAAGTAACTTCAACATAATTTGACGTAAAAAGATGTGTGTAAATGTCTATCCTCCAGATAACTAGATGCCAATATTCATCTCGAGGTGAAAAGCCCGGCCCTTTCATGAAAAGTTTATTATTTTAAAAATTTATTTTTTAATTCTTTTGAAAGTTTGTTGATCCTGAAATATTGGCGATCAGTAAAAAATATAATACAAACTCGAGCTTTCCTAACAAATGAATTGCCAAACTAGAATTATGCTGGTTTTTGTAGATAGGTCGATTTCATAAGATTTTAGAAAGTTCAGCGATTCTCCAACAATGACTTATTTGTTATGGAAGTTGTACAACAGACTGAAATATCATTTTGTTGTTGTTCTAGACTTAAATATGAGGAAGTTAGAAAAAATTGAGTGGAGTGACTGTAGATGGCAATTGATAAAATCACAATAATGTGTTCAACATGATTTTCAATCTCAAAACTTCTGTAATCTTCAATGTCATTTTTTTCTAAATTTTGAGCTTTGATAAAGATACCACACTCTTTGTTGTCATTTCCATTTTCCCATACAAAAAAAAATCTGGGTTTCAACAGAATGAGGACATATTATCCACTGAGGAAAAGGTTCATAGAGAAAAACTGTAACAATAGCAGAGTTATGCACAGGACAACCATTGTGTCAAAATAAAATATGAAAATTTAGTTGTATAAAATGATGAATATGATGGCCATAATATATACAATTTTAAAAAATCAATAATTCTCCAACACTGCTGGAGGGTATAAAAAGTATCAAGAAAAAAGAAAAAAAATCATCAAACAGTATAGTAAGAGAATCTTGACTACTGATGCAAAAAACAATCTTCCTTTTTTATTACAATTTTTGTGGTTGCAGTTGTAATTGAATAGGTATCCAATCTAATTTTTTAATTAAAATATACATTTTAAAATGGATAATTACCAACATGACTTGGCCAAACAGTAATATGTGGGTGGGAATGATACCATCCAAGTACCCTCATTGGTCTGTTAAGTTTTTTAGTTAACTGATCTGCATGCATTGAAGCATGACAAAGCTGTTCAGGTGATATTTCCACTCTGTCCGGTTGTTTATCACTTCTATGTAAAATAACACAAGCTGAAATATTGGAAACACGTTCACTTTCATTTACCTACAAAAAATAGCAATGTTTAAGAAATCAATATATGTATAGTGTGAGTTAAAAATAATTGTCTCAACTTAATATTTGAATATGATGATTCTACACTCCATTGATGTTTAAATTAATTCCCTTCAAATAAAAATTCTCGTATATTTGTAAAAATAAAATGCAATTTTATTTGTTTTAACACAAAATGGATGTTTTAATGCTGTTTACCTGTGACAATTGTACAAGCTTTTATGGGGATAATTTGAATACAATTTTTAAAACATATAACAGTTAAATGAATTTGGTTTTGGAAAAATAATTCCAATTTGAAGTCACCCGATAAAAGTGGAAAATTTGAAGAAAAATACAATATTGCCTAACAGCAATAAAAAACCTTAAAATTGAATAAAAAAGAATTTAAAGAGGAAATTATGAAGTTGAATTTAGAAACATTAAAAAATATTGTACTTATACAGGGTATCAAATTAGCTTAAAATAATTAAATTAAATTAGTGGAAGAAATGAAAAGTTCTACTAAAACATCTAAAAATTAGATGTGGAAATAAAAACCACAAGAAAAATGGCATACAAAGCATACAAAACGAAATTGACTAAACTATAGTAAAAAACAAAAATTCATGATAAAAGTAAAATGCAGAATGTTCAGGAAAATAAATTTTTATTAATGATGATGATGATGATGAATAGAGACAATTGGATAGAACAGGGCAAAATAAGAAAAAGCTCAATAAGGAAAACAAAAAAATATATTACAAACAGGTTTTTATAGTTAATATTAAACAACAAGTTTTTGAAATGGGATAAGGATGCAGACAAATTTCACATGGTAAAAAACTATCCCAAAAATATGCTTTATAAGCATAACATCTTCTTCTTCGGGTTCCTTCTCCTAGCGGAGGTTGGAAATCATCATCGCTATTTTAACTTTGTTGGCCGCATTTCTGAATAATTCTAATGAGCTGCAGCCGAACCACTCTCTCAAATTTCTTAGCCAGGACATTTTGCGTCGTCCTGGGTTTCTCTTCCCTTGTATCTTCCCTTGCATGATCAACCTCAGTAATACGTACTTCTCACCCCTCATTAAATGTCCCAGATATTGAATCTTTCTAATTTTAACAGTTTTTATGACTTCACATTCTTTCTTCATTCTTTGTAACACCTCTATATTAGTTACTTTTTTAATCCACGATATTTTATGCATTCTCCTGTAGCACCACATCTCAAAGGAGTTTAATTTTTTGATTTCAGACTGCTTTATTGTCCACGCTTCCATGCCATATAGTAAAGTAGAGAAGACGTAACAACGTAGCATTCTTGTGCGAATCTCTAGATTAAGGTTACGGTTGCAAAGTAATTTCTTCAATTTTATGAACGTGTTTCTTGCCATTTCTATTCTAGATCTGATCTCCTTTACTTGATCTCCATCTTCGGTTAGCCACGTTCCTAAATATTTATATGTTTTTACTCTTTCTATCGTTGTATTATTGATGATCAGGTTATTTACATTTTGTGGTTTTTTTGAGAATATCATTGATTTCGTTAACATAACATATGGCAGGTCAAAGATATGGCTCCATAGAGGATTATGAATGATAAACATAAAAGGTTTAATAAAAATGGTGTAATACGACTGGAACATGATGAAAAATTTGTAAGAGCAAACCTGGACAATTTAATTGGTAAATTAAGGAAGTCAGCAATGGGCATACAATTTTATGAAGTGGGATAAACAAACTCATACTAAGAATATAATTAAAATATAAAATACTTATAAAAACAATTTTAGCAATACTTAGACCTAATGAAAATGAAAAAGCAGTATAAAAAGATGCTGTTTGAGAAGGATATCTTTAACAGTAAGAACACCTGAAGGAAAAATATTAGTTGCAGGCGATTTTAATGAAAGAGTAGGAATAGAAGATAAAGTGTATAGAAATGTAACTAGAAATCAAAAACAACAATAACAACAACATTCACAATAATGGAAGAAGATTATTGGACTTAAGTGGATGGGAAACATCCATCAAAAATTATCCTCTAATTTGCTAAAAAATTCAAGAAATGAGAAGAAGGTATGGAAAAAATATGGAAGGTATAGTTTTACCACAACTGGTACTAAATTATCCCTCTATTAGATAGATCTCTTTCAGACAAATAGGTACCTATAAATGTTAGTTTTTACCAACGCGTTTTGTTTGTACGTTACTCGCCAGATGGGAAATACATGTATTTATTTTTAGCAGTAATTTCTGCAAATGTAGTTACCAGTCTTTTTCAACTGGTGACACAGCGAAGGTGTTACGGAATTTTTAAAATTTATAGAAACAATTTATAGGACAAAAACGGTTGAAATTTTCGAAAATTTATATTGCTTAATGCAATTTAATACTTGTACCTGTGTTTCCCCACCAAACAAATCTGTAAGGATTAACTAATAAAATAAAACAAAATGTTCACTTCTGAAAACACTACAGGCGGTACTATTTCATTAAAACGAAGATCAAGGTATCTCGTTATTGCATTATAAGGAGCTCTGATAAATACTATTTTAGTTAGCAACTAATTTGCAAAGAATGATTTACCACTGTGGGTTAAACTTTTGCATACTCTGGACAAATAAACGGATTTAGTAGAACAAGTAAACAAACACAGCAACCAAAACAACCCTAAATACACTCTTTATACATTTTTCAATATGAATTGAAGGCTTTTTTAAGCTCAACTACATTTATACAACTATTTAAATACCTCTCCAATAAGTAGACCCATAATTTCTTGTTTTTCAGTTGTTAAAGCGTGTTGAACACATATAGCATATACATCTGCAGTAATATTTACCCGTTTCAGGTAATTTTCGGAAATCATTTTAGCAAACAGAAAAATATCTTATTGAATTAAGCACCTAATCATAAATAACTCATCAACAGTGCGCCTTCTGTCTGTCTCCTGTCATAACAAGAAGATAAATATTTCAGAAGGATAAATCTTCTTTTAAGCATGTGCAAATGATATTTTCCACAGCCATGCTTTTTTGCAGGTCTTTTTTAATCCCTGCGACAGCTACTTCTATACCATTTATGTTTTTGACAGATCATTACATCTCACATCAGCAGTTAACCTAGAATTACAATTCAGATGTATTTTTTATGGAAGTATGAATTTGTTTGAAATAAGAATTTTATAAATCCCTTTAATTACTATTAGTTATGTAAATATGTCCGAATTGGAGTTACAAGAGGAAGAGAGGGAAGCTCTATCATCAATATATGAAGGAGATGATTTGTTTAAACAGATTGATAAGTGTACATATCAATATAAAGTAAGTAGAATGAGAATGTTTAATCAATATAACAACAATGTTAAGCCAAATAATACATTAAACATTTTTAGTATGGTGAGCACGATACGAATAAATCCTTTGTATTGGAAATTAAATGGGGCGAGCAGTATCCAAATGAGTTACCAGTTATGAATATGGACACATTTTATAATCATCATATGTAAGTATAATTTATATATTTTTTTCTCATGGTGACCATGCGGAAAGCTGTACTATAATAATCTATTATGGTTCATGTGGTATATCCAATGACATAATAAAAAGACCCTACAGCCTTCTACTCTGGATATATAATCTGGTGTCATAAGAGTGTATATGTTTACTAAAATACTGGCGTGCTTGTTTATAATGAATTTGTCGAAAAAGAAATCTATGAAAAAACCTAGTTAGAAAATTTTAAATCATCAAAATATTTAATTGAAATTGTTAAGTATAATGTATAATAATAATTTATTTATTAAATAAACTAAATGCCTTCACTGACTGTCATCACATAAGCTAATGTTTATAAAAGAATATGCATTTGAAAAGTGACTTACCTGAAAAGTTTTGCTTGGTTTCTTGAAATTCCGTGACTACAAACATGAGATTTAAATGTCATTTTACTAAAATATTAAATAAATGACCCTCAAAAATTAAAAATAAAATTTACTTGTCACCTAAAATATGCTCCCTCCTCACTTTGTAAAAAATGGTGAACTTCGTATCATAACAATAATATAAAGAGAGGTATTCATGTTTATGACACTTTTAACTTCATGGAGTCTACATATACACCATTTAATATATCCATGGTATATCTCAATAAAAAAAACAAGTGTGAGCAAATCCTTAGGTTAGAAACTGTATCTTATTTCATGTTCTCTAATTTCTAATTCTCTAATTTCCTGTGGAAAAATTTGACCTGAATGTGACTCTTTGAACTTAATAACTTCCTGGTAAATAGTCGCACCAGATTTCCAATAAAGTGAGCTTATTACCCATACCATATTTTAATTTTTTCAGAGTAACATCATTAAAGCAGAAGATAGTAGAAATGTTAAGGACTGAAGCTGAACAATACTTAGGAATGTCTATGACTTACTCTTTATTTGAATTTTTAAAGGAGAAATTCGATGAACTGATTAATGAACAGCCTGATGAACCAGAAAAATTAGAAGTTGAAAAATTATGTATTTCTGAAGAAGGGGACCAACAAGTAAGTTCTGAATTGGTATCATTGTATCAATATTAATAATACATTATGATTCTTCTTAACTCTAACTATCCATAAGAGGCCCAAGAGTCTATTCATTGCTGATAAAATCAACTTTTGAGCTGAAGAGCACAAGAAAGTGTCAGAGCATACATATTAACTGATAAAGGGCATTCTAATACAGCTAGTGGTGGAGTAATACAAAGGGAAACTATGCAGAAAGTTTTGTTCCATAAATATGTACCTAGGTTTTTTAAATTCTTATGTTATGTAAGTTACTTAACATAGCTTATTCTTTTAAACATAAATTGGAATAAAAGTTGTTTACATTTTTGTCACTTACACCATGTTTATAATTAAAAATATTTTCATAATTTGTATTGTTTTCTAGGAAAATCAAAGAAAGGAAAAAAAGGAACAATTAACCAAAGCGCAAAAGAGGAGGCAATGGAACAGAGTAGATGCCAAAGGGGAAAAACCAAGAGGATGGAATTGGATGGATATTGTAAAACATTTATCCCAAACTGGCCCTAAAGAAGAGCAACCCATTACATAAAGTGCTATTTATTTTATATGATGTTATCATATTTAAATAAAATTTGTTGTTTTTCTACATTTTTTTTTTCATGTACAAGTTCTTGTAATGGCATTATTCTTAATATTCTTCTGAAGCTATTTTCTTGTGGCATCTTAATGTAATTTAATATTTTTGTTGAGAATAAACCACAACTTTACTTTGAAATAAGTTGTCTGGTTTTTCGATTTCCACTTCGGAAATTATCCTCAAAATACATAAATTTTAAATTTGTAGCTCATTCTCAACAAATATTAAACTGGCATTAATCAAACAAAACTGTTGCATTTTTGTTCTGCTTCCATTATATTCTATTTATACCTATATTTTCTATCTTCTACTTATATTCCAAGTCAAGGGAAAATGAAGGAATGGGTAAAGTGTACAGACTGCTTACAATGGGCACACAAAGCTTGTGCTGGGTGTAAAGAAGAAAACAATGACTTTATTTGTGATATTTGTAAATAAACTTGGTGTGGAACTTTCCTTTTCTATAATGGCAATAATGTTTTTATTTTGAAAATACACTTTCATTTAGTATACAAATTCAGTTTAAATTTTGTATTTTACATCAGGCAAAGTGTCCATTTGGTAGGGTTAGGGTAAAAAATATGTATCTAAAAAATTTACTGAGATAAAGTGAAAATTTATCATATGTTAATATATAGTGTATTGCTTATTTATAAAGATAAAAAAAATATTCCTTAGCATGGCCACTTTGCCCACTCTTCCCCTATATATGAAAATGTCACATTTTATGTTAAATTAAATAAGTGTATGAAAAGAGATAAAGTTAAAATAAATGGAGGTGTAATTAAGAATACACTACCTACAAAGTAATTAAACCAGAAAATTTCAAATCATTTTTAGAAACTAGAAGCACAAATTATATTGACAGCTCCCATTTGACACATCTCTGATTTTCCAATGATATATCATCCTAATAAGTGGCAGTATCCTTGAATTAAAAGACATGTTAAAATAACTAACTGAAAATGGAAATTTCAATGACAAAAGTGATGGGGAACGACGATGAGCGCATATACATAGATGAGAAAAAATTAAAAAATGTAGAATATGTATATTTAGAGCATAATATTAAAATAGACAAAGAAAATCAGCCGAGATAAGATGAAGAATAAAACTAGCTTGAGCAGCATTAGGAGAAATGAAGTTACTTGCAAATAATAATATCCCTATAAATCTTAAGAGATCTTAAGTTTATGATGCTTGTATATTACCAGTAGTACCTAACTTATGGTTTCGAAACAATGGCTGTAACAAAAAGTCTTGGCAAGCTCAAACCAGATACGATAACTATACTGACGACAATCAAGACAGACAAAACATAGCGACGGAAGACCCCAGAAGAGATGTCTTGATGGACAGGGTAGCACGGAGAAATATAAATGAGATTGATGTTTAAAAATGGAAAGTAGCTAAAGAAGAAGAGGTTAAATCAACATAGAATCACATCTATCTGTGGTTTTTGTATTATATATATATATATATATATATATATATATATATATATATATATATATATATATATATATATGTATAAAATTTACCATACCTTAGCTATCACATTACAATTATTTTCTATGTACATAAATAATGTTAAGATGTAAAATTAAAAGATGTTGATTTCCTTAAATATGATGATAAATTTGATGAGTTTTGGGAGGCTTTTAGTCTTCTGCTCTAAAAAAATAAAAGAATATTTTAAAAGCATATTTTAAAATAATCAGTATTATACTTACTGATTTAATTCTGTATAATTGATCTAAAGCATGTGGGAGTATTGGTCTCATTGAATTAATTTCCATAACTGTTAAATTATCTACAGCAGCATAAAATTCACTATTTTTCACCAACTTTGTCACTGAAGATCTAATTTTTGACATTCTGATATCCCATATATCTTTTATAACAGTTCTTACTTCATCTGCTCTAGGAATATCATCAAATGCACAATCTAAAAGCACTTTTGCTTCTACCATATAATGGTCACTTGGCATTTTTGTGAAATTTCTAAAAAAAATGAAAGAGGATGTATATTTGTAATAACAACAGAAATCTGGCAGCTGTAGCTCAGTGGCTATGTTACTGGCTTAACAAGCGGCGGGGCTCCGATTAGATTTGTGGCCCTGACACCAATAAATTTTTCAATTTCTAATTTTACGAAGCTATCACTGTGTTCAGGAGGACACAAACCTTAACACTAGACCTAAGTCAGGAGCATACTTTACTATGGAGTATAACTGTAAACTGTAGCTCAGAGTTTTATTTCACAAATATACTAGAGAATGAAGTCAATAAGTTATGTAAAAGATAAGACATCAGTAAGTGATTTGAGAAAGTATGGCACGAAGGGCTCATTCACAAAATGAGCCAACTTGGATACACCAAGGCAGTGGCATGCCTTATCTCTTCATACCTAGCCAATAAAAAGTTCAGGATTCATATATGACACACCAACCATTCTGCGAACCATGCTGTCTATGTGCTGATGACACAGAAATAGCAGCAAGAATCTCTGGATCCAAATCTAGTGAGAAGATATCTACAAGATGTTCTAATTCAGTTGTAAGATTGATACATTCAATGTAAAATCGCAGTAAACGTAAACCCAGAGAACTCACAGGAAGTTCTGTTCTAAAAAGATTGGGAAGTTCAGACTACCAAGTGAGGATGTTCAACACACAGATAGAATGGTCCAACCAAGCAAAATATTTAGGAGTGCTAATGAAAAAAAAAATTATATACACACCACAAGTCAACAGTGCTATCATTAAGAGCAAGACATTAAGAAGCACGCTAAGATTTCTTATTGGTAAAAATAACAAGTTAAACCTGAAAACGAAGTTAAAATTGGTAATCTACATCATCATATCAGACATAATATATGGATCAGCAGCTTGGGGCCAACCTGTAAAACCAACAGGAAGAAGATCCAAGTAGCCCAAAACCTCATAATAAGTAAAGCTATGAACATCCTTATGTATGTATCGAAAAGGTTCAAATACAGAGAAATCAAAGAGGTAAGGAACCTAGTTAAAATGAATGAAAAAGTATATGGAATCTTCAAAAAATTACGAAATCTACTGAATGAAAGTCTAAGGAACTTGACAAACTACAATTAAAACAGAACTATTAGAATAGGTTAATTTAAATATAGGATAGGTAAGTTTGGGAGAAAAAAAAATACAAAAACACATACATGATACATGTGAAGATACTATACACCTGTGCATGTATGCCTTATCCCCTAGGTAAAATACTACTTCACACCATTTAACTTTTTTGAGTTCTGAGTTTTAGATCATCCAAAATGAACAGCAACTTTTTCCTGAAAATATACAATAATTGGGATTCCTGAGCATTGATGCCAGGCACGTTTAGAGCCACAAGCTTATTAGCCAGAACCTCCGGATGGTAATGAGGTAAGCAAAAGTGCGGAGAGCCAGAAACCAAGATCAATGGCTCACTACAAAAAGAAACATAAACAAGGGAAAAGGCACATAATGCCACTTCTACTAAAGCTGCATCACCATAGAGAGGCCCCTAGGGTGCTCCATTTACCTGGGCATCCAAAATCGAAAGCAAGTACAGCCACCCCAATGTTATCTCCGAGATTAGGAAGGGGCAGTGGTAGATTAGGGTTCAAGGAGGTATTGTCTCCATGAGGTGTAATCTTTAGACTAGAACACCTTACTCTGGAAATCTCATGTCCACTGGAGAAGTGATTTACTTTGTCATGTGTGTGTGTGCAGAAATAAGTTGCAAGTATATTACCATTCATCACATACTTATGAAATATATTTTTCAACATTTCACTCATATACTTAATAAAATAAAACTATACTCTGTCTCAAAGTGACTAGTCTGTACAGGGAAACATATGCAATGCTAACCTTATGGGAATTTCGCCAAGACGTTGCCAGTTTTATGCAGTGAGCGACGGCGTTCTCTATTGTCTATCTTTCAAAATAAACGGAATAAACCAGGAGTTCTTAACAAGTCCTCACGTACAATTTTATGTAATTTACAAATATCGTTTGCTAATAATTTTACATAATACTATACATTATTTGTTCCTAATAGTAACATATCAACTTTTATTATTAGCAGTAGTATAATAAAATGTGCATTAAATAAACATTTGTTTCAAAGTTTTTCAAATACTTTCTTTTAAGTTATTCAGTAATTAAGAAGCAATTAGAGTAATTCTTCTACAGAGTATGTTTAACAGCTTGATACATCCAGGGTTTTCATTATTTTTTATTTGTTAGGAGCGTGTAAAGATATTCGAGTTACGATTATTTGTACCATCTTGGATGTACTGTTACTGTTTTGTTATTGTTATTAGTTGTTGGTGGCTGTTGTTGGAATTTGCTGTTGGCAATTATTGTTATTTTCTGTTGTTGGCTATTGTTATATTTGACGCCGAATTTTTACCGCAAAATGGAGGAAATTGTTCCAATGGAAACGTGGAAAAGCTCTGAAACTTTCAGAGAAGCAGATACTAATGAATATTATTAATTATCATCTTAATCAGGATAACAACGATTCTGTATTAAGTGTAATTAGGAAAGTGCCAGAAATGAGTGGTGTTTGCGAAAAAGACTCTGTTTTGCATACGACAGGAATATTCATCACCTGCTGGATTACAATCTTCAAAGAGCAGGCCCAAGAAGCGAAAGGTAGGTAATTCTTGTGACAACAAGTGCGATGAAAGTGTCAGGGGCCAAATTCGTAGAATAGTTAATCAATTTTTTCGTGACAACATACCACCAACAATAAACACCATATTAGCTGTTATAAATGTCGAAGAAACTTTGCCCAACTTTTCACGGGCCACGCTACATCGCTTGCTGAGTGATATGGATTTTGTGTTTATAAAACTGGTCTGTCTGTCAACGTGGTCTGTCTGACAACAGGATTAAAAGCTCCAACAGCTCGTGGTGCACGGTTCGCTTTATTTCACGCAGGATCTACCAGTGTATTTGTTGATGGAGCAGAGCTCACGTTTTTGGCAAAGACAAATACTCAGGACTACCACGACGAAATGGATGGACCGACCTTCGAAGATTGGTTCGAAAATAACTTAATGCTAAATTTGCCAGAAAAAACAGTTGTGGTAACGGACAATGCCTCCTATCACAGCAGAAAGTCAGTAAAAATTCCAAACAGTTCAACACTAAAAAAAGATATTCAAGAATGGCTTCTGTCCAAGGACCTATTTTTTTAAGAAGACTACCTAAAATGTGAGTTTGTACTCGATGTAGTCGAGGCCTTCAAAGCAAAATATGACAGTTACATAATAGAAGATATTGCCAAAAAGCACAATGTGAAGATTATGTGGCTCCCGCCCTATCATTGTGAACTCAATCCCATCGAAATGGTTTGAAGTGAAGTGAAACGGTATATAGCTGGACGCAACGCGAGTTTTAAAGAAGATGAAATGCGAAATTTAATTACAGCAGCTTACCAGGTCATTACGCCAGAGAAATGGAAAAACTATGTAAACCACGTAATAGCAACAGAAAAGAGTTAGAAGAAAATAAATGCGACAGCAATTGACAGAAAACGAAACTAAATATAATGGTGTACAATTACGATTACTTACACACGAAATTAAATACAATGATTTCTTTTATTTTCAACTTATTTATTAGTTTCATTTTCGGATATTTCTACGTTTTATTACTGCCAACATATACAGTGCGGTTTTTAAACGTCCTTCCCCCCCTTAACTTTTGAACGGAACAATACATAAATAAAATGTTTCTTTATATTTTAGTTTTATTTTATTCGATTTTACTTAAATCTATAAACAAATGGTTTGTATCGCTAGCACATACTGTAGAATTAAAAACTAACTGCTTGTGACATAAATACAAGGCATTTCTTAATTTCTATTTTATTTTAATTTAACCCAAGTATGTTGTACCAAATATTATTTATTTTTGGGAACCACTGACAGAAGGAAGCCAGGCAGGGTCGTTAGTGGGCATTAGTACTTAAGCTACCCTCATAGTTTGAGTGCCCGCCGGGGAGATTTATACTCTCTTGAATCTTCTTTTACGACTTGATTAAATCAAGTTTGCCACAGTTTTCCTCTGTGACTTTTTTTGGTTCGGGGGTGTTTTCCCCCTATATTTTATATAGAAATTTAAAAATTATACATACTCTTGCCATATTTATTGAATGGCTTGATTTCAGTGAATAATAAAAGAAAATAATATTCTCTGACGCCATAGATGGGACGGTAAGGGTGTCCACCCCCACAAACATGACCGAAAAACGGTCAGTACAAAAATGATAAATAACCAGCTAATTTTTTCTGTACGCTTTGCTTTAACGAGGAAACTAACGGTTCTATTATTTTCTGACACCAAGAGCAAGCCCTTTTTGCAATACTTAATGAATGCTAAAAAAGCCTGACGTTTAAATTGGGGCATAACTCGAGTCTGACGCAAAAATCCTATTTTTCTTTAATGATCGTACTGAACCTTTAGTAATCATACACAATATTAATTAAGGCTATTTTATCGGTACACCAAAACCTAGAGACAGTGTTTTCTCTGTTATTTACCGACAAAATGTCTCGAAATTTGGACACTTTATTCAAAATTATGTTGCCTTTAAACTAATGGTTTTATTTTTAATTTTTTTTTGAAGTTCTTTTGAAATATCGGATTATGCAGTTTAACGTTCTATTATAACCAAACTTTTTACGCCCATCACTTGAAAGAGTTTTTTTTTATGTAATCGTTGATTTTTTTCACCTTACTGTGTCCAGGAATAATCGAGAAAAGCGTGTTCAAACTTTGAAGAAAATTGCTAAAAAATACTGAAATCTAATAGTGAAACGTGTTACTCATCATCGGCACTTAATTTTATCGTTATCGCCTTCGTGACGTCAAACCTCATGAACGTATGGTCAGTTAGTTCGATTTGAAATCATTTTCAAGCTATAACTGCGAAATTGTTTATTTGTTTGTGACAACAAATTGTATTTTTTTGATAATAATATTTTTATGTTATTTTAAATTTATTATAAATAAACATCATATTGTTTTTTGCAGTCACGTTTCACAAATTTTTATCCAATACTATATTTAGCTAAGACATATAAATTAAAAATGTGATAATTCTTTTTAAAACATCTACGATAATCAATCAAAAAAGGTATTCCCGACATAACTAATTTGAATGAAGAATAATGCATTTTCAGAGAATATTATTTCCTTTTATTATTCACTGAAATCAAGCCATTTAATAAATATGGCAAGAGTGTGTATCATTTTGGCACATGTCGTGAAACAGTCATGTTTCGGAAAATATAGGGGGGAAACGCCCCGAACCAAAAAAAGTCACAGAGGAAAACTGTGGCAGACTTGGTCTAAGGAAGCCATACAAAAAGTTTCAAGAGACTATAAATCTCTAAAAAATTTGCCGGCGGGCACTCTAACTATCAACACAAAAGATGGATTATGCTAAGTAGTAAGAAATGACGTTTATTTTAATACAAGTTTGCAAAGAAATATGGCATCAATGTTGTGCACTTACTCTGTACAGACTAGTCACTTTGAGACAATATAGAGCATATGTAAATTACACATGAATTTTGGTTTTTGGAGATAAAAATTCTGAGAAGTTATTCCAACTTATTTTTAAAATACACCATAGTTAAAAAAGCAAGTATTTTAAGATTGAACTAAAATCTGCATAAACTTTGAAACAGGAAAGTTATCCAAGTGAATACTATGGGTAGTTTATGTCTTCTAATGCATTCTTGCAGCATTTTCTATTCCTGTATCTGTATCTGGTCAAAATCTAACCTAAGACCTTATTTTGTATTTTATTTAATGTACTTATTACTGTAGATTACTTTTTATCATAATTTGATATCAAAAACCTAATTAAATGCATAGATTATTCACAGCAGAAAAGAAACTCATTAAGTCAATATTTTGCATTTTTTAATTTTTACTGGAATTAATATAGAATTGTAGGAAAGGTATGTATAAAGACATTAAAAGATTATTTTTGTCTAGTAATATAACAATAATTGAAAAAACAATGTTTATTATTAAGAAGACAAGACAAAACACAACACTTCTTTTTACATGACAATTTTTCAAAATGAAATATATTTACTTAATGAGTTTTTGCACCAAACCCCAAACCCATGATTTACAAAGAGGTACAATAGTGAAATATATCACAATATGTATTAAGGGAAAGACACTATATCTTTCATAAGCATAAGGAGACTTCAAATTGACAATCATAACAGAACAACCCTTCCAAATAATCATTCCTTACACTAAATAATTTTGAGTGTGCTGGAGATTAAGATATAAACTTTATTATACTTAGGAAACTTCAATTTATAAGAATACTGCAAGTTACAATATTCCACTTCAAAATCAAAGTGTCAGATACAATCTACATGTTCAATGACCAAACAAATAAAGGATTATAAGGAATACCAGAAATCCATTAAGTACTCTTAACTCCATAAAGGAGTTATAAAATAATGACTGTGAAACTATAAATTAATAGAAATCAACCATTGAGTTAGAATCTAAACTCCATGAAATCAACCAATGACTTCACAAAAGTTTTTTTATATCATACAACATTGGAAGCATCCCACTGAATTATAACTTAAAAGATCAATCTTACGCTGACTGTTTTTCGTCCTCTTTTATTTCTTCTAACTTTTCCACAGTCATCCAATCTGGAGGCTGAATTTTGCACCTCTGTTGTTGTTTTAATGTCACTGCCATCCAAAGGGGTACCCTAGTTGGAATGCTAGCTCGAAATGGTCCTACATCACCAGTTATTAGGTGAATAACAGCATTATTAAACGTAGGTATTATTGTAATATACTCCTTTTCAGCTAAAAATTCTATTTCTTCTGGATCCATTGTTTTTCTAATTTACAAAATATATTCCCGCTATTTATTCCGCTAATTAATAGATCCGCGTCATACGTCAACGTCATATCCATAGCACACTCCCATCGTCATCAGAGTCACAGAATAATAAACAATTTAGAGGTGCCTTAGACAAGCATGTTAGACAAGGAAAGAGAGTTGACAATGACGGATACTCTATCACTGGCACCAACACTGGCAACGTTGATTTGTACTCATATTCCATGGAATACTGTAATCAGTTCTGTCCCATGGTACAAAGAATAACAGGTATGATACTCCCGAGAGAGAAATTGAGACGAGTTCGCGCATGACGTCACAATGAGAGAGATTTTAAATATTTCCCGTAAGAACGTTAGCAATCAGAACACAATTAATTTTTAATTGGCAATAAAAAATCATTTTAATGGATTAATAGAGTTTGTATTGAACTATTCCGGATTTATTAAAATATAGGTGTTTTATTATTTTGATTGAAAAAAATAATAATACAGTGAAAAAAAAATAAATCTGTAAAATAAATTTGGGAGTTTTTTTTGTGTTTTTCGCTTTTTAATCCTAGAAAGGTAATCTTTATAAATTTTACGAGCTAGCTTTTGATTGAATTGTCTTATTTGGCGCCAGTATCGATGAGGAAAAAAGTCTTTGTCTAAACGTAAACAGAAGAAAATAATTTATCATAAATTATCTGCACTAAAATCGGAAAACAAATTAAACACAAGGTTTTAAGTTACAATTTTTATTAATTTTCTTTTATTTCTTATATCTTCTTTAAGTTTTAGGTTTAATTTCCTAATTCTAAAATACATTCGAGACCGGAAGAAAAGATGTTTGATTTTATAATCACATTCAATGTTCTCCGATAAGTCAATTAGTTGTTGTATATAATTTTTGCCTGATTTTAATTGATGTTCAGATCCATTGAAATTATTAAAAATAATATTAAGTTCATTAATTTTTGCCACCAATTCTTCTGGAGGTTTCCTTAGACCGCCTTCGGATACTTGATCAATCCACGTGTAAGTGGAAGTATCCGTAGTTTCAGGCAGATCTAATTTCTTACATATATACCCACTGACATATTCCAGTGCATCATAATGAAGTTGGTCTAGTTCTTCCATGTCTGCATCCATTTCTTTTTTTTCTGCTTCGCAGGATAAATTTAAAAAATATGTTTCACTTAACAAAACTTCTCCCAAGTTATCAATTGGTCCATCAATGACCTTATCAGCTTCTGTATTGCCAGCTTCAGATAAAGAACCTTCATTTCTCCCTAAAATATAGTTTTTTAACCGGTAGCGAAATTCCACAGCATCGGGATGGTCATGTAATCCACCAACCCTCCTAATATTGCCAAAAAAATTTTCGAGTACATCTTGATTTAAGTTGTATGTAAGGATGTATTTTATAATAAATTTAGTTTTTATATCCTCAAATAAATTTTTTAAGGAATTGTTAGTTTGAATTATTCCTAAAAATAACAACGGAATTAAATTTTGCCAAAAAGACGATAATATTTATATTAATTATTAGCTCCAAAGAATAGTTTTAATTAGAATATTTCAAAAGCAACATAACATACCTTTCTGAAAAGGCAACAATGATCGTTTTCCTTTAACTTTTAAAGCTTTCATAGCTTCTGACATCTCGTCAATAATCTTATTTTGAACGTCTAGATTTAACCCATAGCCTTGTACTCGTTCTCGGGAATCTGTATAGGGTACCCTAACGTTAAGGCAATCGAACCAATCATTTACCTAAAAAACAAAAAAATGTATGAACAGAAACATAACAAACTTTTAGATTTAGCTTACCAATTTAAAAACTGAGCAGTTTCTATCCAACTTTCGTCCTGAAAGTAACCTAGTGTTCCACACCTATTAATAGCTTGAGCTGTGTTATTTGAAAATAACTTTGTTGCTAACTTTACTTTTTGCCTTTGCTCTTTACGTACATTTAGCATTTCTTCATTTACGTTAAATGAGATTGTTAAATCTGATGTAGAAGTAAGTTTTAGTAATTTATAAATAATGTTCTTATTAATTTCCGCTCCACGAAAGACAAAGCCATTATCAAGAAAATTATTTCTTATAAGTTTTATAAGGTGTGGTACATCACATAAAACATGGATTTTATGATTTGTAGGGCCTATAAACCACGGCTTTTCTTCATTTATTTCAAGATTTTTATGAAGGCCTCTGTTACCACCTCCCAAATCACTAACAATAGCACAGACATGAAATCCTGCCTCTTCTACTTCCTTAATTATGTCAAACAGAATTGATTTTTCCATTTTTCTGTCAAAATCAAAATAAATTGGCTGCTTCCAGGATGTCAGTAGTCCTCTCATCATTGCTACCTGAACATAGTTGGAAGGTTTTAAAAGATGGTCATTTGCTTTGTCGTATGCATAGGTTTTTCGAATCTTCATTTCATCGAAGGAAACAACACATATTTTTTCAGATTCGGATAAGTGAGAATTTTTTAAAATTTTTAGAACAGGTTTTATTATGCCTGGAACAATTTTGACTTTTTTAGTCCATGAACGAAGGGTTGAAACAGCAGGATATGGATAACCTTTTTTCAGCAATAATTTATATGCTTTTGGTCCAGCTGCATGTATGGCAATACCTTGGGAGACTTCCTCAGTAGTCCATACTGTTCTAACTTTGGGCCTTTGCAGTCTTTTTAGCTGTCTTTTGGTAAATATCTTATCTACTCCTGACTTCATTTCTGTTAATTCATTAACCTGCTGAAGTAAGGCTTTGTTCTCGACACGTAACTTTTGAAGTTCAAGATCTTGTGCAGGTTCCATATCTGTATTTAATCTAAAAACAAAAATCATATTTTTAAGCTACTATATATATATTGCATAAAGTTAAGAATATTATGTTTTCATTCAGACGACTGATCACAGCATATTTTAGAACATTTTACATACCCGTCTGATTTTATAATTTCAGGTAAATCAGTTTTGAGTCCTTGACACACCGAGTCCACACCTGATTCTCCAGCTGTAGAACTAAAAAATAAATGTTAAGATATTATTTTTATGTCATAATACTTAAAAGTGTTTCTACCAAAAGATGTAGAATAAAATAATGTTCACCTAGATTGTGTAATTATCTGTTCCACAATCCTCTTTGACTCCCTTTTGGAAAACCTTTCCTGCCTTTTAAGTTGATTTATGGATAAGCTTTTTGATTTTGGTAGATGAAGAGAAGGAATCGCATCACCCTTCAGTTTGGGTCCTTTCTTTGATTCATACTGCAGCAATTCATGCTGCAAATTTCTTTTAAAGTCTTCCGGCTTAAAGTGTTTGGAACAAATCCTTGAAGTTTTAGTATTAAATTTGTCTTTACGGTAACAAGCAATAACCCACAGTTTTTCCACTACCGAGTCCTTGGGAAAACTATAAAACCTAACAGATTTATCGGCACCTTTTGTCTGATTATCACTTAAACAACTATATACTGCACAACGCATTTTATGTTTACGTTGTAAACAATTTTTAGCAAAACCCCCCTAAAAAATACAAGATGGGTATAGGTATGGTTGAGTATTAAATACTGACTCAATAATAATTAAACATACCTAATTTACAATTTCTAAAAGACCAAATTGTTGCCCATATAAAGTAGGTATACCTACAAAGCCACGATCACTCAAAAAACTCGCATAGAGAGTTGAATATATCCTTAATAATTATTATTTTTTACTAAAATGCCTACAAATCAACTTAACTCTCACAAAAACACTATAAAATCTTTCACAAGCTTATTAAAGACGTCAAAAGTTTAAACATTGATAAAATTCAAATTATAAACAAATGTATTATAACTCTCATTATGACGTCGACAGTAGGGGGAGTGGCCTGCGCAATATCATACCTGTCATTCTTTGTACCATGGTTCTGTCCATAGATTAAGTATTCTGTCTAACTTTGAAACAGGTTGATACAAGGTACAAATTAAAAAAGAAGTAGTTGTAGTTGTACTCATTTGTCATTTGACTGAATTGTTCATCAAATTGCAAATGGCAGTAGTGTCATGTTGTTCTAAGGTGTTACGTTATTTATTTGGTGAAAATTAACATTAAAAAAGTTGTTTGATATTGGAATAACTAGAATTTTGTAAAATCATTGCTATGAATAACAAGGAAAAGCTACCGAAACTGGTGGATGTACATCATCAGTCGAATCCTCTTAGTAGGAGGCAATTGCCCCTTGTTGTTGATGATAATTTAACGGTATGGCATTTACGTATTTTCTAACATAGTTTTTAAATAATTTTACGCTATATTCTTTACATAAGATATCGGTTCATGTTCAAATAATAATTACATATATTGAAGTGATTTGACCTAGAAAGTTCAAACTCTCCCTTTTTTACTTCCCTGTACACATCTGATATTCCACTTAAGAATATTTGCGGTCCAGTTTGGTTTACTTTTAAAAAGATTGGTTATTTAGGAATATCGATCGGGACCACTTTATTTTTGTGTGTTAATCTCTTATTAATTATAAAAAAGACAGACATATTGTTTTATACAGGGAAGTAGTATAAAGGTTAAAAGTAAAATATATATGTTTATAGAAATATCTTATTTGGTTTTTTGTTTCAATGTATTTTAATAAGGCTATCAAATTTATTAAAAAGCTATTATATTGCACTTAAGTATATAGAACTAAGTGTAAATAAAATAAACAGGTGGACTGCAATATCCTTCATTCTGTTACTAGTGCAGTTTATTGGGATATATTTTTACTATGTGTGACTCTAATTTAAAGATTCTAATCCCGAAAATATAAACAAAATTAGTGTACTAGGTATCTGAAAATCTAGACTTTATGTTAAGAGAGTTAGTATACCACAGCAACAATGTCTTAAAATTAAAGATTTCAATGTATACTATCATTAACATCTATGTCCCAAAAAGTTAATGACAAATATATATAGGAAGATAAAATAAATTAATTAGAATAACCAAAATAAAGCATAAGTCTAAGGGGAAAGTGAATGTAAAGTTATTATACACAATGTGAGCTGGAGATATAAACTAAATGGAGGAAGACAAATTAAGGTGAGAAGAGAGACACTTATGACCATAGACATATAATACAAATACTGAGTGTAGCAACACAGGCCTGTTTCCCCAGTAAAAACTGATGCAAAGCAGTCCCTGCACCTCTTTCTAATGGGCTAGGCTCATCAACCAGGAAGGTATCAACCTTCCCACTACAATCTCCAAACACAAGAGGGGTAGCAACTTAAATATAACTTAAATGTTTGATGTAACAAAGGAAGAGCCACATGGAATTTTCTTTGATTTCGGATATGGCTAATTGGGTTTTGATTCTTCCACTTTTTTATGTTTGTATTTTATTATTTTAATAATAAATGTGTGTATCTTTAAACAAATGTAAAAGGCAACTGAATGTATTATTATTAAGTATATCGAGGGTTCAAAGACAGTACCTCGTAAGTAACAATAGCCAATTTTACAGGATGAACAAAAAACTGTTTAAGTATTTTTCTATTCTATCATTCTATTTTGGTTTTCCATCACCCAAGATCTTACAGACCACTCTCCTAAAGCTAATGTTCTAAGGTAGATAGATTTTTTCTTCCACAACATTTTAAATTTAACATTTGTTACTGTCTTCCTCCGACATAAGAAAACATTTTGGTGTAGATTTATTATGTTTGCACTTGCATCTTCTGTTCATCTTTCTTTCAGTTCTATTTTTTTCATGAAATGTATTTCACTGACCTCCAGGTTTTCTAAATCCTAAATATTTTTCACAACACATTCTTAGCATTTTGTTCTTTTTCTTCTTATTTTCGCCTTTGTGTTTTTTCTTGTTCTTTGATTTCTTGATCTGTTGCATTTGAAGTGTCATGTTCAATCTCGAAACTTAAGCTAGAATTTGTGTCAGATCTTTCATCGTCTATTTCTGGCTCATAACTTATGTCACTATCCTCATTTTCTTGATTAATAGATTCAACTAAAGTATTATTTTCACTTTGAGAATTTTTTTGGCTAATGTTGATCAGTTCATTGTTGGTAGTTTTTTTCATAACATTTTGTAAACTTGTATGATTATTTTCTAAAGAATTTTCTATAATATATACTATTATTTTCCAGCAAGTCTAATGTCTCGTGTATATTCTCCAAGCAACTAAAACTGTCATCAAAAACCACAGTAGCGTTGTTAATTATGTCTTCCATTTCGTTTGGAGAAAGAACTGGTGCAATAGAGTGAGCATTATCTATTTCCAATAAACCCAAATTAGACAGGGTATTATATTCTGTTATGTCAAACATTTAAATTATATTTAAGTTGCTACCCCTCTTGTATTTGGAGATTTTAGTGGGAATATTGGTGGGTTGCTATTTTAAGAAGTGCTACTTTGTCACTGTTACAACACTGTCACAGTTGCAGTCTGCTTCAGCTGGAATAATGTAGCAGTGACATTTAGTCATGTTTTATTTTATTCTGCTGCACCCACATACCACTAATAACCACTTTGGTCTGCTACTCAAAATGTTGCGCTGGTCCATGGATCATATTTGCGAAAGTAACAGTCACAAAAAGTGAAGCATTTTTGATAGAGTGTTATTAAAATAATGGAGCAGTTGCTATCATATAATAATGGTCTTTATTATTTGCTATTTGTAAAGCGTTAAAAATCCTTAACAAGTTATTAATTTTCTTAGTCATATTAAATTATCATAAGATAAAAAACACAAGAATAAAATAAAACCAATATATATATATAATATATAATATATATATATATATATATATATATATATATAATATATATATATACATATAATCAACGCTAGAAAGGAAATTCACAATAAACAAAGATAAAACAAAATAGTCTCATTAAATCAGCAGTACAAAAAATATTCCCAGAAACTGGTAATAATAAATATAATGATATAAAATGCAAAATTTTTCTACTTTATTTACACTAAGGTGTGATTGTCTTTCTGATATCAATAAATGCCCTGATTTGGAAAAGATACTCTCACAAGGGACATATGTTGCAACTGTACCAAATTTTTCTATCACCACTTTAGAAAGATGTGGGTAATTGTAAGAGTGATCACTCCGCCATTGTAGTGGATCTTCATTTCTGTCTAAGAGATCTTCCTCTAAATATTGCTGGACCTTAATTCTGGCCCTAGATGTGGCAGATACTATAGTCCTCAATGAAAAGGTAGCAGCTTTTTTTTTAAAATGGCCCCATACAGAAGGCTGACCTGCAGTATGATTTTCTGTGTCTGTGGTTTGTGGAAGTGAAAAGAGATTGCTTTGTTTCTTTAGATTTAGAAATTTGTTGAGTAACCAATTTAATAACAAATTCCTTGTCTCATTCAGCTGCATGATTAAAAGTAAATCCCGCATTTTTAAATCTAGGATTAATAAAACTAGACACTAGCAAAGTTTGAGAATTTTCCAAGTCTCCAGGCAATCAGAAATACCTTTTATAACCTGCCCCCCGACCATATTTTGAATTAAAGGCAATAGATCTTCATTTTTCATTCCAATATAAATATTTTCAAGTCCTTTTTTCAAAATTATCACTGAAGATAAAGGCACATATTTTCCTCCACTTATTATTTTAGTCACTTCTTCTATTGGTTTTCTGCACATTGTTTACAAAATAAACACATTGTTTTGTAAACAAAATTGTTTACATTTAATAAGGCCTTAGTAATGCGAACTTCTACCACCAATTCCAAAACTCTATCTAGCATGTAAAAAGTGGCATGTAAAGTACTGCTTGTTTTATGAGCAAAGAGCACATAAGAACTACAAAAGAATAGGTATTATTTAATAATTATTTTTAATAAATTTTGATTCTAGGAATACCCTAACTTAAATTTTTAATTGCAATCAAAATCTGACTAAATTGCAATCCGTATTTATCTGCGATGCAAGCAATGTTTACTCACTCTTACCGATAGCAGCTAAGATTAAACTGCTCCAAAAAATCACTGCTTTTTGTCACCCTGATAATACTGGAGCAGTCACATCTGGTCGCAGCTACACAAAAATGGTTCATTGGTGTATTTTGCCCTATTATTAATTGATTAATGTACCTTCTCTAAATCTGCATATCATCTATTTCAACTAAATAATGTAAAAGACCCAATATTTTTATAACTCTACCAAATTCCATTTTTCATTAAAATAATCTCTTGCAGAAACTCTGGTACCTCTTGTATCTCTGGTAACTTACTGAAGGAATCAACTAATATAAAATAATAACCTCCATTAAATGGTCCAGCATAATCTGCGTGTACTCTTTCAAAACAATAATTTGGTTTTTGCCATTCATGAGTATCTTCAGGAGTTGGATTCATCATCGTCATTGGCTCCACAACCCATGGTGGGTCTTGGCCTGCTCAAGGATAAGTCTCCATTCTCTCCTATTCTTTGCTTTAGTTTTCGAGTCTCATACTCCCAACAGTCTCAAGTCTTCCTCCACCTGATCCTTAAATTGTGCCCCAGATCTGCCTTTCCTTCCTGAAGAAGAGGCAGGAGTTGGATTACTTTTTAATTTATTACAATTATAACAGTTCTTACAAAGTGACTCTTTATCTATATTAGGCTATACCAACAGTAACTGCGAGCTAAGTTTTTCATCTTAACAATGTTAAAGTGTGCTGTGTGTAATTCCTTTAATATTTAGCTCTAAGTGTACTTGGAATTAAAACTCTTTGACCTCTTGACAAGGGTTGTAAAGTTTGATCTTGCAATGTGTGAAATACTAAATCCTTTACATCAATAGGCAAAGTTTCTATTATATTTAACTCCTGAGTATCTGGTTCATCATGGATAAAATATTTGTCTGCTCTAATGGGTAATTGTGAAAGTGCATCTGCATTGCAATGAGAAAGTGTATTTTTGTTAACAATATCATAGTGAAATCCCTGTAAATAAATAGCATAATGTTTCATTCTAGTAGTGCTAAGAATGGTAAACTTTTATTTGGTAAACTGTTATTTGGTGCGAAAATTTGTAATAGAGGTGTATGATCAGTAAGTAATGTAAATTTTCTATTACACAAGTAATTAAAAAAAAAAAAATACACCAAAAATGATACTGTATGCTTCCTTATCAATTTGTGAGTATATTTGTCGTATAGGACTCAAATTTTGTGAGGTAAACTGTATAGGTCTCTCTGTTCCATTTGGGAAAACATGGAAACAAAAGTCCATAAGGTGAAGCATCAGTAGCCAAGATTAATTTTAAATTTGGATCATGACACAAAACTTTATCTGAAGAAATTAATTTTTTGCTGTATCAAATTGCTTAGACCATATGAATTGTACATTATTTTTAAGCAAATTATTTAATGGTTTTAGAAGTGTACTTGTATTTTTAATAAGCGTTTATCATAATTTACTAATCCAATAAAAGAATGTATTTGAGTTTTATTTTCAGAAATAGGTGCATTAATTATTGCATTTACTTTATCTTTGCATGCTGAAATACCATGTTTATTTATTTTAAACCCTTAATACTCAATTTTATCTTTTAAAAACTCACTCTTTTCAATATTTATTCACATATTATGCTCTGCTAATTTCTTGAAAATTTGATCAAGTCTTTCAATGTGTAATTTTGTATTTGGTGCTGTGACTTTTATGTCATCTTGAAAAATTGAAATTCCTTCTATACCCTGTAATATTTGTTCCATTATCCATTGGAATTTAGCTGGGGCCCAAGTTATACCAAACATTAACTAGTTTGAATGATATAATCCTGTATGTATATTTAAAGTAAGCAAGTGTCTCATTTCCGGCTTAACCTGTAATGGTAAAAATGCCTTAGTGGTATCTATTTTGAAAAATTTTTCTCCTGTCATTTGAGATAACAAATCCTCAGGAGTAGGTAAAGGGTGCTCATCAATTTCAAGATGTGGATTTAATGTTACCTTAAAAGCACCACAAATTCTTATGTTTTTTGCCTTAGATTAGTAACAATAATAATAGCTATTACATGTTTTTATTTTGTTATGTTCTTAATACAGCATTTATTTTATTTTCTCTTGACAATAAATTAATTTAAATTGACTTATTTTTTGATTAGTTATGTTCAAAATAAATGTTTCTTCCAATCTCGATCAGTTTTTTTTTCAATCTTATTGAAACACTAAACTTAAACCAATGTATCTCTGAGATATACCGCGACCTATACAATACACTTTATGACCACGACCTCTGAAGAGTTTATATTATTTTGTATTAGTATTATAAATATCTTTGATGTTTTAAAAAATAAATGCTATGAAATTTCTATTAGTAATAGAAATTTAAATCTGAACATGAACATTAAAATCCAGCTTAACTGCTATTTTAAACCTTTTTATAATCTTTTAAGGTAAATGACCAGTAATTGCCACTATAAGAAAGTTAAAACTAAAAACCATATAAAGCCAAAAAACCAATAATTGCCACACAATTTTTCAAAATACCAATTATTCCCACCCAGTCATTGCCATACAGAAATAACTCTACATTTTACTGAAAAATCTTGTTTAGTAATAAAAATTCCACAGGTTTTAGGCCTCAAATACATCCACTGGCAAAGTAAATTCATAAAGGATCCGTTCACCAGTGGATAAAATAATAGGGGTCGGCGGTATGCCTAAAATACGATTTTCGTTAACAAAGCAGATGTATTTTTCATTACAAATAAGAATGTTCTTTTTAGCACTAACAGATTTCATAGACATTACTTGTACATCGTTATTGTCCATAAGGCCTTGGATAATACAAACATATCTGTATGTTATGGATTTTTTTTACCACCTAGGAATTTCACAAGTACATAGTTTCCCACACTAAGTTCTCCGTGAGTTAATGGGCAAAATTCTTTGTTAGGGTCATCACAAAAGTCTATGTCATCAAAGCTGCTACCACTCTCGACCCATTCTTCATCCTTTCCATCATCATCAGAAATATCCCGTTTTAGCTTCTCTTTTAATAGACATTCTTGCTCTCTTGCAATTTTTCTTTGGTTTTTTCTTCTTCTTTCTTTTTCTTTTCAGTTCCTTTTTTCAAGTGATATTCACGCCAAGCTTCTGATTGTACCAAGGATGGAATCTTTTCCTTTAGTTTTATCTTCTTTGTCTGAGGTTTTGGATCTGACCAAAACAGTGCTTTCTTAAATGGGGTAGGAACTTTGCATGGACTCTCCAAGAGTACATGTGATGTACTTGGTTCAGGAGTAGACAATATATCTTGAGCTATGAGTACCAGAGATATTTGGTTGGAAATTTTTTACTGGTGTGCAGTTGAGTTGGAAATATGATAATATTGTTTTGTATGGTACATTTAATTTGGTTTGGTAGTGTTTCAATTGTCCATTCTTTCCATATGTTAAAAAGGGATTTATCCTCAATAGAACCATTCCAATCCTGATTTTCATTTAAAGTTACCTTGAACCTATTTAAAGTTTCTTCACCCGGCTTTCCTTCAAAATACTTAAGTGCTTAAGTGACACTCTTTGTGTCACAAAGCTTGTCAAAAACAAGCGAAACCATTTGTCACTGGGACGGCTATGAATAAATGATTTCTCTCTTTCTGTAGAATTTATTATTTTCTGAACTGTATCCAAAAGCTGAACTTTTGAAACAGGAAAATGTCTTTCTGCTAGATGTAAAATCCATTTCACTAATTCATCTTCTTTGGTTAAAATTGTAAAAAGGTCCATAGAACAAAATAATGGTGACTTTCCATCTCTCTTATGCCTCAAAGTACTATGAGGAACTCCATGAATTCTTGCTGCCGTAGCTGCTGGGATTCCCTTTTTCACATTCTCTAGGGTTTTGGCCAATTGCTCTTTCGAATAATTCCGTTTAGGTGCCATTTCCTGAATGAATAAAATACTTGTAATACCAAATATTAATGTAACCAATGATTGCCACTTTAGAACCAGTGATTGTCACCACTGGCAATAATTGGTAAAAGTAAAGTTTTTGTAATAAAAAAAATAGTGGCAACACCGTAATTTTAAATAGTAAATTTACACACTATAATGAATTAAAAATAAGCCAAACCAATAATGGCCACTTGTGGCAATGACTGGTATTCATAAAATATTTTGTAACCAGTCATTGCCAGGTACATTTCTTTAGAAATATGTACCCTTAACTGAATTTAAACAGCAAACAAATGTAGTTTAGAGTATTTAAGAGGAGCATATGTGTAAATAATTTTATAAAACAATCATTTACAAAAGTGAATAAGAAAAAGAAAAATGTACTTACCTTAATTTTTTCATAAGAAGTCACAAAAAATAGGAAGAAATTTTAACACAACACTACTCTAAGGGGTATACAACAAAAATGGCTGATGCTTGGGTATTGTACAACAGTATACAGTTGCCAAACTTAATAAGGTATTACTACTTGCAAAAAATATAATTTGATTTCAAGTAATTTTCTTATTTTCTTAGAATTTAAGGGTCAGTGGCAATAATTGGTAGAGTGGCAAGGACTGGTTGTTTACCTTAGTTATATTATGTGTACATAATTTATATAATAGTATTACGCTTTTATAAACCAGAACTATTTTTTCTAGCTTGTTATGGATATCAAAGGGTCTGGGATTATATGTGATAATCAAGTTTTACGTGGCAAAGAGCTTGACGAGTTTGCTTGCAAATGGAGTGTTCTGCCACCTTGTGAATTACGAAAAGCTCTTCAAATCACTAAATCGGAATTAATGCATGTTTTAAATCAAAATGTGCCATGTGTTGGATGCAGAAGAAGGTAAGTTAATTGCTTATAATAATATTGTTTCAGTTGTGTTAAATAAGTTAACCCCCAAACCAATAAATAACAATTCTAAATCAAGCAAAAACCAATATTTCATGGTATAAGGACACTAATAATTAACAAAATTAAATATGATTAGGAGAGTTTTTTTAAGAATCCATCTGTTATAAACTGGTCACACTGCAGCCAGTTGGTTTATTGTACATCTTTTATTTATTCATGATTACCCACTAAAGAATTCACATGTTTTGAAGTCACTCGATAGTCTCCAAAAAGTGTTTTCTGCCTGTGATCTAATTACTCAAAGTCATCCAAGATATGGTAACTGTTTCAGCTTCCCTCCTACATAATCTGCAGCTTAAGTCTCAATAGAACAGCCCTGATCAGTTCCAGGTCACAGCTCCAGCTGTGACCTGGAACCTACACTAGTATAATACTGTTATGTTCTTCATGTCATTCCTACACTAGCCTAAAGTTTACATTAGGACTTTGAAGAGCCCCCATGGCTCTTGGTTATCCATGCATGTAATGATCTTCAGTCAAAAACCATGTCATTATTTCTCTTGCATAGTGTAAGATTGCATAAATATGTACCTGAGATGTGTCAAAATCTGGTCATGTGGCAACAGTTGCTTTAGGAGATTGAAGAATGGTTACTTCTGATTGGTATGTAACCATTTGTCTACCAGCATTTATCGCGAAACTCCGACAAAGCAACACACAACGAAGGATCATCCTACATTAGGACAATTCAAGTGCTTACACTGCCCAAAAGACAATAAAGTTTTTAGAGCTTAAAAAAATTAACTTGTTAAAACGATCCACTGTATAGCCCTGACCCAAGCCTTCCTCAAGTTCCCACAGATCAAGAATTCAATGCGTGGTCCGCGATTCCAGTCGCCAGAAGAAGCCATCTTCTTCATGCACCATGTCCTTTCAGAATGTTGGTTACCATCATAGCTATGTTAATTTTATTCACTGCCACCCTAAATAGCATGCTTGTATCAACACCATACCAATCTCGCAAGTTCTTCAACCATGAGGTTCTTCTTTGTCCTGGACTGCGTTTGGCTGCTTTTTTCCTTGCATGATATTTTGAAGAAGCCATCGATGTCTTTAAAACAACGATTTTGCAGGTGTCAACTGAAGAGTGGAATAATTGGTTTCAACATTAGTCCAGTTGTCAGAGAGTTGACCCCTAAAAATCATACGAACAAGTATGTAACCACTTTTACCCCTGGACTTCCCCCTAAAACCACCCTCGCAGGGGGTAAAAACGCAAAAAAAATCGTTTTACCAAGAATCTGTACACCGTAGAAAAAAATGTTTCAAATAAACAATGTAGCTGAGAAAATTTTAAACAAAAATGTTAAAGCATGTTTATAAGCATGTTTTTGTGTAGCATGAATCGTTCTCATTGAAACAACGCTTGAAGCGACCGTCGATATATTTTGATCCAAATGTCCTATCGATAAAAATAGTTGCGTTTTAAAGGCAAAGAGCAGCTTTTATATGCAGTTTTTGTATTTTGCCGAAAATAAACCTAGTTTTTATAAAGGTGTATTGACTGCCAGCAACGCGGCTCCCGCGTTTTGACAAACTTTGTTTCAAGTATCGGCCCGCGTAATTCGTAAGATCAATTTTATGGGTCTAATATTCCGCTGGCGTATGAAGATTAACATGTTACTGTGGGTGACAGTTAAAAGGTTAACTCTTACTGGTGACGTGCCACAGTTGTCACGCAACTGGTGACGTGCCGTCAAATTGACACCGCCATCAAATTAATATTAAGAAATTGAATGTTTTTATTTTTTAATTACTAACGCCTAAATACACCTCATAAAGTGGCGTTTGCTTAAATTTTCTCAAAAAACAATAAATTCATTAAAAAAACATAAGACGATAGTTCATTTACCACGCTTATTTACAAAATAAATCACTTCTTTGCTTTACTTAGAATAATGCAATGGGTAAACTTAGGCAAAAATAGGTATAGAATAAATAAAAGCATACGATACTTAGCGTAGACTGTAACAAGTATTACAATTTCTTTAAACAGTCCAAACAAGTTGGTCTCTTGCATTCAACACACGCATAAGCAGATCTTTTTTTAGCCTTGGCGGACAGATAAGGCAGGTTTTTCTATTTGGCAACTTCTCATTCACTGTTTCGACAACCGGAACTGGAACCTGAAGTATCCTACTAATATTCATTCAAATTTCTCTAGGAATTCGTGTGTTGGCTAGTCTTCTGGTAAGCAGTGCTGTTACTAAATCATGTGCTAAACTTTTGAGAAATTGGAATCGAGTTATTTTCTCTTCAGAATTTGCCGAACAATACATAATATATGCATTTGTAGAAGCTATGTCAACAACTCTGTAAAATATTGACATTGGCCATCTACGTGTACGGCGACTGCTCGAATATTTGCTGCATTTTTCATCCAGAGCATCTACCCCACCCTTTGTCGCGTTATAAAATGCAATAATTTCAGGCTTTCCAGAATCACCGTCAATATGTACTTTCACTGTGGTACATCGATGAAATAAGTATAACCGCCTTGCTTCGCTTTGACACATGAGAAAAAAGCAGTAGTTCTTTAGTGAACTCATAAAGAGATTTGTCAATTTTTTTGGAAACCATTGGAAGGGACGCCGGTTGAATTTCCTTTTTATTTTTTTTTTCAACGTTCCTACGTATGTCAAACCTTTCATCTTTATGATATCCACTAGTTCTATAGAGGAAAACTAGTTATCGGCGGTAGTGTTCCTGTTTGTCTTTTCTTGATCATCCAGGCCTACTCCATCGGCATTTTTTTCTCCATATATATATATATATATATATATATATTTATATATATATATATATATGCATTGAACAAATAACTGGTTCGGGCATCACAGACACATTACTTTAATTCCATATTTTGCAGGCTTTTGTGGCATGTAGATCTTGAATTTACATCTCCCTTTAAATCCAATAAGCATTTCATCGATGCATCCAGTGGTACCAATAGAGTGTAGCTCCTGGCAGTTCTGTAAAAACATGTAAAAAACATCAGAAATAGCAGCACATGGATCAGTCTACTTTCTTTCATCGCGTGTAAAAGGATTGTCAAATCTCAGAGCGCTTAAAATGGTCAAGAATCTTTTCTTCGACGTTACGGAACGAAAAATATCTCGGCCAGTTCCGTCTGTAGCAAAGAATGAGTCGACATATTCGTGATTCGATTTAAATATTGATGAATATAACAGCAATCCTAAGAAAGCTCTAAACTCAACTGTGTCTACATCAGCTAATTCTGACCTGTTATCATTTGCATACTTGCTCCTTATAGCAGATAATTTGTGATTGGTCCACTCTAGTATTATAGTAACTATATTATCAGATAATAATCTTTCAAATATGTATTTACGATTATTTTCGGGTAAACGAATTGCAGTGGGAATCTTGATTATGTTATGTATAGCAGTTCGTACATTTTTTCTGGAGGAACGCTTGACCACTTGAATCTATTTTTACCATAAAAATATTTTTTATCGTTATTACCTTCATACTCGCTTTCAGGTGTAGTACTTGTTTCTTCAGAAGGTAACAAATAGAAGAAGGTAATAGAAGAAGCATAATTAAAATATTTATCATTTATGAAATATCTTGTTACAAATCTGATCATTTTGTCTGTAAAAATAATAGAGTAACATTTTTAATATTCAAATGAAGACCAGTTCTATTGCACCAATCACATAAAAAATAAAACTATCGGGAAAGAAACGAAAGGCAGAATTTACAAAACAGTCATCAGACCAATAATGACATACGCGGCAGTAACAAGACCTGACACAGAGAGGACAAAAAGGATGTTAGAAACAGCAGAGATGAAAATACTTAGAAACATTGATGGTAAGACACTATGGGACAGAGCTAGAAGTACAGATATACGACATATATGCAAGGTGGGGAACATCAAAAACTGGGTAAGTAATAGAAGAGTAGAATGGAACGAGCATATAAGCCGAATGACAACAAATAGAGTAGTAAAGGCGGCAAGAGACGGTTCCCCAATAGAAAGACGATCAGTAGGAAAACCACGAAAACGATGGAATGACACAACTTACTGGAGGCACATTGAAAAGTAGACAGTCATGTATATAAAAAAAGAAGAAGAACACGACATAAAAAATCCAGATCTAATTTTAGTCCATCACTAAATTAAACACTGACAATCTAAGAAACAATTTACAGTATCATTAAGATATGTTGCAAATAATTGGTAATGTGTTCACCCTGAGAAATGTCTGAGCTTTTTCTTCTTTAAGTGCCGTCTCCCAATCGGAGGTTGGATGTCATGATCACTATCTTTACTTTATCTACTGCTGCTCTAAAGAGTTCTATAGATCGGACATTTAAACCAGTCCCTTAATTTCTTCAACTATGACACTCTCCTTCTTTCTATACTCCTTTCTCCTCTTATCTTTCCCTGTATTATCAGCCTTAGCAGTTCATATCGCTGTACCCTCATTACGTGTCCCAGATATTGTAAGTTTCTTATTTTAATTGTGTTTATTATTTCGCATTCTTTGCCCATCTCTCGCAATACTTCCGTGTTAGTTTTCTTCTGTGTCCATGCTATTCTAAGCATCCTCCTGTAACACCACATTTCAAAGGACTGTAACTTATTTATGTGTTCTTGCTTCAATGTGCAGCTTTCAAGTCCATATTGCAGTATCGAAAACATGTAGCATCTCAGTGCTCTTACTCTCAGTTCTAATCTAAGATCTTTGTTGCAGAGTATTGTTTTCATTTTTACAAACGTATTTCTTGCTATTTCTATCCTAGCTCTTATTTTGGTTGTTTGATCATTATTGTCTGAAATCCAGGTTCCTAGGTATTTGTATTTATCAACCCTTTCTATAGGTACATTTCCCAAATGTATGTTTGTTGGTATATTTGTTTTCTTTGTTATTATCATGTATTTGGTCTTTTTTATATTCATTTTTAATCCTTATTTTTCACAGAAACTGTTTGTTTTGTTTAGCAGTAATTGGAGATGTTCACCCTTGCCATAATCACGGTGTCATCTGCATATCTTATGTTGTTAATAGGTCTTCCGTTAATTATTATTCCTTCACTTTGAGATAGTAATGCTTCTTAATCAAAAATGGCTTCATTATAATACATTAAATAGCAATGTGGACATAATACATCCCTGCCTAACTCCTCTCCTGATTTCAATTTCTGGACTGGGTTCGTTATCTATTACGATTTGTGCTCTTTGATTCCAGTAGAGGTTTGTTATTATTCGTAAGTCCCTGTGGTCTGAGCTAATCTTTAGTAATTTTTTGACCGACGATTAATTTGATATTGATCAAAATCCTGTCACCTGTCAACGTTTTTGTAGAAAGATGAATATCTCAAAAAAATATAGTTTCTTTGATTTTTGGAATCTTAACCCTTTCGGTCACGCTTTTTTTTTATTACAGTGAAAAATATTTTGTTAATAATTCCTACCCAATTATGGTATTCTTAACGTTTTTTGGTAAGAATATTACCATTTTTTTATTAAAATAAGGCCCGTTTTTGATGTCGTCAATTGACGACATTGTGACTAACTGGTTACAAACTAATGAGTATGACATAATTTTACAGCTATACGTTAGGATAAAAATACATTTATTTATTAAAAAAAATGATTTAATGATTATAATATATTAAACAAAATTTCGATTTATGAAATTGTAAAAAATAATTTTTATTTTTTGTCAAACATAGATGTACTTTAAATTTTTGGCAAAGGGAACTGCCTTTATATTCTGGGAGTTTACATCTTCAGATTTCGTTTCTGCATGCAATGGAAAATGCGCTATCCTGTCAAACTTTACATCATCAATATGCCGGTTTTCCTAATTCTTTTTATTGTTCAATGGTTCTGATTTAGTTCCATTTGACGGGCGCTGTATTTTTCTAGCTCCTATGCGACATGAAAATAGAGCTTCTACAATATGGGCCCAAAATGAACTAAATCTAGTTTCTTTAGATGGCCGGAAATAGCCCTAAATCCTTTATTTGACTCATTTTTAGATCTAATAATACCGTGAAAATGGTTATTACTCAAGTCGTTGAGTCACGATGTCGTCAAATGACGACATATGATTTCAAAAAAATAATTTGACATATTATGGAATTTTGAAGTGTAATTACTATTAAATTTTATTATTACACCTAGAAGCTTCCAATATTTGAAAAGAACAGATTTATCTCAGTTTCAGAAGGGTAAAAAAATATAATAATTTTAGTAGCATCGATAGCTTTCATAAACCGTTGTGAATGTAAACAGAGAAACTGCTTTAGTTCAACTGGAATGTAACACATTGTATTACGGGTCCTAAATCTAATTAATATTGGATGTTGTGAGATAACTACACTGTTGCTATACCATAACATCTTGTAATATTTACTTAAACAAAGTTAAAATTCTTGTGTCGTCAATTGACGACACTGTGACTGAAAGGGTTAATATTATAATCTATAAAATATGTCTTATTATTTTACAAAGAATTTAAAATACGTAGTATTTACATACATACAAAGTAATATATAGGATGTTACATTAAAGTGCAAATTATCAGATTTCAAATTTAATTATTTTCAGAGATTCTGATTTGTGATATGAAACACCCTGTATAATTGTATAAGCCAAAATTGTATCAATCAGATCAAGGTTTTTTACATATGTCTCAAAAGATATAGAATATTTACTGGTTTACTTAATCAAATTTGCAATTCATCATATAAATACACATAATGTGATTTATTAATTAAAAAGTCAAGGATTTTTTTTAGAAACTTATGACTATTTTGTTTGTAATTAATCTCAAGTTAACTGTTTTATTATTTTTAGTTTGTAAGAAATAAATAAATATAGTAATTCTATAGGGAACTAAATCTCAAACTTTACTTATTTACTCATAATATTAAATTTGTTGTCTTAATTTATTGATTTTGTTTTCTATTCAACCAGTTGATCTTTGTGTCTACTTTTATTTAACCCATTTAGGGGTTAAATGTGACAAGGGTTTGTGAAATAAATAAGGTTTTTTCAGCTATTTTCTCTATTTGTTTTTCTGTCAACTCTTTTTTTTAGTCATAATTTCTAATTATTCAATATGACACAAAACACTGTCAAACAATCGTTATCGCCGATGTAATATGAATCGTTGGTTATCGCTCATAAAATTTGAGGTTATCTCGAAAATTGCTGTTTGGTACATTTAATTTTAATTAAGATCTAATTCATCATGCAATACAATATCAATATCTATTATAACAAAATGTTGAATAAGTTCTCATCACTTGTATCAAGTATCAAGTTAGTCATCACTTTTATCAAGCTCTGACGTCACAATGGGCGAAGCATTAGAAATGTTTGGAAAGGTTTTTTCTAAGCCCTGCCCATTGTGACGTCACACTTAGATAGTCCATTTACGAAATGGCAATAAATAACGAAGTTAATTCGGACGAGGCGATCCAAGTCGCAAGACGAAATCGTTTTTGCGGGTGTAGGGTAATCCCCGAAATGCGATGAATCTAGTAGGTGCTTAACCAACCAGAATATAGCCGTAAGTGTCAACCATGGAACAAAATATTTCAGTTTGGCAGTGTTGGCATGTTTTTGTAATGTATATGTTACAAATGTATGTGAAGCATGTGTATGCTTCAAATATAAAGAGAGAAAGCTTTTAAAAAGTACATTTTGACCAAATTATTTTATGAAATCTACAATTTTTTAATTTATTTAAAACAGGAATGAGTAAATATTTGTTTCTTTTGAGATTAATTGCAGTTAATTATTAGAAATTTTATTGGCAATTACCCTTGGATAGATTTGGCAATATTCAAACCACCAGTCGCCAGATTACAGCGGAAATATACCAAACGTTAATTTTAAGACCATTCCTTTATCATTTTGGAATGTTCCTGTTATAAATTGTACTGTAAACTTCCTCTTACTTGAAATTGTGCCGTGAGTTTGTCTTCTTAATTTTCTATTGCTTTTAAATGTAACACTGAATAATTTTGTTACGGGTTGTGGCTTATTTTCATATAGCGATTGATTCTAAGGACGTGGCAACACTGCTAAACCAAAATATTTTGTTCTATGTTCGTTCGTTCGGTTGATGTTTGCGACTATTATATTGTAGTTGCCTCCTCGTTAACGTTGTCCTTCTAGTTTACTTATTTAAATTTGAAAACCTCTTTTCTCTCTACTGAAAAAAATTTGAAAATGTTGTCATTACCACTTGAAAAAGGACGGTTTGGTGATGACGATTTGAACCCGTGTTTACCACTAAAAGTCCATGCAACCAGACACGAACTGAGTTTGGATTTATGGTTAAAGAGGTTAATGATTATAATGTTTTCTCGTTAATTGTGTGCTGTGTATTTATTAACTTTTTTTTTGCAGTGTGGATAGACTTTATTTTCAGTTATTCAATTTTGGACATCCAACATTGGATCCATTGATTGTTAAACCTGATGGAACTATCACTATTAGAGAAGATAAACAGGCTTATCCAATTTTGGGATCCATTTTTCACGATCATTCGTAAGTAATTTAAAATTGTATGTTTTTAATACCAATTTTTAAAAAAATCTTATTTCTATTTATTAAAATAAAATTTGCAAATATTTTATAATTTTATAAAAAATACACTTGATAAATTTATTTCTTGATTCTTATTTTTTATTGATTTATTTATGTGGCATTTTTACATTAACTACAGACTACCGACTTATTGAAGTGAATACTTCTTATCGCTCGGTATGATGTTTTTCACGAGCCGGGAATCCTATTGATTCGTGAATGAATATTCTCTCTTCTGTTGCCGATGATAATGTAGCTTTGTCTATTTTTTTAAATAATTTTAAACTGTTTGTTCTTGTATAGTGTAGTATTATCAAATACTATAGACTATAATACATCCAACTCCGATAGGCAGCACGTTGCTTCTAGCGCCACAGCGGCTTGAGTTGATAACTACGTTTTGTCAACATAAACATACAAATTTTCTTTTTCTAATTTTTGTATTATTAGCTAATCTCGCTAAAATAGGGATGCTATTGTCTATTCGCTTAGCTAGGGCATATTTTGACAGACTCATTGTCGGAAACCTACAACACAACAATTCCTACTTCTCAGTATTAATAGCTCAAGTGTACTACTATTGCAGACTTCTTTCTTTGAAAAAAAGAAGAATTATTCTAAATAGTGGAAGTGTATACTAAACCATCAAATTTTCCCTGTATATTTAAAATATAATATTTGAATTGTTACAATTTAAAATATTGTAGTAAATATTTGTATTATTCGCGTTGTTTATTTAATTTAATATTGTTTTATTATATTTGTTTAATTCTTTTGTTAGTTCTATTCAGTTAATTAATTAGTTATATTTTAAATTTTATTATTATGGATAGTCAAAGTTTTCCATTTGTTCCATCAGCTTATGTGTTGGTAAGTTTTTCTTAATAAACATGATAAAATGTTTTTTAAAAGTTAATATTTTTAGATTAGTTGTTTCTAATTTAATATAAACTTGTTTATACCTACATGGAGGTTCTTGTTGTTTGTTTGGGTTTATATGACTGCAGACTGCGGCCAGGACACTGAATTCATTAACCATATGTGGAAGATTTTAACATCCTCAAATGCTAATGAGCAAAAATTACTATTGAACCACGAATTTGCCTAGTCAAATTACTAATATTTGCTTTTAGCATATGGAAGTACACTTATTTTGTAAGATAATAAAACAACAGTTTATGTTAATGCTATCCAATGAACTGTTAATCTTTAATCATTGATTCCATCCTAGTCACAACATAAGGAACTTGCTGTGTCTTATTTAACCTCACTTTGACTTTTAATTTTGTAGAATTTACTCCCACTTTTTTTATTTTGTACAATAAATAATTTTATTATTTGTTATCAATACATAATACGGTGTAAATAAATAAATATTGATTGTCGGCAAAGTTCTATTTTATTTACTTTTGTTTACATTAATATTGACTAAGAGCACGTATGCTTGGTTGTATAGTAATTTCCAGCCACTTCGAGTCTGTCAAAAAGTAACTAACTTCGCAAAAAAATAATTACTAAAATCACTAGACAGTTCGGACTGAGAATAGCGAACCGGGTATATGTCATGTTACATTAAATAAATTACCAGCGAGTGCAGCATACACAGCTAACTTTATTGAGAAAGTGGACACTTTATTTGACATTTTTAATTCTTCAAAATATAATGACAAGAAATTCAGAAAGCCAATTTCAATAAAAAATCATTCATATTGATAAATTGGACGATTTAAAAGAATTTCTAAGTAATATCAGAGAATTGAACAGAAGAAGAGTTAATCCAACATGTATCAATGGATGGATATCAAATATTAATTCTCTGAAGTTGCTTTGGAATGATTTAAAGAGCAATTATGGGTTTCAATTTCTTTTTACAAAAAGGCTAACCCAAGACTGTATACAAAATTTATTTTCTATTATTAGGGCTAAGGGTTTTAATAATAATACACCTGACAGTGTGAAATTTAGGTGCAACTTGCGATCTGTCATGGCAAATCAGTTACTGCAACCATCAGCGGACAGCAACAGCGACATTGATGCTTGTTCATTTTTAATTCAAAAAGATGAAATGCTCAAAAAACCCAATTAAAGTATTGCTTAATAATCCTATCGAGCATTGCACCGAAAACGACATAAGTAATGACAATTACGATATGATCGAAAAAAAATCTGAGACTTATGTGTTAGGATGAGTTTGCAAGTCAATTGCCTCACGAACAATGAAGAAATGCAGTATGTAACTCTTTTAATAATTATTCTTTAGAAAATACCTTAATAGAGTTAAAAAAATATGAGAAATCATCTAATTTTAAATTTCCAAATGATGAAGCCAAGGGAGCTTCAGATAAAATTAATGAAATATTTAAAAGGTATTTTCAAAATTATATAAAAGAAAGCGTTGAAAATGTTAAATATAAATTGAAATTAAAATGTGACTTTCAAGAAACTCTCCAAAATGTATGTACAAATTGTTACAAGACTTTTATAGATAAATATTTTAATGTGTTAATAAAAGCTTATGTAAATAAAATTAACGACAGTAATAAGAAAAAATTATATAAATTAAAATGTAAAAATATCAAATTAAAGAAAATAACTCACAATTAAATTTGTATTTTGATTTAATCTATAAATAAACTAATAAATTACACTTATTAAATAACAGGCAATTAAATGCATAAGTTTGTAGTTATCAACTCATACCATGAGATGGCGCTATTTTGTTTGCTGCCACAAAACTAATGGGAAATGTCAAGAGTTGTATGTATTATAGTCTATAGTATTTGGTGTTATGTACAATTTTATGTTCATGACATTCTGTGATTGTTGGATAGGCCAAAATTGACGAAATGCCCCTGAAGAGACTTTATGAAGCGAAAAGTACTTGGGCAAGATTTAATTAATCAAACGGTGCTCGATATCTGCCTTTCATTTTATCAAAGTTCATTTATTCGAGCATTCAACCTTATATCAATTTAGTAATAAGCAGACAGAAAATTTCATTAACCTACCAATACCAATAGTAATAATACGCTATAAGAAGTATTTACTTCTGTCGGCACTCCCAAAGTAGCACGCTCTTTTTTTTTTAAATAAGCTGTCATCAATCAGCCAATCGCTTCCACTGCTGGACATAGGCCTCCCTCAGTTCTTTCCAGTGTTCTCTACACTGGGCCGCTTGTAGCCAGTTTCCCGCTACACGTTTTATATCATCGGTCAATCTAGTCGGTGGTCGTCCTCGGCTTCTTTTATAGTTTCTAGGCCTCCATTCCATAATATATCTTGTCCACCGTCTATCTTGTGCTCTGGCTAAGTGCCCTGCCCAGTTCCACTTAAGCGACGTGGTTCTTTCGATGATGTCTTGAACTCCTGATCTTTGTCTAATTTGTTGGTTTGTTATGTGGTCTCGAAGGCTCACGTTCCATGGTTCGTTGTGTAACTCTGAGTTTATTCGCAGATTTTTGCGTGAGTGTTAAAGTCTCTGCTCCATAAGTTGTACAGGTAAAACACATTGGTTATAAACCTTTCGCTTGAGACACATGGGAATTGAACTTTTTAGAATATGGCTTAATTTGCCAAATGCTGCCCAAGTTAGGCCTATTCGCCTCTGTATTTCATGTGTTTGATTGTCTCTGCTTATTTTGATTTCATGTCCCAGATATTTGTAAGTGTATGTTTGTTGTATGGTATTATTGTCAATAGTTATATTTCCACTCATTACGACTTTTTTTATAAGTTTAATTTTCTCAAAGTTTATCTTTAATCCTGATCTTTCAGACGGACTTTTAAGCGAATGCATCATAGAAACTGTATCCTGTAAATTATCCGCGATTAATACAACATCATCTGCAAATCTTAGGTGATTTAATCTTTCTCCATCTATATTGATGAACATATCTTGCCATTGAGTGCTCTTAAATATTGACTCTAGAGCTGCCGTGAACAATTTTGGTGAAATATTGTCTCCTTGTCTAACTCCTCGACCTAAGCTGAATTTTTCTGTGTCTTCGTGTAGTCGTATACTTGATGTAGCGTTCTCGTAGATGTTTTTGATTAGTGTCATGTACCTGTAATCTATTCGGCTTTGATTTAGGGCTTCCAGTATTGTTTCAAACAGAATCATACTTAAACGTCGGAGACAATCAGTGGAGGCATAACGAAGCCTCACTTGAAAAATAAGGAATACCAGAAATTTGTCATCTTTTGATTTTTGGCTTTCCTTTTATTTCTATTTAATTATTTTTTTTGTGAGTCAGTACACCTTAACTGTTTTTTAATTAACTTGAAAGCAAAAGTTTGTCACTGAAATATAAAAATGAATAATTTTAACTAAAAATATTTTGTTTTTAGTGTTCGATTGGCAAAATTAATTGAAAATCAACCAAAGAGAAACAAAAAGAGCGTTAGATGTCTATTACATTCTTTAGATTCACAACGTAGCAGACCTCTAACGCCAGTTTGGAGGGATGTGTGGGAGTGCATGAAGCCAGAGTGTAAGAAAGATGTCTGCTTGATTAAAGCAACTAGTCTTCATAGTACATTGGAAACATATTTGCGTAAGCATAGATTTTGTGGTGAATGTAGAACAAAAGTTTTAAAAGGTAAGCAAAAAACACTTATTTTTGTCTAATTTTTACAAATGTCACAAAATTTTTAGTTTTATTGAACATAGATATATATGAATTTCTATTCTTTTTATTAATTTTGTCATTATACTTTTGATTTTCGTTAGTACTAACTAACACACTACGTAGTACTCAAACTCTGTCACCTTTTTGAAGCAATACTCTTTACTCTTATTGTTTGTGATAGTCTTCAGTTGTGTGTCTTCATATGTCTCCATTTCCATATACTTTGTTTTTTGCTCATTAATAATTAGTCCATACTGTTTAGCCTTCACTTTAAGAGTTTGAAAATCTTCAGCAGTTCCCCTTTAGTTTTTTGCCATTAACTCTACATCGTCCTCAAAGGCCAGCATCTTGCTTCTGTTGTCATAAATCGTACCTTTCGTTTGTATTCCACTCTCTCTCTCTCATTATTGTCTATGGCAAGAAATTGAAGAGTATTGTGGACAGCAGATCTCCCTGCTTTAGTCCCTTCCTACTTCAAATTTTTCTGTTATATTTCCTTCTAATGTACTATATTATCAGTTTTCATTAAGGTCATTTTTGCTGGTATGATCATGTTTTCTGGAATTCCAAGGACCCTTAGGGCATGGTAAAGACGCCCTCTTATCACATAATCGTAAACTTGTTTGAAATATATAAAGATGAGGTTTAGCTTTAACTCGTATGTACTGCTTTGAATAATTTTTAACACAAATATTTGATCTATGATGAATCTGCCCTTTTGAATCCTCCCTGGTATTCACCAACCTGCTCGTTTAAGTGCCTTTCCAATCCTCTTCTTATTACTCTGGCGAGTAGCTTACATCCAGGAGAATGATACCCCTATAGTTTTAGCACACTGCTTTATCTCCCACTGCATACTATTACCTTTCTTCATACTTCCGGCATTTCCTCTCGCTTCCAGATTTTCGTCAGCAGGTTACATATTCGATTACCTCTCTTCATATTTCTGGTATTTCCTTTCGCTTCCAGATTTTCGTCAGCAGGTTACATATTCGCGTCATAAGTGTTTCTCCCCCATGCTTGATAAGCTCTGCAGGAATACCATTGCCGCCTACACTTTTATTGTTTTTCTTGCTATATGTAATTTTTCTAATTTTTTCCACGGTGGGAGTATCCATTGTTTTCAGCCGTGTCGTTGACTTCCCCTATTATTTCCATTTTCCACTTACTCCTCATCATTTCCATCCGGTTGTTCATTAAGCAGCCCTCTGAAATGCTCTTGCCATCTATCTAGCTTCCCCTGCTTACCTCCTATTAGATGCCTTTCTTTACCATTGTAGTAATTGTACTCTTGCGTCTTGGTTACTGCTTCTTGTCGCCTCCTGGTAGAAGTTTTTCACTTCACATTTCTATTTTCGTCACTTGGTTTGTCCATATATTTTAGTATTGCTTCGTTTCGTTTGTTAATTTATTACTGTATATATATATATATATATATTATATATATATATATATAATATATATAATATATATATAATATATATATTGTCCATGATATTGAGCAGGTGGATCAATGGTTTCCCCAGTCGCGAATTCCAATTTAAACTCTCTTCTCATAAATTGAATTAGAAACTAAAAAAACAATACTTAATGTAATTATATTTTTAGCTTATTCCTTGTTGGTGGAAGAACCCGAACCTACAAAAGAAAAGGGTTATGTATCTTCATTATATGCAGGTATTAAGAGATGCTTGCCTAGTAAACATCTCCATCTACAAGCTAAGACTGATATCATTACTAAGTTAATCAGTCGGGCAGAGCCTGAACTATTAGGAAGGTAATATTTTGCAATTTATGTATGAGAATATTATTATTATTTTCATGAATAACTTCATTTTCTCATGTAATTCCTGTACAAAATTAATCAAGTTACTACCAATGATTTTAAAAGATATTCTGAGATAATTGTGACTTAAATGTACTCACTATGTTACAGCAACCTTTAAAATACTGGAGTTTTTTGACATTTTGAGCAGATACTGTTATTTTTAAATTGCAACTAATTTAAAATATGAAATCGGAAAACTTAACGGCCAGCGTCAAAATTAGTTAATCATCTTCTGATTTGAATCGCGCTTTCTTCTTTTCCTCGCATTTTCCATCGTGCGTGTCTTATCCTACATCGTGAAATATTCAGTTTATTTGGAAATACTTAACATTTTGAATCCCAAAATTCTTCAAAGTTCATTTAGATCTTTCCAATGTTCTTTTAGATTATATCTCTTATGTACAAGTAAAAAAAATCTTTACTTGTCACAAACCAGACATCTAAATAGACATTCCAATCTCTTGTTTTTAAGAAAGTACTTTCTCCAGTCTTTGTATCATTCCTCTGCCATTAGTACATTCAACCTATTCTCCCACCAATTGGTTTGGAAGTTTTCTGTTCGAAGGTCTTTACTTTGACCCACAAGTTAGTCTTGTAAGTTTTGATGTGTCACCTCTACTCCCAATATTCCAATCCAGTATTTTGTCGTTATTCTATGGGATCATCTCTACAATGATAACAAGTCTTTTGTTCTAGCTGATCTCTCTCCAATGGCGCTACAGCCCAAATCGAGCCTTGGGCTCCTCCAACATTGCGCTGATCTTCTTCAGCTTCTCACGTCTAACAAATTTTGCGCGTCAGCTGCCACTTCATCCTCCCACCTTTTCCGTGGCATTCCTTTTGGTCTTGCACCTTGCATGTTACTATCTAATGCTCTTTTTGGCAATATTCCGGTCTCCATTCTCACTGCATGACCAGCCCATCGAAGTCTCTGAAGTTTAACGAATTCTGAGATCGGTGCCTCTTTTGGAGAATAGTTGGTAGAGTTCATGCTTATACATGGATCTCCATCTCCGTTTTCGTTAATAGCTCCAAATATCTTCCTTAGGACTCTTTGTTCGAAGACTTCCAGCTTTCGTTTTGTGTCTTCTGTCTGTATTACCCAAGAACGGTTGACTACATAGGATAGTTCCATCTCCTAAATTTGTTTGTCACTGCAACACGTGGCTGTGACGTAGGTGTGGGGATGACAAGCAATTATCGACCTATTGTTACTGTTAACTTTTACGGAAGATGAGCTTAATTTGAGATTAAAAAGTTTAAAACGAAAATTTTACGTTTTGTTTTTGTAAATAATGATCTGTTTTACATGGCAAATAAAATTTATTTTCGAAATGAATGCATTTGTTAGTGCTATAATTAAATAATAATTATTCTAAATGTCAGTTTACTCTTAAAGTAAATATTTCTGGTAAATAAAATCTATAAATCTGTGTTTTACTTACATAGTCAGAGCACAAATTAATATCCAAAAACATTTGACCATAAATAAAACTATTCAATACTGAACCATTTATTTCGTAAATATAAATCGGTAAAACTAAACAGTATACAATACTAGGAAACTTTAGAAACATTCCCTACCGAACAATTTTATTTAATTTTCTAATTTTTGACCTAGTTGAATCCAACACGAATAAGTTTTTTTGCTTCAAATTTTCAGCTTCCTTGAATTTTAAATGTCTATAATTTATTCTAATTATTGTTGTAAGTTTACAAAAGTTTTTAGTAAGCCCATATGGCAACACTTTTTCTTTTTTTTTAAAATCCTCTTTAAAATGTTTCCAACAACTCCATTATTTTTCCTATAGGTATCAATATATTTTTCATAATATTTATTCCATAATTTTATTTTTATGAACCACTCATCTGTAGGCTTGATAAGACCTCCATAAGAGAGTTGTTGCACCCATGATTGTAAACTAGAACTATATTCACTAACTTTGTATGTGAAATTACCTAAAGCATGGTAAACTATCTTTAAATTTTTTTTTGCTAAATACCCATCGATGTATTCTAAGACATCTTCTGTAGTTTTCTGCAAATCACTGACAACGCAATATGAGGTGGCAGACCGATTAGAGAGATCCTTGGGAAGATAAAGAACTACTATTGTTAGATTCATCAGGTTCTTCTATTTTTTCTTGAGGAATTTTAAGATTGGCTTTTTGGAATACTTTTGGAACTAATATATTGATCCACACTCAGAAAGAAGTGCAATTTGGTTTGTGGTTAACACTTTATTTAACAAAATTTCAGCAAAAATTTCAGATTTTTGTTTATTTTTCTGAACATTCATATTTTTTGCTTTAGAATACCTAAACTGACTTGTTAAAGTTTTTATTTTCATTTAACCCTTTTTCTTCAAATTGGAATGATCAGCTTTTAATTTTTTACACTTGTTTAATAATTCGTTGTATTTTGCTTCAAAATCTACTTCAAGCTTTAAATCTATATCTATTGTCACCAGCTTGTTCAAAAATTATTTCAGATTCAGTAATAGTATGTTCACGTTGATTAGATGCAATATTCAAAATATTTACCAACCCAAACATGGAAGTCTTATAGACACCATATTGTTAGCAACAAATACTAGACACTGAAGATGATCCGTAGTGATCAAAAACGTTCTGCCAGAACTTTAAATGTGACGACACTTTTTTAAAAAGTGTTAACTTGTTTGTTTTATACCTAAATACACATTTGTAAAGTGTTTTAACTTCTGTGTTTTTTTAAACTATGGTATACAGCCAATTACGGGGTTTTTCCCATTAAATTTGAATCAACCTTTGTAATTTCTGCTACAAGTTGCTTTCTGTTACTAACATCTAATCTACCTTTACGAGTAGAGACAGAATGTGTGTCAAAGGTATGTTTATATAAACAAAGTGTTGGAACGACAGTTTTCTTTAAAAGGCGTTTAGTAGGTAAACCTAAAATAAGTTACGTTAAAAAATTTTTATAGACATTTTATTGCTGGTTTATTTTACCTAATAATTCATTTTGAAGATCTCTTTCATAGTCGTTGTTTGTAAAATGAACAGAGCATATTCTACTAGAATCAGGAATAAAATGATTCAGCTCTTCTGCATCGGTTAACCCATTCAGCCCTTATAGTTGTCGACACTAAATCCTTTCCTTTTGGAAAACAGAAAAATAACATTCACACAGTTTTCTTTAAAAGGCGTTTTAGTAGGTAAACCTAAAAATAAGTTACGTTAAAAAATTTTTTATAGACATTTTATTGCTGGTTTATTTTACCTAATAATTCATTTTGAAGATCTCTTTCATAGTCGTTGTTTGTAAATATGAACAGAGCATATTCTACTAGAATCAGGAATTAAAATGATCAGCTCTTCTGCATCGGTTAACCCATTCAGCCCTTATAGTTGTCGACACTAAATCCTTTCCTTTTGGAAAACAGAAAAATACATTCACACAGGCCTTGGTTTTCACACTCTTAAAATGATTGTCACAACCATATATGGCACATCTATTACCACCCATTTTGTTTATAGAAGTAAATTAATATGGAAACAATAATTAAATAATCTTATAAGGCCTTTAAATCGCTAGTACAACAAAAAAAATTGTCAACAAAGAAATGTCAACCACGAATCCCCACGCCTACGTCACACTCAACACAACGCATTTCTTACATTAGAGCATAGGACAAAATTAATCCTATCTGTGTTTAGTGTCCTTGGTGATCACCTATGTCTCGCATCCATAACATCCTATTAGTCTGATGTGCATCTCGTACCATTAGTAGATTATGTTACATATATGCGCCACCCTCCTCAATTTCTTGTACTATATACAATTTGTATAAAAGACAACCATTAGAACTGGTGTCATGACCGCACAGGATTAAAGTGATACATTTATTCTGTCTAGGTAGTAGGTATTTATAATGTAAATACAGATCTGTGAACATTTATTTTCCTTGTTTATTTGATAACCTTTACGTATTAAAAATAAATCACAACAGTTATTTTATTTATTTTAATGCTCATAATTAAATCGTTTGTTGCAGTCGTAGAGAAAGACACGCTAAAACTCTCGAAATTGCCCAAGAGGAAGTACTGACATGTTTAGGTATTTGCATGTACGAACGTTTGCATCGCATCTATATGAGGATGCGTGAAGAAGAATGTACCTGTCAAGTGTTCGCTGCCGTTGCTGTTCACACATTAAGTCGTAGTTTTGAGACTGCCGTAGAACGGATAAGGGGAGTTTCTCAGTTAGAATTACTCTACGCAGAGTTCGAACGTGAAGAACAACAGAAACAAATCAGAAGGGAACAGAAGAAGATCAAACGCAAGCGTAAAAAGGGTGAGTTGAAACCGTTTATGGAATATCAGGATGAAGGGTTTTAGATATACCCCAATAATCTAAATTACTAAATTGGAACTTCTTAACTCAAAAAATCGCACTATATATTATATATATATATATTATATATATATATATATATATATATATATATATATATATATATAATGTACATTATTTTTTGGTATAGTTTATTTGCTATTAGATTTTTTTTCTTATATAGGTAAGGTAGTAGATAAAGAAGGCAAAGAAAATTGTAATGATTTTGATCAGGACGATGATGACAAAGAAGATACAGACAAAGAGTGTTCTTGTTCCAAAGACAAAATGAGCGAGCATGAAGATTCTTTAGGATGTTACAGCTGCGAGCAGTTGCAACCGGGGGGCTGTGGTGATACCAAAGTTCCAAGAAATTTCGAATATGAAGATTTTTCTAAGCTCAATAATGGAGGTATGTAATTGTTTTCTTATGTTTATCTTTTTTTTTTCGGTTGGTTTTTGATCATCCGTTCGTTTTTCTGTACTTTTATAACATTTTTTGTTTGGTTAACTTTTAATGATTAGTTGTTACTCCATATACCATTACTCTTTTTAGAGCTTTTCGATTAGAAATGTTCAAGTAGTGTTTGGTCATTATATGTAAGTATTCACATAGTGTTGGAGTAAGATTACACAAATTAATAAGAGTAAGTGAGGTTATTTACAATTCGAAACAGTCATGTTGGTGGAACTCCGTTCGGTAGACTTATAGGAACTGGATTTTTATGCGGTTGAAGCCATCCTAATTCCTTTCGCGGTCCTTAGAAACAGATATGATGCACACAGACATTGACGATTATGCGTCAGAAGCCAAGAAGGGAAAAATACAGGGTCAACTTCACCTTTCCTGCAGAGCAAAAAAATGCCAGAACTCCATGCAAAAGAAAAACCAAGGGAAGAAGATTTAGAGGAAGCGGACGACGTTATGAATATGTTCATGATGATGGGAGAATTGAAAGAAATCCGGGAGGAAAATATATGAAATATTTTAACATAGAATCAACTTAAATAAAAATTTCTGTATTCTACCAAATGAGATCTCATTTAGTAGTAATACTTTTAAAAACTTGACCATAGCTCTGAAGATAGCTTTTTTTAAGCCGACAGCGCTAAGCTAGGAAATAAATGTTTGCAAATTTCGAAAAATACTTTTCTTTTTCATTCTTTAATTTGTTATAAGTGTGTACAAAAACATATCAGTCTTTATTTATAGAGGAATATCCTTGTTGGAGGTAATATATAATGTGCTCGCCATACTAATCAAAAAACGACTAGAAATATATGTGGAAAAGAATCTAGGAGACTACCAGGGAGGATTTCGCAAGGGAAGATCAACAATTGTTATGTTAAAACAATCGCTGATCAATAATTGCTATGAATACAACATTTCCGCAGAAGTAATTTTCATTGATTACAAGGCCGCCTACGATACAATAGACAGAAAAAATTAATAGAGACGCTAAAAGAATTCCAAGGACCAGAAAAAATAGTAAGATCAGTAAAAATGACAATTAGAAAAACCATTTGTGCTGTGAAATGCAATGGTACAGTCTCAGAAGAATTCGTGAAGTCAAAAAAGGTGTTCGCCAAGGAGACACTTTGTCTACCTTGCTATTTAATATAGTTCTAGAAAAAATTGTAAGGATTAGTGGAATAAGTAGGTCCGGTACTCTTTTCTACAAAGAGCACACATATTTTTAGAGTATGCTGATGAAGTGGTTCTCATTGCAAGAAATGGAAAAGAACTGGCAAGTATAGCAAAAAGATTGATTCGAAAATGCTCTGAAATGGGACTGAAAGTTAATATTAATAAATCCATGAGTATGGAAATCTCGAGCAAAATCAGGAATGAACACCAGGAACTCCTTTAAATTAGAGGTGGAGGATGGATCAGTTGTAGAATTCGAAAAGCTGGATGAATATATGTACTTAGGTACACTTATTGACAAGACATGTAAGGAACTGAAATCAACCTAAGACTGACCAGGAGCAACAGATGAAGCTGGGGCCATTAACAAAATAATTAAGGCCAAAGATATATCTCGTAATACAGTAGAACCTGCTTAATTCGAACTTCGTTAATTCGAAATCTTCTTTAATTCGAATTTTTATTCTGGTTCCCTAGCATTTCTATATAAGTTAATGTTAAAAAGTCGTGGATAATTCGAATTATATTTTGGATAATTCGAACTTTGCTACAAGTTAAAAATGCAAATTTTATGCTGGAAATTTCCGCTAAAAGAGGTAGTATTGTTTTCTGTTTTAACGTGCCACTTGTTTCAAGGTCATTGTACATTGTACCCGTACCTGTCACCTCAATTCTAGCCCATCTGGCACGCCCCTTCACTTGAGATGCGTTGGCGTTGCAATTGCAATCAGCGCAAATTACGTGAAGTCACTTCGTATTGAGTAAAGATGTCGTCGCATGGTAATACGAAAATATATAAAACTTCAACGTTATCGGAAAAAATAGCGGCAATTAGAGAAGTAGAAAAGGGGACAAAGAAAAATCTGAGATTGCCAGGGCCTTTGGAATTTCTCCTAACACATTATCCACCTACTTGAAGAATAAAGAAAAAAATTCTCAACAGTGAAAGTGAGTGCGGTAAAGATCGAAAAAAGGTTAAGGGAGCCAGAAAATCCAAATTTAGACAGTTGTGTGTTAAAATGGTTTCAAATAAGCTAGGGATAAGAAGATTCCCGTGAGTGGTCCCTTATAAGAAGCAAAGCTGAACAATTTGCTATTGAAATGAGAGAAAAACAATTTTAAGGAGAGTACAGGGTCGCTCGACGGCTTTAAAGGACGCACAAAATTTCTTTCAAATCCATTTGTGGAGAAAGTGGGACCGTTAATCAGCAAGAAGCCAGTGGAAAGAAGCCAACCAGTGGAAAAAAAAATTTGAAAGAGATGATTCAGGGTATAGATGAAAGAGATATCTTTAATGTTGACGAGACGAAAAGTTCATAAAAGAAAAAAGAAAAGTTATTTTGTTTATTGACAATTGTACAGCACACACCACTATCCCACTGATGGAAAATGTAAAAGGTTTTTTTTTCCTGCTAACATGACTTCAATTCTCCAGCCTATGGACCAAGGTGTCATAAACAATTTTTAAACATTTTTACACACGTTTTTTGGTTGAAAACATATTGATGGAAGATTGCGACACCCTTAAAATAAAGTTAGACATTCTACAAGCATCTCGAATGTGTAAGAAAGCTTGGGACCAAGTAACACCCGAAACGATCAAACACTGTTACAAAAGAGCTGGTTTCATAAAAAAGGAGGAGAACACAGACAATTTAACAGAAGAGCTGCTTTCAGTTGACTGCTGGGGGGACATCATTTCTGATCCTGCTATCTCTTATGAAGATTTTATCAACGTGGATGAAGATGTTGCAGTATGTGGTGAAATAACCGATACAGAGATCATCGCTGAAGTTCTTAAGGACAATGATGAAAAACAAGAGAGTGATGAGACGACGCATCATCAGTTGCGGGAGAAATACATGTTCCGAGTGCGACCGAAGCAACACACCATATTACGCAACTTAAACGGTACTTTGAAAGTAAAAATGATGTAAGTCACTCTATTTTTAGTTCAATGAACACCTTAGAATCGTTTGTCATTTCCGAGACGTTAAATTCTAAAAAGCAGCTAAAAAATTTAGGATTTCTTTAGAAAAAATTAGTCTATTTTCATTAATTGTAACAAATATGTATTCTTATTTTCAATAATTTTTTTGAGACAAAATGTTTTATTTTTTTAATGATGCGTTCTCACTGGGAATTTTTTATCTGCCGATTGTTTCGGCTAAGATTTGGCCAAAAAATACCAATGAGAAAACCTGCAAATGATAAAAATCGACAATAATTAACCATTTGTTATAGCTTGCAAATCCTTTAATTGGTATTCTGGCCTAATTTTGTTGGCCCATTTTTTGTGGATATATTTTTAATTCAATTTTTTGGATAATTCTGCAACGATAAAATATTTCGATATCTCTGCAGAAAAATATCTGCAAGCGATAAAAATGGTCAACTATTGTTGATTTTTATCGTTTGCAGATGTTTTTGTAGGCATCTTTGTTTTTTGTGGATACATTTTTAATTCGAATTTTTGGATAATTCGAATTTTTGGATAATTCGAGTTTTTTTAACGGTCCCTTGAAGTTCGAATTATCCAAGTTTCACTGTACAAAAATAAGAGTGTACAAAAACTATAACTAGACCCACAATGCTATACGCTGCCGAGACATGGACTAGGAACAGAACCATACAGAACAGATTGGAAGCATGGGAAAGAAAGATACTTCAAGAATGTTTGGTGGAAAAGTAGTAGATGGAAAATGAAGAAGACGAACTAATGTAGAAGTGTATAGAAGTCAAGAATATTGGTTGGAGGGTACCTGAGGACAAAAAAAGAGAGGAAGACCAAGAAAGAAATGGAAAGATGTAGAGTCAAAGAGATTGGAAGCTTAAAGCTAAGAACAAAAAAAGTATGGCAAAAAATATCTCTACAAACTTCTTTTCTGTCATGTCCAATTTTGATAACTTAATGAAATGTAGTAAGTACCCCTTCTGTCATCAAATTCTATTCTAAGTTTTTGTTTGGTCAAACACAGTTTACTAGTGATGCAACATAACTATGTCTTTCCACCCAACTCAATACCAAATGTTAATGACCAAAGATGGTGACAAATCTCTTTTTTTCAAATTGTTCAAGTAATGCTTGAACCTTTTTTTTTATTATTTTTTACAAATTGGTGATTTGCAACTAGGGCTCAGTTTCTTTTTCCGTTTACATTAGTTTGTGCATTTGTTTATTTTCCATTCATTTGGGTCAGATGATTTCCTTTTCCTAGTTGATATATTTTCATAATTTTCAATATCTTCTTCGTTCATTGGTTTGGGCCTACTATCTTTTCCTTCAGATGTCATTATTGAGCTATTTTCTCCAGTAATAACTAGTATCATTTGCATCAACTGTTTTTGTTGTGGAATGTAAACTAATGTCTGCATCCAATTCACGTACATAGTCAGGGTTATTAACCAATTCTTGAAACAAACATTCTCCTGAAAATGTTTCATGTATTTAAGTTGTATCATTCGAGTTATAATTGTAATTATTATTAGGTAGCTCATTGAAATTGCATTAAGAATTTCTGATAACAACTTAAAAAGAATGTAAACATTAATTCTTTCCTTAGAAAGTAATAAAAGATTCATAATACTGTGTTTTTTCTCTCCTACTGACAGAATAGTGAATAATGTTGTAAAATACAACCAGTATAGAGTACCCTTATTGACATAGGAGTAGTTGTTAATAGACAAATTTCCTATGAAGTTATAGGAGAACTTCTAATGGATTATAACGCAATAAAAACATAATTCCAATAAAAATTTACATAGGTTTCCATTCTTCAGCATCGATATATTAATGGAAAAGTTATATTAACTTTTAACGAAAAATACACAAGGGAATAAGACAGGATTGCCGCATTTCTCCAACTCTTTTAAATATATATATGTAGACAACTTAATGCGCAAATGGAAAATGAAATATAAAGAGGAATATTACCTTGATAAAATCTTCATATTTATCTTCAATTCTCGCAATCTTCAAGTCATGTGTTTATATTATTTTTCTCCTGCTCTTTCAGTTTTTGCAGTTCTGCTGGTCGTAATGCAGGATTTTACTATAAAAGGAGACAATTCTTTAAATTTCTATAATAATCTTTGTTTTTATATATCGTTTTTAGGTGGTGGTGGAGGCATAGGAATGGTGAGCGATAAAAAAGAGAAATTAAGGTGTAGCAGCAATGAATTATGGATAGATGATTGCAAATGTGAAAATGATGTTAAAGAAGTTAAAAAGTCAACGTGTGGTACCACCTGTAAATGTGATGATAGGTAATTATATATTTTGTTCCTCATACTTTTTTTGGCTAAAATATTAACGGAACAGTTATTGCTAACTATTTTTAAAAAATCATGTGATCTTATTAATTTTCAAATGATTTGCAATTGCAATAAAACCAAACTTAATGCTGATTAACACCTTAGCTGCGTTCAGAGATATTTATAAACGTACGTTGACTGCGTTACGAGTCATATATGCCCCGTCATGGATCTTCGCCACAGTGCGCTACGACCCATAAATGTCTCATAAAGTTCAAGCCATTTAAAGGGTGTCTGTGTTCAGAAAATAAAAGTATTTGATTTGTGGGAAAGCAGGAGTGAGATACAACTTTCCTGTCATAATCTGAAGCCGTGATAAAAAAAATGGTTCGTTTCAACATTTATTACTTAAATACTGAACAGATATTTTAATTATTGAGCAAAATTTAAATAACTTCTAAAATAAACACGATAATAGTCCTATCTGTAAAATTTTTTTAATGGGTTTCATTAAAGCACGCTAGATATAATGCAGGTTGACTATCACATTATTCACAGTATGTTTTAATTTTTTTACTTTGCTATCTGTCTCTTTACTAGTCATGCTTCTTCTTAGAATTCTGTAACATCCTGTACACCTTCTCTCCTTTTTATTATGTATATCGATTTGCCTGAGTGTATGGTATATTTTGGGTGTAAGTGCTGGCTTCAAATTTTCTCTATTTGCCAATGCTTTTGCGAGCTCCAGTCTTAAGTCAAGGATAGGTAATTTGACTACTATTATTTTTTAACAACGAAGCATTGACTACTGCGGTATTAAATATTAATTCCACTTTCTGGTACCACTTGAAAGTTTTGCGTATTGAGCTTTGATAGGTGCTCAAACTCAAGAGTCACTAAGTTATAATCAAGAATAGCTTGTGGTTTTAGCACCGGTGTATCATTTTTCTTTTTACCTAAGTCAACCAAGATACAACCAAGATTATGATGTTCAAATATTGTACGCATTAAAACTTTGTCAACTCATTTTATCACTTTAATAGATCTCAGTTGAGTTTGGATGATAGAACACTAACACTATCACGTCTGTTTCCATAATATTCTTGCATCAATAAAGCTACGATATGTTCAGCATGAGATTTTCCTTTCACACTTTCACCTTTACCGGTATAAATTAAAGTTAATTACATATCCGTCAGTAGTACACAATTTAAACATCTTCACGCCATACTTATGCGCTTTATTTTTTATATACTGCCGAAATACTAAACGGCCTCTCCAAGGTATTATGTATTTATCTATAACCACATCTTGACTGGGAATTATACAGTTTTTGAAAGCAAAAACAAAACACTATACGTAATCTAGAAACGCTCAAAAGGATTTGAAGATGACAATACCATATGTAAAGGAATATTAGAAAAATTAAAAAGAATAGGAAATAAGTATAGCACTCAAAACAACCAATACACTGGGATCTATTCTGTCCAAAACCAAACCTAGAAACACACAAAAGAGATCAAAGAACTGCATGTATAAAATACCGTATGAATGCAACAATTTTTATGTGGGAGAAACCGCAAGGGCAGTAAGTGTCAGGATAAACGACCATGAAACATACATCAAAAACAGAAACTTCGACAAATCACAAATATGCAAACATGCCTGGGATAATGAACACAGAGTACAATGGAAAGATGTCTCAAGAGTCATGAAAGAAATAGACATGAAAGTAGATGGGACAGGGCTCATTTGTGAACTTTCATCTTACTTAATGAAGAAAAATGTGAAGCAAACTCATCAGCAGAATATAGCAGGCTCTGGTTGCCAATAATAAAAGAAGTCATCAACAAGAATATACGAACATTAGCGGATTAATAGGAAGTCAAAGACACATCCAAACAATCAGAATTTGATATCATCCTGAGGCTGAGGATTCAAAACCCACCCTCAGAATTATCAACTAAAAGCATGGGTATTTGCCTACAAGATCGAGGTCAAGTAAGTCACCCGTCAATTTGGAAAACAACCGTCAAACAAATATTGGTTATAATGACAGCTCACAATAAGCTCTTTATTTTAAAATAATTTTTTTTTTAAAAGGTTTCTGGAGTGTAAATCGAAACGTAAAATACCAATTATAAAATGTAGAAATGTGTGCATTACAACTAATTGTGTCTTAATCTCATATAAACATATTAACTTTAAGTATTTAAAATTGTTAAAGTGTGATCAAATAGCTTCAGAACAATATATATATATAAATTATAAATATATATATATAATATATATATATATAATAAATATAAATATATATATATATATGACTACTAGGGTAGTTTACAATTAAAATGAAATAATAGACCATACCTAAATAATTGTATTATTTACTATTCGAACATATTATAATGTATTAATAATGTTTCCAATTTATTTTTAGTTTGCTCAGACCCCTAACATACATTGGTGATTTTAACAGTAGCATCAAAAAAGAAAGTGGTTCCAGCAGCGACCATTCCCATGACTGTGGTTATTCATCAGAAAATAATAATGGTTGCTGCGAAACCGGTTCACTTACCTCCAGTCTCTCCAGTTCGCCAGAAGGTTCCGAATTGGCGTGTTCAGATTCTTGTTGCCAACATGATAACGAGTATATATCACATTGTAGACTTTCCTATGGAGGGAATGGACATCAGCTCAGTTTACAAGAAATGTTAGAGGTGAGTGGCGATATTAATAAAAATTACAGATGGAAACTTTGGAAATAATACCAACAATTACTGATATTTTCACGGTACATATTAAAGGTGAATTGGCGTACTATAAGATTAATAGTTTATAGTTAGTAAATAGATATACTTGTATAATTGAAATGAAGAAAATATCGGCCGTGGTTCACCTTTTACTGTACACCAAAAACTTTAATTCGTTTACAACGTAATTTAAGTATGGCCTAAACTTGATTTCTCTGTCTCTTTCTCTCCCTTTCGCTCTGTCTAAACGCTAAAATATTCCAATTAAAATTGAATGTTGTTCTCGTATGTGTACAATTTGTTGCAGTTTTATTGAGTAGCTGACAAGAATTGTTAATAATATGAACAAAAATCGTGAGAAACTTCGTTTTTGGATGAGACAGTGGGTTCTAAGAAAAAATCGATTGGGACATACAATAAATTCATCTATTCCCATTCTACTGTGAATCATCAATATCTATGATATAGTTTCAAAAATTTTTCGTATTTTAGACTGAAATCTTTGGATGGATATTCACGACTACGTATTGCCCAGCCCCAAAAGTGTAATCCTTATACCCAGATAGGTTTAAGTAAGGCTTTGTATAAAATAATTTTGTTTTGGATGGACGGAAATTTGCTTTTCCTCCTAAGAGCCATTTTATTTGCGCCGGAATTTTATGTCAGGTGCCTTCTTTTGGTCTTTATAGGTTTCTTCCAAGTGAGGCGTTGATCCTGATGAAGGCCAAGGTATTTCGCCTTGGTTACTGGTGGTATGCATACGTTATCCATTCTTACAGTTGGTCACGTGTGTGGCAATTGATAAATGATCATGCAATGACGCAAATGTTGATTTTCCTTTGTTTACCGTTGTTCGCCATCTTATGTACCAATCAATAAGTAAGTCCAGGTGATGTTGCAGATCCTGTGAATATTGTATGAGATCTTCGTTTACAGCTAGTATCGCTACGTCGTCAGCGAATGAGGCGATTGTTGTATTATTAGACTCTGGTATATCGGGTGTGTAGAACGAGAAAAGTAGCGGCCCGAGAACACCACCCTGCGAGACTCCAGAGTTGATATTGCAAAAGTGGGATTCTTGATTATTAAATTTAACGCAGAAGTGTCTCATTTGATATATAGGATTTCAGTAAGAGGAAATAGTTACTGGATAGTGTGTGTTTTTTTTTTAATTTATAGAGCGGGCCTGTGCCAGACTTATTGGATAGTGGAGTGATTTTCCCGAAAACCAAACTGGTGTTTTGGTAGTAATATTATGAATTCATGATCTGCGTACATTCTTTGTACTAGTAATCTTTCAAAAATGTTGCTTACGATAGGCAGGAGGGTGATGGGTCGATAAGATGTTACGTCATTGGACTGTTTTCCTGGCTTGGGCATCATGAGTATAATTGTTAAATATAATTGTTATTAAAATAATCCTATTATGAGAAAGTTGTTTTAGTAGTTGGCTCAAGGTTAAGTCTAACCTAGTGCCTTCATAAGTTAAGTTTGATTGTTTCTTTCTTGACTTTTGACATTGATTTCTTTCATACTTCTTTCTTGATTTGACATGCTGCGTTAATTAGTTCTTCTACTGTTTCATCAGTTCTAGTGGTTTTGTTTGAAATACTCTTGTAAGATAAGCAGCCCGCTTTGTTGGAGCGCGCCCATTCGCCATCTGCTTTGCGAATGGGAGAGATATTTGTGTACTTAATTGTCTCTTAAGCTTCTTATTCGCCTTCCATAATGTCTGGCCACTTGTTGTGGGATTTTTGATGTAATGTTCAAACGTTTCATTGTTCATGTAACGCAGTCATATGGTCTAGTGCAGTACTTATTGTGGCCGTATGATTGACATGGCATGCATTGGATGATGCATTTTTCTTTTCTTTGCAGCCTCTACTGCAATTTTGGTGTGACATAAAAAAACAAAGTTTTGGACCAAGTTAAATATGTCCTTGTTATTACTCTTGGGGTCTACTCAATAAGGGTTTTTTTGTTAGTCTATGTCGGATGTTAGTTAATTATATTAACTCTATGGCGACCTTTTCTAGTTCTTTTATGATATCTATTGTGGGTACAGAGTGATGGATATGTATGTGTTAAGTGTGATGAACATCATTTTTTTATCTCTTAAATGCGTTATAAGTTAACGGTAGGTATCTATTGTGTTTGTTGTAATCTTGACAGTGTCATTTATTTGGTATAGTATGTTTCTATCTCAACTATTTGTGCAAAGCTATCAATCATATTTTTAAAGTTTTAGCTGTCGGTGTTTGATAGTAGGCTATATCGATTCTGAATTTTTGTTGGTGGTGAACTTGGAGAATTGGATTCACTATTGTGTTTTGTAAATTTACGCTTTTTGACTACTTACACCCATACACCCTTAATTTCCCATATTTATAAGTAATTCAAAATAAAATTATAATCTCTTTTAGGGCCATAGCGATGATGACGATGATGAGTGTTATATAACTCCAGAAGAAGTTAGAGAATTCAAAAATAACAATAGCCGAGTATATGAGAAACGTCTAGAATTACGGGAAACGCTTCAGAAAAGGTTCGCTCAGTTCTGCGCATCTGGGCCAGTGCCACGTATACTCCTGCAAACCAAATATGCTTCAAATTAAGTTTTTTATGATCTACTAGATTTTCCATGATTTTATATCGTTTTATTTTTAAATTACATAAATGGTCCCTTTTCATTTTTTTTTATTAAATAATATAATTTTATGTTTCAATATACAGTTGCACAAATAAACGAAATGTAGGAAATTCTAGTAAAAGATGTATTCGTTTCAGGTACTGGTTACCACAAAAATTTGAATATCATTGAATAGTGTTCAAACATCATAAATTTTTATTTTCTATGTTTTATTTAGTTTTCTGGTATTTGTTTTTTTATTGAAGTAATCGTCCAGCTTTTACTATTTTTTGTTGAAATCATCTATCAAAATTATTTCTCGTCCAGACCGAGATATCTCGTTATATACTTACGTTTTGTTATTTTAAATTCTATAAATATCCTCATAACATATTTCCAATCATATTAAAGCCATATTAATACTTTCCATCAAAATGGCACATAACATGAAATTAAACAGGGATTATTTCTATATATTTTATTTATTACGCTATACCAGAATATTTTTTACCTAAAAGTACAGAATGAAATTAACATAAAAAACCTTTATTTTTAGTTCCTGATCAGTATGTCGTTTCATATTATTAGGGTTCTGTCTCCATTGGAATGTATGATACTACATTGGTCCATTTTCTTTGGGTAGGAATTCCGTTGTATTCCCAGTCCTTTCTACCTTTGCTCTTAAATTTCACAATGAGTTATAGAAAGTTATTTTACTGATTTTTTATGTCAGTTATAAAAATCAATTCATCACTTTTTTTTCTTTTTAAGTTGTTTGGTTATTTCTTTTTCTTTTTTTCATTCTTTGAAGAACTTCAGTGTTCATTTTAAATTGACTTATGATATTTTAAGCATTTTTCGATAAAACCACAATTCAAATGATTTCTCTTATTTTTCTAACGTTTTGTCATGGTTCACGCCTCAACAACCGTACAGAGGTTTAGGCGTGGACAATACTCAGTGTTACCTGAAGAACACAGATAACACTGTATTCGAGTTTGTAAATATATATCTAATTTACGACAGCATAGCACCTTTTTTATTTTATGGTACATAGATTTTGCTTTATCGATCTGTCTTTTACTTCCATTGTTTCAATCATTTAAATCAATAGTTTAAGTCTTCAAAGTTTAAGTTTTCAAGTCAATTTAAGACAAAGTTTTATGTCATTTTCAATTTCAGCAAGCCACTAAAATAATTGATAATAGCTTCCTAACCTAACATAATATTTAATGATACACCTTAAATAAATTTACAACCCAAATATTAAACAAAAACATAAAAGTTTCTGTGAAATTACAAAAGCGTGATTGCACGCGCAGTGAGGTATACTCTCGTTCACGTATCACAGCATAGCAGTATACTGACGCCTGAAATATTTTGTAACGTTGTCACCCCCCTCTCATGAACGATGCTAAACGCATTCCTTGTTGGTCGAAGTTATCGTATTAGATTAACTAATTTAATTGATAATAAATAAATATGATGAGGCATTCCCTCATAGTGCGTGTAACGGAGGGTTAAACAGGAACAATAATTTCAGAAGACCTACATTTGCGTAAAATGACAGTACCTCTGAAAGAAGCTAAAGAAAACAGAAAAAGAGCTTTTGCGAAAACCACAAAGAAACATAGATGTCTTATAATTAAGAAAATAGAAAAAGAATTTAATATTTGTTTCCATTGATTCACTGTAAAATGGCGAACATGAAGAATCTAGTATAAGCTAGCGATTGATCGGGTTGTTCTACCAATTGCAAAATATTTACTTTAAGACAAATCAACCTTTACCGGAAAATCTCTAATGAAAAAGGAATATAAACATTTTATGAAAATAAACCACAATTATTACAATGTAATTGTAATAATTACATATTTTTAGGTTTCGTAATCGAAACATAAAAACATGTAATTTTAATTACAATTAATGTGGTTTATTTAAATTATAAAATGTTCATATTCTTTTTGCTTAAGAGATTTTCCGGTAAAGGTTGAATTTGTTCGAAAAATAATATACATTTTGAAAATGGTAGAGCAACCAGATCAAATCGCTGGCTTGTAAAAGGTTCTTCATGTTCGCTATTGTGGAGTGATCAACAGAAGGAAATAGGTCGATAGACCATGCGGACAGAGTTGAACTGATAGAAGAACAAGTGAAAGAATCTGAAGATGGCAGAAAAAGTCTTGTGTGAAATCAAATTTATTAAAGCTTTTTTATTTTTTGAAAAAAATGTATTGTACAATTCCTAGTAAAAGCTTTAAGGCTTTACTCATTAAACTAACTTGTCTATATTTTGAGCGTGTGTTTGCTTTTATTTTTTTCTATATACACGTGTATGTCAACTGCAACAACTAATTAGAAAAGTCTCTAGTTTAGTACTACTCTGGTAATTAAGATTGTTGACAGTTGTTTTGAACGTTTCTCTGCGCATTTTTTCTGGACTTCTTTTCTTATCATCAAATGCTCCTTCAACTCAAATGTTAGTGTATTAGTTGGATAAAATCATGATGACTTTTTTATTTGTTCAAATTATCAATTGTTGATGATATTCAAATTTTTGTGTTAGCCTAGAATAATAAAGGTTCAAGAAAAGGTTTAAAGAAAATATAATAACGTTACAATATATTTATGATGTATTTGTTGCATTCCATAATGGGTTAAACATTGTTACAAATGAAATAGAGATGTTTTGTATAGGTCTTTGAAATGCACTATACGCATTCATACCTACTTCTATGTAAGACAACCAATATAAATGATACAATTATTATTTTGTTTTATTTCTTATTTTTTTAACCAATTTTTTAACGGAAAAATCGTATTGAAAAAATCTAATTGATCTAAACCTAATTTTATATAATCAAATATTTAGTTAATCCAAATAACAACATTTAAGTTAAATCCACGTAAACAAGAATCAATTTTTGGTTATAAAGCTACAACTTTTTACTGATACCGTTTATCCGTTCTGGTATCCAAGGGACAGGACCGAACTAAGTTTTTAAAATTGGTCGATGATAATAGTTTTGTTTCTGCAGTCGTTTGCTTACCGTTTGTAAACTATACACTCTGCGCAGACGTGAAATTAGACTGTTTCCTGACCGTTGCCAAAATTTATGCTGCACGAACGATTTGCTGATTATCGAAATTAAATTAATCTAACCTAACCCAACATTTTTAATTAATATCGAGTTTCATAATTATTTAATCAAACAAATCAAAATTTCTAATATGGAAGGTAAGTACCACCTAAATACCTTCGTTTAAAGTGAAAGTTTAACAAAATAATAATGAAACACATTTTTCTAAACCGCATTTAAAGGTTTCATTTGTTTCAGATTTACAAGAGTTTATAATTGTAAACCAAAGCCTATCGACAAGTGTTTCAGTCAGTATACCTGGACCCACAACCAGACACTGTCAATAGATTTATCTATTATTTATCATATAGATAGGGTAGGAAGTTTCCAAATGATGTTTTCCAAAAGGATTATTATCCATGAAAATAATGTGGGCAAAGTTAGCAGAACAACTAAATGACTTACATAATGTTAATTTGAATGCATGTCACTGCGAAAATAGATGGCGAGTAATTGAAAAAAATTATAATAAATATATAGATGAGAGTAAAAAAACAGGAAGAGGCCGCAAAACATTTGAATGTAGTATTGAACTGGATGAGATATTTGGGCAAAAAAGAAATGTCAATTCTGAATTGCTGTTATCTAATAAAACAGATGCACATCACAGATGAAAAGCCTGAAGATGTAGAAACAGTGAAAGCCAATGTTCTTAGTTCTACACCACAATTAGAGATTTAGAAGAAAGAGAGAGAAACCAGTTAGCAAAAACAATATTCTCCAAAAAATGTGTGAAGACAAAAAGGAATTTTATACAGAAATGCTAAAAGTTCACAAAGAAAAATTAGAAGTGATGAAAGAAAAAAACAAATCGAAGAAACTGAAGAGGAAAGACTTTTAGAAATAAAAAAATAAAATAAACTGAGAGATGAACGAAATACTTAGCAAATATTTAGTATCAAAAGAATATTTACCTACTGAAATACTTTTTAGGAAAGTAAATTTAAGGTTAAGAAGTTAAAAACATGTTTTAAATACATCACACTTTCTGTAATACATGTTTTACAGTCTACAGTAGAGGTAAAAGTTTATGGTCGGTATGGACCTTACGTGAGATGGAGTGAGAAACACCTGTTTAAAAAGAGAGAGGTATATTAGGTCCGCCCTTTATATCGTCGAAAATGAATGAGTTGAAATAATAAAAAAGGGGAAATTCAACGTTGCTCAAACGTATTGGTTTTATTTGACCTGTTGTCTTTTTAGCATTTGAACAAATGTTCTAAGATAATCAAATTTGGGCGAAATGGATTTAAATGGCAGCTTACTGTTTTTTTATTGGGAATATGCCACAATTTTACTTTACAATAAGTGTAATATAACATTTTGATTTCCACTTCGGAAATCGTTTTATATAAATAAAATTTATTAATGTTTCGTATTTTAAAGTACGATTTCCGAATTAAAAATCTAAACATCAAGATAAGCTTATTTTAAAGTCACGTTATGCCTTATTCCCAAAAAATATTAACTGCATATGATGCCACAATAAAAAAGCTTCATCCAAATTATTGGCAAGTCTCCGTCCGCTGAAGAGGTGGGTCGTTGACGTTTTTATCGTAAACCGATTTTCGTAAACAAGTTACTATGAATGTTTAACAGTACTTTCAAGTAAGAGAGTACCTACATAAACAAACATAATGCTATCGTTTATGTGTATATTTATTGAAGTGAAAGAAACTAATGAAGGATATATTTATTATAACTTTTATTTAAAATTAAACCAGATTTGAACATGTGTTCACATTAACAATATTTTATGAATAAAGTGGTTATGTTAGGATATACATGGCGATGCTTTTTCCACCATTGTAATGGACTCTCGATACAGGTGTACGTTTAGATGAGT